GTATGTTATCCTTTATGTGAAAATGCGAGTTTCAGGTGTTTTCGATATGAAACCTTTTACGATTAAAACATTTACCCCCCTTTGTCTTTATCGTAATTTTGCATTTTTCGTTCCTATCCTACCTTCGTCTTAGGCCTTGCTGCAAGTTATTGTTGCATATCCTGAATAGGCCGCCGACTCACGTATCCACTTAAATGCATACTAATCCATGAAAAAAATCTGCGATTGTTCAGGTATCGCGCAGATATTTTTAGATTTGGAGAATTTCCAAATAACGCAAAAAGGGTAAAACAACGTATTTTCAAGACAATTGTTCTGTATTAACCAAACTGCAACACAAAAACAGAAAATTCACCTTGATATGTTCTGTCTTATTCTCATTTCATATTTTGAAAAATTGTTTTATATATCTGCATGTAAAATTAGGAATGAATAATTCCCCGGTAACTATAATTGGTAACTCGCTATTCGCCCTGAATACAAATAGTCGTTTTACTCCCATAAATACGCAACTCAGAGTCAATCGTGACCTCGTGTAACTTCTGATATCGCATAGGTAGGATAAGATCCTGACGTGACGTGACAATGGCTAGAAAATGAAAAAGAATGGCGATTAAGGCAAGAGATGCTTTTTACAATCGTATTGAATATTGATAGTAGTTGTAGTAACTAACCGGTTGAAATAAATTTGCGCATATTTTTCGTTCAACATGTATACTAAACTTCTCTGTGAATTTTTGTAGGTACGAGAACTATTTAAAAAAAATCATGCATAACTTGGCACTAAATTGATTGTAAATGGATGTTTCCCCGACCCTTGACACCAGGAAATTTCTCATTATACTCGAAATTTCATGCTTTTTAATGCAATTTTAAGAGTTTTTTCGAAATTGGGCACTCAAAATCTGGTTTACATGTTTAAAAACATCATTTTTAATAAAACATTTGACCACCTGCCGTTTACAGGTTGGCCTAGTATAGTCAGTCACATTGTTTGCGGGACTAATTCTGGATTTTTGTAACTGAACTATAGCTTCTCGAAACACATAATAACTACTAATTTGTTTAAATTTTAGAATCGTTTTTCGAAAACACAATTAAAAACTGACAAAAAAACACGAAAAATAACGAAAACGAACTAATGTTTACAACGATGGACAAATTGCAATTGTTTCGCCATTGCTGATTGATCATTGTTACGGAAATAAACAAAGAAATCTCGTGGAAACATTCATACTGAAACTTACGTATCCAGTTTCAAATAGTAATATAGAACACTGGTTTCACTATCATTATTGCCCTTCATATATATGGCACCAAAGTCTCAGGTTCTGAATAGCATGATCCGATTCTGGCTGCGAAATAGATATTCAATTGTTAGTGATTGACCGTCACTCAGATCAGCGAACCGCAAGTATGGATAAAAACTAGCGCCCGGTAAAATCAACAATCATATTCGTGTTCTTTTATGAAAAAACGACTGTTTTGTCATTGGTAACAAACTGACGACGAAGTAATCGAATTAAAGTTTAATCCCAACTGCCATTACTCGTGTGACATTGACAAAAACATTAGTGATAAGCGGATCAGCCGCAGCGAGACATCGTGACATCATAGATTGCAACCTACTGCACGTATATTTATGTACCACGAGTGGCTGATTATGCTTGTATAATGAAATTTTAATAAATCTAATTTACACTTGTTAAACGTCATTTCTGATATTTCAATCAATAGATATTTTAGAGTTTCTGTACATGTAAGAGAACTACCCCATCAGCGAGCTCAGTTTCATCCCACGAAAATAATATAGAAGTGCATTTGAATTATGCAAAATGTGAGTAAATAGTTTTCATAAAATTTTAATTTGATTAGTTCACCCGGCAGTCGACAGTTCACTACGAACAGTCCAACAGTAGTTGATTTAGGAGCGAATTTTAATTTCGTTGTTATCATCAGCGCATTACTCATATGGTGAAAGAAGAGCTGCTGTGGAGCATAATGGCATCACAGATTGCAGCCCTGTGTACGTATTCATCCAATACATTATGTATCGTAATGCGCATATAATATGTAGAGGCAATCGCATTGTTACGGCAAGTAAATAGAGTACGTGCTCATAAAATATAATAAGCGTATATGTACATTAGTCCGTATGAATTGCTGTGTATTTCATCTGGCTGTATTTGCTGCATATGTATATATATACTACTTAAATGGCTGTATATGTATATTAAGTAGACTATATGTGCATATTTTTGGCTGTATATGATTAACACATCACCAACACCACTCGTGTCTGATAGTTTCGAATTTTAAATGCAAGCAGAAGGGCCATTGCTATCCATAGCTTGCGTTCTCAAAAACTCTGTGAACTAACAGAAGCCATAGCAGAAATCGTTTTTTGAATTGCAAAAATCCCGTTTTTCGAAAAATAGGAATTTCGTAAATAATTGTAAAATTAGCTCGATGGTTTTTGCCCTGTAATCGTTTTGCGGCGTTTTAAAATCTAATAACCGTCCATTTGTATGAATTATTTTGACGTAGATTGAAGTACAGCCTAACGTGACAATAAATGACTTACGTATTTAGGCACAAACTGCTGCTTTCACGTTTGGGTAGGCTTTGCAGTAACCATTTGGGTGGGTTTCTCAGAAAACATAGATCAAGAAATCGCAAGTTATAATGCAATTGTTCAAAAACGTACTCTATTCAAACGTGTTAGAGACTACAACGTTAAATTATAACAATTGGCTATGCAAGATGTCGTCGTACTCTACATCTGTCGAAAATGTCGAATGAACTTCCTGGAAATCCATTCTAGCGAATGAAAAGTGCAACCAAGCGTTAAATCGAAAATAGCGTTGTGGTTCGAGTTATATAGACTACGAGGTTATTGCTAATTAAAAATGCAGATGAACTGACGTTCAGGGAAACAGAGAAATTTTCAGGTGACCATTTATAACCAACGGTAAATAGAAAAAATTATCAACTTTTTTGGTTTGCGGCGGAAAGATATTTGGTATGAATGAGGCCCATTTTATTCTTTTCCACGAAACCTTTTTATTCAATGCTTTTGCAAATAATAAATGCAATGGAACACGAGGAGGGCTCGTGATATAAGTGAGGATGAAATATATATGTGCTTGGCTGCTTGCGCATTGTCAACGCATGGCTGGAACATCACTAAAGTCATGTATGTTATGCGCCAATCACTACTTGCACTGTCAAGCTGATTGACAACGATGCCTTTCTCCTTGCAAACGCAAAGTTTTTTTTTATTGTTATCGTAGCTTCTTAGTCCATGAAATTAATTTTCAACTTGCAATATTTGCCAATGAAATACTTTAAATATAAGTAGAACGACAGTTTTTCTATTTTTTTTTTTTTTGCGGTGCTCGGATATTGAATTAATGACCTTCTCGTGTCCCCTCAGTTCCATTCCATGTTTTTTAGCACATGAAGAAGAAGAAAAAACTACCATTTGAAGACAAGTTCTCCGGGCCCAGCTTATATAATATCAAAATTTTTCCAGTTTAAATTGAACGTCGTTAGTCATTTAGATTGCGATTTTAATTTTTTAAATTTTCCTCATAATGCATTTTTCTGAATCAAATTCAGTTTATTTGTTTGAATTATATTGAAATTTTGAATCAACTATGAGATATAATTTTGAGGAGGAACGAAAATCAAAAGTGTTGAAATGTTAGCTGTCGATATAAACAACTCCACGAAAACTTAAAATTTATAAACTTTTTTTAGCTTAATAAATCTTGCATTGATAGCTGATATTGTGAATTCTAAAAACGTAACGATCAATTACTGTTATGTTCTAAAAATACATTGATAAATTCACGGGTATACAAATGTCATTCATATTTGAACATTCATATTTTACAAGAACGCCTGGTCCGCCCCGCGCCTGCAATACACTGGAATGCTCGTAATTGGTCGATTTATATCAAATAATGATTGTAAAATGCGTACATTTTTAATAAAATAAAGGTCATGTGATCTGTACTATTCATCAGGATCATAAAATAGGGAGAAACTTTATGGGGTTCATCGGAAGGTTTACCTTTGTTGTCGGAACGTTCATTAATGCGACTGATATTTTACACTATATTTTCATTATTTCACAACTTGGTCAATAGGCTGTAGTCTCTATTACATATTTCTTTATTCTAATCAATGAGTAAAAATGTCAATTTTGTTGATAAAACAATAGCTTAATGTCTGTGAATGAAATTATTTTGATAGGATGCCAATAATAACGCGACTTATCAAAAATACAAATTTACTGCTTTATACATCATTGTTTCATACATGGCTAGATAAAACATAATTTAGTTACAATCGAGCAATATAAGCACAATCGTTTCCGATTACGAATCTTTAAAGCAGATATATGAACTTGGTGATAACTTTGCACAAGGCTTCTTTTGTTTCAGTAATAACGAATCAACAGGCTTGTCTATAGGAATTCCCTGGGAAATATCTCATGCGATGGAACAGCGCACATTTGTATTTTCCAAGGCACATGTGAGACAAGTGGACTCATGGGACAAGTTAGACACGTGGGGCAATTGAAACAAGAGGGATACGTAAGACGAATGGGACAATTTTATATAAGATTACGTTTTGTGCGTCAAAAAATTTACATTTTCCTTACCGGCGAGATTTTAACATGATGGTGAGGTAACGTAGTAGCACGTTAGAACGTACATAGTCAGAGTCAGAAATCGATATATAAGATCAGATATCGTAAATATAAGCTGGTGATAATTAATCACGGTATAGCGTAAGCGATATAGATAATAATAATGCATTCTAGAGCGCGAACATTCTGCATTCGAAATTTAAATCTCCCTCTATGATGCTCCAATTAATCAACGAAAGCTACAATGTTACCCTAGTAATCGAAATGTGCAAATTAGAAGGCGTTTGAGAGTTCGCGAACTGCAAATTTCTCTCACTTTAAAAATGGAGAGAGAAACGAGAAATGTCATTATTCTCATTATCAAATGCTAGCGAAAAAAGGCTATTTTTGCAATATTTTGTGGTGAACGGCCTGTTTAAAAAGGAAGCACTTCCGAGAAACTACCATTCCGTGAGTCATATGACGACAAGCTTCAGATATGGAAAAGAAATCCGTGGTAAGTTTATGAGATTCAGTATAGAATGAATATTTACCGTAAAAATTTGGGCTTTTATCTTTACCTATTACTGTTCAACTTGGTCGTGTAGCTTGTGAACCTGCACCATTATTTGAAAATATGAAAGAGCATATTCAAGCCCTAGTAATTGTCACAGGCCCTGTTTTATACTGTCGTTATATTTTATTGGCTGAGCGCTAGTGACTTTCCTGCAATGAAAACTGTATTTAAAACCATACCAAAAGTTCAATGGTATAATCCGAAGATCGTAAACACGAAATCATTGCAAGATGATAACTAACAACACCATAAAATTATATTAAAAAACCTTTTGGCACTGTGTAGTGTACATTTCACTCTAAGTTTTAAAAATTGTTAGCCAGAAATATTGTGCAAAAAAATTTAAATTTTGCAAAGTTTTTTCGTTAACTTTTAAATTTCAATTTCGTTCAAGACAATTTTAGGATGTCGTTATTGTATTTTTAGAGTGACAAACTCGTCAAGTTAAAATAAGCAAAGTATCAATTATCTCTCTTTGCACTTACTATCTCTGCCAATTCTTAAAACAAATAACATGTCTTAAGTGTAGTAATTATCTGCTATCGAGCGCCGAATATCTTTTGTGCGTGTTTTTAAAATAAACTAAACCAACAAACAATTTAATTCGCTTAAGGCCACAGGGAACCATTTGTAAGCCGTGATATATATAATTACATAATAACAAAACAGACTCTAACCTAATTAGCAGCTTATTACACGAAATTACACAACTTCGAGGAAATGTCTGATTTTCTGATTATTGTGTTAGGTTTAATTCTCTTCGCATACGCGATAGCCGGATATGTACGTTAAGTGCTAGTTTCAGCATTGACTCATATGCGGTAAATTACATACCTCGTTGAAAAGTTATCGAAAATGAAGAAATGCAATATGGTAGCTGTAAATGATGATGAAAATCATAATGTATTCCACTCGAATATATTAAGTTGCGCATTGCGGAATGAATAATATTGGTATGACTCACAATATTCAATTTCGAGTAAACTAAGAAAGTTTGTTCCAGTTTACGATGGAAACTTACGTGTTTATCAAACTTTACTTAGTCATTGCAAATTTTTCGATACCGCTTGCATGTTAGCACTTTCCGCTTTAACACGGGCAACTACACTTACGGAATGCCTTCGTTGTCTTAAATCACATAATAAGTGAGTGTGCATATATCAATGCACCTAACATTACCGTTTGAAGCAATCGAGTTGTTTCAAAAGTATGCTGACTCTGCGTCAGTGAATTTGTCACAATCGCAATATCAGTTAGCAAATTGTAACTTGAATTTCGGTGATCGCGGCAAGCCATGTTATTGCCAACTGCATTATGATAATTTGGCAATTGTATGTTTATACATTTACTGCCTGAAGGAAGTGCTCATGTTCCACATTTATAATAATTGTACCTATGAAACGAATTCTTTAATAGCTTAGAATTATATACATTTTTGGATCTCCGCTCTATAGGAGACCCTTATTATCAGTCGTTCTGTCTGTCTGTGTATCTGTCTATCTGTCTGTTTAGATGTAGCGTCTTAATGGCTGGACCAATCTGGATGAAATTTTTCACATGGGTTATCCTGTCACCCTAGTAATGTGCGTTTTATAGAAAGTCCAGATAAATGTTTCGTTTCCATGGTATCAACGAAAAACGCTCCGATCGTTATGAAATTTCTATTTTTTTCACAGTTTATCGCCGTTTTCTCGCCAACCAAGTCGAAAATTAAAATTCCAAGAGCGCTTCCTTCCGCATGGCAAAGTACTCTTTCCAATAAGTCGTCTTTGGTCTCGATACTTCATAAACTGGAGAAGCCTTAGGGATTTCAGTGAACATAATTTCCCCATTTAGTCACAGTATATCAGTCACGTGAGTATGTCAACGGAACGCGCAGCGTTTGAAATGAACTCAACGGAACTGGTGAGCCGGTGCAGGTGTTCTTGATAACGGAATTATTATTTGCTTGAGATTTGATGTACTTCTCGCTGTTAGTGGGTGGTTCACCTAAACGCTGGCTACAGTTTCTTTAACTATTTAAGTCTATAAATTAGGATTGCTATATCCGAATCAAACTGGTAAGCAGACATCGTTGTATAAATATGATAAATAAATAATCCTATTAAACCGTAAAGTACCGGGAAAATGTTGAGTCTTGCATGTATATATGTTCCTTCAGCTTAAGTTGTAATCATAATGCCTAGGGGATTTCAGTGAACATCATTTTCTCATTCAGTCACAGTATATCAGTCACGTGAGTATGTCAACGGAACGCGCAGCGTTCAAAATGAACTCAACGGAACTGGTGAGCCGGTGCAGGTGTTCTTGATATACGGAATTATTATTTGCTTGAGATGCAATACGAGCTGCAGACGCTGATACTTGTTGTGTTGCTAAAATAGCGTACTGGCTGTCGTACCCTTTTTTACGAAGGTGGTCGGCAAGTGCTTCTACGGAATCTTTTATGAATTCGGCATCACGTTTACAATCTTTGAAATACGCCGTCATTGCCCCGCAACAAATAATCGTCAGCTAGTGCAAAACCTACTCGCCTCTCGCCTTTTCTTGCGAGGAAATTTTCATGAATTCACTTCCAAGCGCACAAATTAAAGAGATTTAAATCTGAACGAAGTTAGGCCGACCACTAAAGTGCTACAGAGACTAAAATGAATTGGATCCTCGCGATATACTGTATGCCGCGGGCCTGGGTGTCAGCGGAGATCCTGGACGCCCACCGGCTTGTTAAGTTTTACAACTACCCAAATCTGTATTCATTTCGTGTATATTTTGAAACTTCAGCACGCCCTATACGTGAAATAGGTTTCGCTATAACCTGCTCTGATGATGAGTATGTGCTGTGTAGGCCGAGAAATGCTTTATATTTTGTTTGAAAACTATGAGCTACCAATATTTTGGAGGGATTTTAGCAATCAGAGCGTAATTATTAATAATATCTACCAAAATTATTTTTTCAGCAAAACTCCTGGTACTGCGCATTTGTTCTACATGTATCAATACATCCAATAGCGATTATGGTTCCATATGCACTGACGTGTATGAACCCGATGATACCTGTCATTGAACGCCTATATAATGAAACCTATATGGTGAGTGAAAACAAAACAATGTTCGTTACGCATGCAACTGATTGCGTCATTCAAACATTTATAGTGCAACTGATATTCCTATGCAAAGGGTCTGCACCGTTTAAAGTCAATCGTAGAATACTGTATAAGGTACATTGAATAACATTGAAAAAACAAGCCTGACCAATTTGTTGCGCAATCCTTTATTCGCGTTGCAAAAATCGAAGGACACAAAACTGTCGAGAAAAAATTAACCACGTAAGAATTTGTTGTTCACAGAATCGCCATGGAGAAGAGTTGCCTGAAAACACTTGGACATTACTTTTATCAATGACAATGTCCATGGTTCTGATTGGGGCGTTTGTTGGTTCTTTGTCCTTTAAACTTCTTCTTAATTGTCTGACCAGAAAACAAGTGATGATTACATTGCATGTATTAAATGCAAGTGGGTATGTTATAATAGCAATTGGAGGTGGAATTTGGGGAGCCTATGAAGCATTTGTGTTGGGGAAATTTGTAACCGGATTAGGACTTGGCCTCGGATTGAGTAAGTTCCATTTTATTGCCTACATGTCCTCTCATTCATACTCAAGTAGTAGACAATACTTTTGATTCATTAAAAAGCCCTCCCAGAATTTTTTTTATATTTTTGAATTTGTAAATGTCATTTCGTTTTCAGGCACATTTATTATATATATTCCAAACTGGAAGGACGAAGGAATGAGTAGAGAATATAAATTTACCTTTAATAAATTTGGAGGGAATTGAACATATTTTTAATGTCAAAAATATTTTTGAATAACATTCAGTTTGTATGGCAAATACCATTTTTATCAGTGTCACCTATCTAACAGGTATAATACCTCTGATCATCAACGAGACAAGTGTACCACACCGACGCGAGTTCTATAGCGCCGTATTTGGTACAAGCATGTCTTCAGGATCAGTAATTGGCGTATTTGTTGGCTGGTCGAAGGTATATATTTAGTTCGTCTTATAACATTTTCTAAATTTGACAGTTCCTTGCAACAAACATTATTTGTCTATTTTTGTAACTGAACTCATTCACGACAATGATCTGCAATTGAAGGGGTGTTTTCACAGGTTGTGGACTAAAGCCAATTCAATATTATGACAATTACTTTCTCAAGTCTAATTTTACAGGTACTAGGAACCGACGAAACGTGGGTAGGAGTTATGCTTTTTGGAATGATTACATCTGCAGTATATTTGGGTGGAGTTTATTGGATAGAAGAAACACCATATCAAGCAAAGCTAAAGTACGGAAACCAACAGGCTAAAAGAATTTTGGAAAAACTTAGAAGTGGCGGAAGATTCAGTGTAAGATTTATTATTTTTTGCAAATTTCTCTGAAAATATTTCGAAAGACAGCGAAATTTATGAACCAAATTTCAAATTAGTATGTATTATAAAATATGTTTAAATGTTTCAGTCAGATCTCGAAATGGAAATGAAGTCACTTTTAGGAGAAACCAGTGATGGATCTACCGAGGGTGGTGTAGCAACACTTTCCGAGGTCTTGACGACACCCCAGTACAGGTATGCTCGTCAACAACAAAAAAACAAGAGAAATTATAAATAATTTGAAGAGACGTTCAGGAAAAAACATTCTTTGAATGCAAGAGCTTTGTGTTGAAAACTGCAGGATACTATATATACCAAATTTTTAACATAAAATCTTCTAAAATCCCTGCAAATGACATTGCTGCGACACAAAAAGTCATTTCTACAATTTAGCAAAGAATATTTTTAAAAAAAAATCTTTTTTCGTCTTTCTTCATAAATCATAGTTTACTCTAATTACTGCGAGAGCATAAACTGCTAATTTGTTCCTAAAAACCATAAAGACTGTTACTGGAGTTGCCAGTTTGAATTTATTATTTCTGCATCATTGACTGCGGATGAAGCGGTTACTAAGAAACGCATGTGTGAGCTTGTTTTGGAAAAGACGCAGTTCATGTTGTAGTACAGTCATCCCTCATTGAAATTTATTTCAAATTTTATTTTAATTTTCGCAGACGACATTTCATTGGTTCCATAGTTCTGTTCTCTTATATGATGATCTGTGGACTGAACAACATTCTCTTCTTCTCGGATCAAATATTTTTAAGCGCCAACGTTGATCCAGAAGTTGTGACACCGGCAACCCTGGGAGTTCTTTCAATGGGCCCGATCGTTTCAGTCGGAGGGGTAACTTATGTTATACTATGTAATATATTAATAAGAGCGTAACTTTGATAATTTTAGTTCTCATATAAACTCATAACAGAAATCACAACAAAAATACGTATTATCCCGCTGTAGTTGAAACATCTGATTTTAACGTGTAACCTTAATTAATAAAAATCCGAACCATAACAAGAACGGTAGAAGATAATTATTTTCATGTTTTGGTTTGATCTTTTTATTTTACTTATTTAACTTTGGGAAATTACTATTCATGTCAAAATATAATTTTTAGATGTTTCTCCTGAAGTTTATTGAACCAAAAAAGCTTCTGCTGTTTGGAAGTGTTGTCATGATATTAGGAGATATATTCATGACAACAAGTCAGGCGACATACGAACAGATTCCAGCTATGACCTATGGAGCTATTGCTGCAGTTTTTGTATTTTATTTTGGGTAAGCAAAAATACCATAGAATACTCCACATGTTAGATATGTGATATTTGATTTAATGAAATTTATTATTTATAAAATTATGTAGTATGTTTGGTCAACGGCTACTTATAATTGAACGTATCTGCATGGACTGACGGTTTCGTTTAAAAGAAGTTTTTTGAACTGTTGATAACATTATGAGTTACATGAGTGTTTTTGCCTAATTGCCTTGTATATTTTATTTAGCTATATGTTTTTAAATCTGCTTGCTCTCATGATAGTTGGATCTATCACAATAGACAGAACACGTCCTGTATGTACAAACATAGGTGGAGCTGCCTTATGGTTTTCAGCTTGGCTTGTTGGATTTTTAGCCACATATTTGAAGGTAATATTATTATGCTCTCTGCTGTGATACATAATGATGAATTTGAAAAAAAAAACTTTTTTAGAGGAATTAAATTAATATTGATATCGGTCTAAGTTTTGATCGGCGATTTCATGCCCATGCCGAACAAGTATCCACTTATTCACAGTTTCAAAACGTGCATATGACGCAAACAAACATTTTGCACAAACGAGTTTGAAAATAATTAATTAACTGATTCAAAATTTAGTCCAAAATTTTACAAGAAACACATATTTCAATCCGTATTAAAAAATCAAGATAAATCGGACGAAACGTTTTTGGTCCACCCTGAATTACATCTTCGAGGTAAACAGGTTTACCATCAGCAAGAAAGCCGAGACGTTGTTAGTTTCAGCCAGGTGGCATTACAAATTTTCTTGATGAATTTTAGTTCAGCAAATTTGTCAAAATGTAGTAGGTACGCGGAAATGTATAATATTTGCATTGAAATCCAATTTTTATTCAAATATTTTTTCATCGTTCTGAAATTTACTGTTCGTTTTTTCAGATCTGGATTGGTCCGTTTGCTTTTCTTGTCTGGATGGGGTTCACTATCATAATAACCGTTTACATCATATTTTATCTACCCAATACAAAAGGAAAAACATCTGAGGAAATTCAAGAATTTTATAAAAACAATTGATGTGAAAAACTTGACTGAAACAACGTAAATATGGCTGCTTTTCAGTCTCAATTAAAAAACATCTGTGTGCAGATGAATTAATTTGTTCATATCTTGACGAAAGTTGTCAATCAGAATTAAGTCAACGTAAAAATGTGATTTTCGTTCGCATTATTCATATTCAGGTATTTTTTTACATAACGAATGCAGTTGCAAATGCAATTACTTGAATTTTCTACGAATAATTTTTACGGCGACAAGAGCAGCGACTCAGCGAGCATATCCTCTATTGTTGGTTCGTAGCCCATGGCTACCTATAAACATTGATGGGTGCGTGATGGGCACACAGCAAGGGCGAATTTTTTAGTAGAACCCTGAATATTGTGGTTTTTGTATGATTGTGATTGCTGCCAGAAGCAAAATGATTTATTTGATGTTATAATATTTGACAACGTTACATTATCGCATGTATTGTGTGTGTATGCTTTCTCAGTACTATTAACTGCTCTACGTCTCCTGAGGTAGATAAATGGGCAGAATATATATATTGTTTATAACCATATGTATATAGCCTACGTATCTTAAAAAAGTTTGTAATATATAATGATGCCATTATTTTTGGAAGCTTTATCTGAAAACTAAAAATGCTTCTGCGGGGCACATCTAGGTACTAACACGCAAAAGTCGTTTAAAAATCCCGCAGACTTTTTTGTAACTTAAAACAATTGGCTCAAATTTCAAATGATATGAGATTCTTTTACAAATATTCTTATATCCTTGATCAGGCAAAGAATACTAGAAGAGAATTCTCCTAAACACAACACTGCTATTGCAAAAGTGAATATGTTAGACTAAGCCGAGGAACAGTATTTTATATAGTTCTCCCTTTCTATGGCTGTGGGATTTATTTGAAGCGAAGCATGTATAGTATTTTTATCTAGTTCTCCAAATATAAATCTCCCACGTGAATCTCGCTTTAACTTCTCTTTGAATTCTGCATCTTCAACAACAAGCAGAACAACGAAATAGTGTTTCTTTGTGATGGAAATTCCCATCTTCGATACAATAGACAAGCTCGAGATGTTGACTATCATATATATATGCCGAAAGCGCTGCTCATTTTTTAAAATTCGTGTTCAGCTGAAAATGATTTGAATAATTGCAGCCATGAAATAAGAGTCTACTAATTTTCTCTCCACAACATTGTACTGATAAGTATGACGGAGTCAATTTGATCCTATCGAAAGCATTAAATCATCGATTCGGTTTTGAATTTTTTTTCAATCATCTACCATTTCGATTTAAAAAAGTTACGCATTTTTGGATAGTCATTCATTGTGGTTATTGGACACATAGTAGGCATATATATGGATCCCTTTGTTATTGGACACGTTCAGTGGACATAACGATCGTTTCAATATTTTGTTGTTGTTCTTGTTGTTATTATATTTCGTCATCATTATAAAATCGCTTTTCTCTTCGAATATTGAACCAATTGCTTTAAGCAATTGCTTGCTTTTCAGTGAGTAAAGATCATATTTTTCGCTAGAAGGCTATTACTTTCATTTATCAATGTATTGTGCGCTATTACGCCATCATAATTTGCCACTATGTGGCGCAACGTGTTCATATATTTGAGCATAGCTCTCTTGTTATGTTTTTGTTAGAATTTTTCTTCCTGCCACTTTTTAAAAAATCGCTTCTCTCTCTTTTATTACTGGACCAATTGTTTTGAAATTTTCAGTGGTCAAGGTTGATTTTTTTGCTAGAAGGCTATTACTTTTTCTTATTACAAACACAAAATATTTTGTGAGCTCTAAGAGATTTTTTGATGATGTCATCAAAATAAATTTAATCCGCCAAGCGTGACGGCGGTCGTGAACTTTTATTTTTGCAAAATCTTGCTACGATGAGGTCCGAAGTTTCTCGACACCCGCGAGGGACGCCAACAATACGGTAAATTACTGTGAATGATAAAGTACTTTAAATCAATTAATACTTCAGTTGTTAGTTGGATAATATCGCAATTTCAATTCACGCTGGCACAAGAGAGGAACTGGTAAAGTTAGGGCAGTTCGGGCACCATTACTGCTAAGTTACGCTACGGTACCGTCCCGTATCTGCTTCACTGTTCAGCTTTGGTCAGGATACGGTGTAAATTGATGGTAAAATATTTTGTTTTGTTCTACATAAGAAAGAATGGATCATCTTCACAGGACCGGGACAAGCTACAGTTATTCATGGATACGATGGGTACCTTGGTGACGTGGTGTGATTCGGATCAGTTGGTATTCAAATTCACATTGAAGCCAAATCATGAGGGAAGGATCATCGTCACGGGACCTGGAAAGGTTAGGGCAGTCCGTGTACTGTAACCCTGATAGGCCCGCAGAGTAGTAGGCAACTCGCCACAGAGGCTATCTCATGATGGGCCCGCCATTCCGCTGCGATTATTGGACTATTTTGTCTTCGTCGGAAGGGATAGGATTCACTTAAAATTTCAATAGTGATATTGAATTATATGTGTTTTGATTTGAATGAGTGCAAGCGATAACAAAGTGACCGGACATTGTGCTGCTGAGATACCTTACCATATTGCATATGTTTTTCGGAGGAATTGATGGTAAGATATTTTGTTTTGCCAGCCGTGTCCATATATTTGAGCATAGCTCTCTTGTTTTTAAAACAGAATAAAATTCACAGAAGATATGTAATATTCAATCGGCATTATTGCGAATATAAACCAAAGATTTAAAGTATAAAGTTGCCAAAAAATAATAAAAGCAAAAAGAAATATGTGGAAAACGTTTTTGCTACATAGTTGTTGTTCCTGTTTGAAATGGGGATCTTCCTCCAGATTTTACTGAAAATAAATATTCAACCGTTAATTTGAAAGTTTCATTTGTTGCCAAATGAAATTGTTAACAAAGCTTTTAGGTGTATGTTTGTATTTCCACCCCTGTGTGGAAACTTTTCCATAGCAAGAGCGACATTGTTGGTAATGATGTTTTATTTACAGGTGTGTCAGATCAAAAAACGTTATTCTTAGATCCAAACATGGAACCTGGTTGTAAAGATTTTTTTTCAGCCAATCATATATCGTAGACTTGATTCGTGTTTTATAAATCATAACTTACGAAAGTTTGAAATACTTTTCATTGTTCGTCTATATTTTGTGCGTAGTTTGACTGAAGAGGCTTGAAAATATATTTTTTTTTTATCATTTTGAAAATATACTATCTTCACCTTTATTATGGCTCAATGATGAACGGATCCTGTTCCCTATGCCTCTCAACCATACATCACGAACTTCCTTCCTCCATACGCAGAATATAAAGAAGATGAAAGTTCCCTGAAAAATGAATTTCTTGCATTTCTAACATTGAGCTGTATTTCTTATATATATGTAAACCGCTGAATAGGTGCTACTTTGCTCAATGGAATTTCAAATGATTGCCTACAAACTGAATTCAATATTTGATGATTTAAAAAAGGAAGTATTGAAATGTCAATCCAAGCTCAATAAGTATACAGTAAGTAATAAGTATATAGTAAGTATTCTATCTATACTAACAATACTCTCAAATATTAAATACGGGAAAGTTATTCATTGATTTGCATAAACAAAACATTTTCGTACCTGGAATGCATTGAACAATGAAAACAGCCAATCGAACACTAAGTTCACATGTTGATTATCGGTCGTTGTTAAAGGTATAGCAAAAGCCCATGTCAAGCCAAGAACAGCAGAAAGTGTTGCAATTCGAAAAACATGATCTTTTAGTTGTAAATTTACGGATCTCTGCCCAAGCTATAAATAAATGATATATACGTGTAAGCATTGATGCTGCAAAAATAATCTTTTTTTTCTGACAGTTAAAAAAAGGGAATTCATTTTACTTTTAGGTATATGCTACACCAACATTATGTTTTATTATAATTAATATATATTTTTTTAATCTTGTGGCAGTTGTGCATTGAGACAGTTTGAGCCGTCTAAATGCATCATAATATGGTGTAATAATATTGTAAGTATGGTCAAATCAAATGTGTCCATATTTCATGATCGTTTTGATCGCTCTGTACTTACATCAGGCGGATGGCGGCAGATTTTTCTCAGTAACAGAAAGAATCCTAAAACATTAATACATAAAACAATTCCAGCTGGAACAAGAAATCCAAAATAGAGTGAATACGAATGAAGCCAACATAGTCTATCGCTGATATAATGAGAGTCGAGAGAACGAACATGCGAATCTGAAAATAGAAGAAAATGAACTTAATATGTTTTTACGGGAAAATAAAATCTTAATTAGTAATGAGTTGTGTTCTTTGAAATAAAATAGTTTGTAAACAAACATTTGAAGAGATATGTCATATTTCGTAAAGATTTCCACGCACCTCAATCAATTTACTTGCTGATATTTTGTATAGAAACTTATCTAGAAATTTATCTACGCATCTCCTAATGTAAGAATGTAGTACTGGTGTGATTCAAATTTGATTGGATATTTTATTAGCATATTATGCAAGTGACGCAGTCAGTCAAGGCTTTACTTGAAGTTTAACCACTTTAACTACATTTGTAACATCTTCTTTGACATGACCTCGCTGAGAAGAAAATTTTTGAGAGATGGCATTTGCAGAAGCAATGCAACGTTCAACAGACGAAGTATTTGCACGTTTAGTCTTTACCTGAAAATAAAAAGCGGTCATTGAAGTGAAAAAAAAACGCTTTTGCATTAAAATACCTCACAAACGTACCATTTTTTACCATGTCTGTAGTAGGCATAACGATGCAAATCAGAATTTTATTTTACACGACAATGATATTCATTATTAGTATAGCATTCATATATGCTGTAAAAATACCGTTTGCATATCTACCTCAATTAACAAATCATAGGAACTAATGTTGCAAAGTACTTCCATCAGGGTTGTTTTATCAAAATATGCATAAACACTCCCGTCTAAATTCTTTTTCTCCACACATCGTATCGATGCGGTGTACTTGACGTCTAAAATATGAACAAAAAGATTACTCCGACGCTTTAGTTTTGATGCACCCAGCATTGCGGTGGTTGAAATTTATTATTCTATGTGAAATATTGATGGAAATTAACCAAATATAATCAAATATAAAGTAGAAATAATATTTCAATAAATCTACCTGGATTTGCGCATGTTTCTTTTGAAGGAACCAATGTGTTCACGATTGCTTGTTTGAAAATATAGAAATCAGTATGCTTTGATCGTACTTTCGATTCACGACAGAAATCTTTAATGTGAAATGTACTACAAAATTAGAGGACATATCATGCATTGAGGCGTTATACTAGACACAAAACAAAATGTAATGGCGAAGTACAATAATATATATTTATAGACTAGAACTGTTCTAAAGAAAGCAAATCCGGATCTTTTATTGCTTGAAAACTCTTGACTACATGTTATTCAAGCAATCTTGTGGCGCAAGCCATATACAAAATATTTTTTGCAAGAAACGTGTTGCAAATGACATAAACACAAAAACTCGAATAAATATTAGGGTGACCGAACATGCACCTCTGATCATCATCATGGTGAACTTCTATTAGGTTTACCTTCACAGAAGTCTTCTACCAGTGACAATGAGATATCAGGTAGGGCAATGTTTTCAATTGTAAACACATTTTTTTCACTAACGCCGCCATTGGCAATAATTTCCAGTTCCGTCAAGTCATATTCATCAATTCCAATTGCATATGACGTGACATTACGCTCAACCGATTCGTGATACCTGATGGCAAAAAATATTCAATATGATGTATCTGTACAGTAGATCTGTATTCAAACAATTCAGTTTAAAATAATCTCTACAAATTTCAAGCGAAAACTGAGGGGCCAAAAACTAAGGAATCAAATAAGGATATTGGATAAAATAAAATCAAAACACAATGAACATCAATTCATTCCAAGCACAGTTTCTGAGAAATTGGAATCCACTGTGGATAAATGTTCGGTGTAAAAAGTGAACATTTTCTGAAATTATGGTTGGAAACCGCTTCCAATGACTTTCGCTTGTGTAATATCATCATTACCAATATGCGTAGATAAGAAAATGTTGTGCCAAACCTGGTACGAGTCTATTGAAAAGCGTTCTCACCTATGGCCTTCGATGAAATAATAAATATCATAAAATAATATGAACCCAAAAATGTTCACGATGTAGCAAAAAAAGTTCATCAGCGCCATGTACTTCATATGTGATGTGCTTATAATTCCATTTATATTTTTCAACATAGTATCGGTCTTTATTAATAGAACTGAATCATTTCCCTTTTTGCACGTAACAATCTTATACAAACCAGTCCAGTAAATATGTGCCATCGTTTGAATGTCCATCTGTTATTAAAACAAGACTCTTCGAAGAGAAATTTGCTCTAGGAGAATGGGGATATTCGACCTAAACAAAATTGGGAGACAATCATGTGACTCTAAACATGTATACAATTCATACCGTGATTGTAGCAAAATAATTTTCAAAAACAAAGGTTTAGTCACACTGTCTTTTTATTATTATTATTTTTGTTGCGTCATTTATTATCGAATGATGTTTCATATGAAATGAACGATATCACATCAATATAATTTAATTAACGTTTTCTAGCTTTGTATCACCTCTTGGATGGTCTAAAATATCAAAGTAAGTTAGCACAAAAAAATTCGCACTTCGACAATTCGTTTGAGCGCGGAGTAAGTGTACGTCCCATGGCGTATTTGCGTCATATTGATTATTTTTTTTTCCATGCAATTTTTTGATAAGCAATCTCCCAATCTGAATGGAATTTCAAATTCATTTTTCCTGAAAGAAGAAATATGCTCAATCGAACCAGTAGGTGTCATTTTAAAGACTGTAAATAGAAAATAAGGTAATTTCATCCGAAAAGAGTCATTTGTTCTCTGTGTCCATCAGATGGAGCATTGCTCTCTTGTTTGAATTTTTCAATATATTAATTTTAAACTTTTTGCTACGTTCTGTGATAATCTTTTTCATTTGTACTGTATTTTTTAACGTAACATGCTGTCGTGGTCGATCAGTATATAAAAATTTATTATATATTCTATACTGGACTTCCAGTTACAAATACTGCTTATAATATTCTCTTTTTAGCCAGTCATGTATCATTCACGCCAAACAAACATCATAATCCCTAACCCGGAATACTGCAATATCCCGATTTGAACCTTCGAATCAAGTTTGTCATAGATGCTGGATGTCATTAATGTTAGCCATTGTCGTATGGTTTCAAATGTTTCACCAGAAATCGAACGCGATCCATCAACGACAAAAACAACGTCAACGTAATTACAATAATATGCTGAAAATAAAGTTTTGTATTTAAAATAGTTAAAGAAATAGGACGATGCATTTTAATTTTAAGCAACTTCATATGCCTATCACCAAATAGTACACTCGTTTATTTGCCAACTCAAAATAACGCAACTTTGCCGCTTTTGTAGCATTAGTACATACATATATGGTATACACATCAAAACTATCTTTGGAAATAATTAGGCACAACATCACTAAATCAAGTGATACTTGAGGCATTCTATTTTAAGAAACCATGCCTCATAATTTAAAAATAATATTATAGCTATGAAACACTAATCGAGCGCCTCATTCCAACAGAGGCAAGTGTGTCTGTATATAAATTGAATTATGTATTGATATTGCTTATTACCTTCATTTTTATCGCGTTTGGCTAATTAAAATGCACTTACGTGAAATAGTTGTATTTTGTCCTCCTGTTACCGATGCATTCACTATGAGAATTACCAAAACCTCTTTAATGCACCAGAACATTTTCAATACTTTTCTGGTTTATCGTGCTGCTCAGATTTCAGAAAAAAAAACTTTGATGAAAAACTTTCAATTGTTGAATAAGTTACACACCCCTGTTTGCAAATAAATCAAGATTAGTTATCGATTCTTTTCATATTCTTATTTTTCTAAACCTTATTTAATATTAATCTCTAGCATATACGTTGTCTCCAATCGTCCAATTTTTTCAGTTACTGTCGTTAGTTTGGCGTCCGCCTTACAGTGATGAAAATTCATTTAATGAGACCTCGACTCATTGTAGGCCACTGCCACGAGGTGTGATTACACGAGTGACTGGCCACAGCGTCAGCGTGTGTGCGTTTTCAGTTTGTCGATATATACTAAGTTTATATCAGTGCATTTCATGTTAAAAATTGTGAGCTAGCTTTATGCTTCCTACTTTTTGTTATTGAATGGAAATTTAATACTTACAAAGCAGTCAAATATTAATAAAAAAAATTTACCACGACCTCGACTAGATCGATAGATTATCCATAGAAAACAATATATATTAATATATTATAATCCCTGCTGTGGCAAACAGCCTTGCATTATAGTATACGCATAGGGATCCACTAGCGCAAAAATATTGAGGAAGGACTGGGAGTTAGTCTCGTTTACCCTCTGCTCATATTTATTGGGCACGGAATGGACCTATGGACCGTTTGTTGTTTTGTTATTATGTTGTTGTTTTTGTTCTTGTTTTAAAAAAATTCTTCTTAACATCATGAAAAAAATCGCCTTTCTTTTTAATCACTGGACCAATTGCTTGAGACTTTCAATGATGAGGGATTGTTTTTTTTGGTAAAAATGCTTTCTCTTCAATAATGACGTCAATAAAAACTGTCCACCTTGTGGCGGTTTCGTGAACGCACATCAGCGGATGTAGTGCTCAGCGAACGTCGGCGGAATTCGTACTTAGCAGAAGTGGGACGTTTTTGCCCGGGAAACGGTAGACTGTGGTACAGTAATAACTCGGATCAGTTGCTATTTCAATTCACGTTGAAACTGAATCATGAATAATGGATCATCGTCACAGGACCTAGAAAAGCTGGGGCGATTCCTGTAACAGAACCCTGATATGGAGGCGGGCAACTCGACTGCACAGACCATTGCATAAAGGTTACCTATTTATATTGCTATATAAACCGGTGCAAAGGGAAAAAATACCTCGTGCACGGACCGTGTGTCCCATTTGCTCACTCGATTTCAATTCTCCAGTACAGGGTAAGTCACATTTTAGACGTGTACATAATGGAAAAGCTGTTCTCTTGATGGCGAGTTTCTTGTGGAGATTTCGATTACCAGGGCTAAAACTTCCGTTCCACTTTTAGACACCTGCACAAACACACCCCTTTTCTTTGCCTATTGCCTGGGTGTCGTCAGAGAGCACACCGGTACAGCGAATTAAGAGCGGTGTATACTCGTACACTGGCTTCCACAAGCAAAACTTTCGCTGGTTCCTGTGTGCGGCAGGTGTTCTATGTAAAATGCAAGGATCAAAAATCCCACTGGGTTGCCTGCCACCCGATGTACTCCGATCTCTCCGATTGTCGCCTGTTCCAATCTTAGATTTGTCGTCGGGCCCTCCAGCTCGAACATCGAGTTCTCCTGTTTCTCTCTTCCTGGAGCAATCTGCATCCAACATTTTCTTATCTTCTGCCGCAACTTCTTTCCCCCCCCCCCCCCACTCCTATTTTTCCTGCTTCCTCATTTTTATCTACCCCCATGATTCCTTTTTGTTCACATTCTGAAACACCGTCCCAAAAACTTATTCTACCTCCAAATTTGAAAAGATAGAAAAAAAAAAAACTGTCACTTTCTATGCTTCTTCTTCCTCTCCATCTTCGCCCGGTTCGCCCCGACAAAACCCACTGAAGCTGGCGACACCAGACTTCCTCACCGCAAAGTAAAACCTCTTCCCTTTTTATGGCCGTAAAGACTTCTCCCCTCAGTCAAATCCGACCACCACGGCATGGGAAGAACCTGAACCGAACCTGATCCACACTTATTCACTGTTGTTACCCCGCCGCCCTAAAGCCCTGAACGAGCAATTGAAATCAGGGAGTCGGCAAAAAATTCCGGTCCCGTCGGCCGGGGTTTTAACGAACTAGGTCACTCAAGATCTGATGTCGTCGTATCTGCAGTCTCGGGTCCGACCTCGCCTAGTCTCGTGGTTGAACTTGAGCCCGTGGTTACCCATATCCCAGACCATCATGTGGTTGCAAAAAATATTAATGCAGCCACTCCTACCTCCACGCTAACCATGACGCATCAGAGCTCAATTTCTGAGCCGGGTGATTGCCAGAGTTCATTTCCCCAGGAGGGTGAGGTTCCTTTGAGTGTTCTAAACCTAGAGAAGCGTCGTCAAAAACTGTCCCGCTTGGTGGATGAATCTGTCTCAATGTCCTCACCAGACGAGGCAATCGTTCATCTTAAGGGGCAGTTTAATTTTGGTCTACCCGTGCCTCTGTTTTCCAGAGTGACGGATGCCGGCCCTCAAACCGTTATTCACGTTCAGCCCAAAAACAGGCTAAATCAAACCAATTGAACGGCGAACGTGGGTGTCGGCCAGGGTTCAGTCTTCAGTTGAGGGCGGCTTTTTGGAGAAATCAGAAAAGCACGGTTAGGTCTATCATCGAAGATTCACTTGGTGAACTGCAGTGACGAAGATTCACTTGGTGAACTGGTGACTTGGCGATGCCTTCGTGAATAAGGTAAAGCTTTGCCGGACGTCGGTTACCAGTTACGATGTGGGCCGGACGTGATCGCCAAGGGCCAAGGCTACGCAGACGATTCTGCCCTGTGTGCGCCGTCGCGGCAACAGTTGGAGGCGCAACTTTCAATATGTGAAGAGGCAAAATGGTCGCGGACAATGAGTTTTTCCATCTCTGGTCCGCGCGGTTGCTCGTGCTCGGCTGGGCGAGGTTTTATCGAGTCCAGGAGGCGACACAGGCCCCAATAATCGACTTTCTCAATCGTGATAACTCCTCTGAGCCAAACGGACGGCGCATCGGTCCGTATGGTGATATCTGTAGGGCCAACTGCGCTCTATGGGTTGCCGTATCGGTCTTTGCTGGGCTGTCTCCTCAGAGCGGAACTTTACCACTAACAATCTCCTGGGCGAGAGCGGCAAGAAGATAACTCGGGTGTTTCACCACGTATCCAACACTCTTTGGTTGAGGCGGTGGGGCGAACTTCGGGACCAGGGGAAGACAGTTGACTGTCACTCCCCGTTCGGTTTGGTCAAACCACTCTCTCTCCATATCTGTCTCTTTCGCTCAAACCACTCTCTTTCTCCACGTCTGTCTCTCTCGCTCAATTTCAGATTTCGTGGGTTTTGAAAGCTCGATTAATTTTTTTGCCGCTGCAATCCGTTTGTAGACGGTTTAGGGCAAATGGGGAACTGATTCGATTCTCGAGGAAATCGATGTGATGTGCCCATTCGACAACGGCCAGGCCACCATAGATGACGCGGCCTGTCGGAAACACTCACAAAATATGAGAAGTTAGGTCGCTCTATTGCTCTTGCCTCTAGCAAAGTGGTGGGGTTCTACGCTTTTATTGTTAGTTCTCTCGGCAGTTATGTCGTTGGAAACCAGACTGCTCTTCGTGCTTTGGGTGTGACCGGAAGGGTCGCTACGGCAGTCTCCCATAACTGCGTCAGGAACTCCATCCGGGGTTCCCGCCTCTGGCGTGCTTAGTGCGGACTTCCTGGAAGTGTCGACTAATCTGACTTCACCCTCTTTTCTGACACTGCATTTTACTCTTTCTTTAATTTCTTCTCCTTTCTCAGTGTGTGTATGAGGTGTGTTGGTGATCTTGAGTGATTTTTTTTTTATAATTTGTTAGGTCATAATCACCCAGTTGACTAGCTGTCCCAAGGTAGTTTGATCCGTTTTCTCACTGAAATAACTCAATTGATCCAGTGGCTCAATTTGTTTAGTTGTATTTTTATCGCTCTCCCCATCACTTATCTTCACAGATTCACGGCAATAGGCATGGACCACCATATATATATTTGTTTATTACGCTCGCCTCCATTATCTCAATATTAATTCTCAGATTTATCATACGTAATCAAATTATAATTTTGATCAATTGTCTTTAGATTTTTTCTTTCTGTGACCACTTCACACTTTTCTTCACTTTAATTCGGTCGATAGTCGAAGGCGAGCGGTATTTATTATACAGTCGTTTTCATCTTTAGAACCCATTGCCGAGTTGGCCAGCCCTTCGCAGCAAGATTATTTTACGGTATTTTTTGTTGTTTTCAGTGGGGTTTTTGCTCGGTGGGTTGGCCTCGACTGGCGTTGATTCAAATGTCATACACTTTACTTATATATCAGCTAGATCACGAGCCACTCGAAGAGCATCCGACATTTATTTCAGATGAGCCGCATCATTTACTTTTATATATTGACATGTGTTAATTTCATTACATGCTCAATTCATTTCTTATTTAGGTTGAATATAATTAGTATTTACTTGTATAAATACTGTTCCAGCCCTCCTGCGTGGGGGAGGCCAGGTTAACTGGCGATGTACCGCAATAAAAGAAAAGCAGATCGTGATTTGATGTGATGAAGCTGAACGTTACAAGTTGAGTGGGCGGGAAAAAATTATTTGGAGAAACAAAGAAGAACGCTTCCCCCGACCGGAACAAAACCAAACGCAGACGATCCATTATGCGTGACAGAACTATTGTTACGTCACAACTTTGCTTATAGTTGTTCAAGCTCCTGGGGGTCGCGAAAAAAATTGTGCCAAGTGGGACGTGATCGAAAAAGTTATCTGAAAGCTACTTGGAATTTGAATCACTTCCGTTCAACAAAACGGTGAAGAAAAGCCGCCATGGCGCAGCCAAGGGTTGACCTCCTGCCCCCTTTTGGAATGTTTGGAAGACTGAAAAAATCGTTAATAACGCGTGCGATTGCAGTTTGCTAAATCGTCCATTGTTTTCGTCATGGTGACGCATTGTTCAGGCGTAAACACCTTCGCGGCGGTGTTTATTCTCCCCAAACCACAAATTTTCTCTAACAAAAGTATGACTTGTGCCTCGACAATGATGATACTTACGTTTTGTCGTGGTATTTTAGAATAGCGAAGCATTTTCGTTGTAATCAATTAAGTTGTACTCGATAGGATTTTATATCACATCTTGAGGTTTTTGGAATGGTGATAACAAATTCGCAAGATCCTAAAAATGCATATCAAAATTAAATATTTCAACCGGTAGAAAAGTCATTATACGCTGAAAAAAATCGACTATTTTAACGAGTGACTGTTTCAGAAGGGAATGGGAATTTTCGATTTTAAACCCTCCTTTGCAAATCCTAACTGCGCGCCTGAGCCGCAATGTGTTGCTTGTAGCAAGATTTTTTGACAGTGAAAGCATGTAACCAATACCAAATAGGCCTAAACGGCATTTATTAACATCGCATCCCCAGTTGCAACAAAAACCACGTGGCTTTTTTTTCTTGAAAATTAAACAAACTTAAATGTCAAATATGCCGTATATTAAAAGATATCGAGACGATTTTCACGGGGAGTCGCAACTTGAGCATATTATTGGATGGCGTCACAATACAAAGGAGTTTGAGAAACACAGCAGGTCAACGGAGTCGTGAGCACGCAACGTTGTGTGACGTCATATTACCCCAAATGTACCGAGCACCTCATTGTGCCTCAAAACCTCTCACTGTCTCATCGTCGCCAGAGTTGTTTACATTTTCGTATTTGGGTTATGAATGAATTAACTTGGCATCGAACACACACGGCACTGTTGTTTTCTATCTCCGAGAGAAAATCTAAGTAGTTATTGCATGGGAAGTTTTTCCTTTAATATACTAACCAGGTTATTATTCTGAAATATCTCTGTGAATATAGCAAAATAAAACGGTTCAACATTCTTTTTTATTGTGGTTATAAATTTATAACATGTACCTCAAGCAATATATAATTTCTTCTAATCTAATACTTTGTAAAAAAAAAAGTTATATAAAGCATTAATTGTGTATTCGAATAAACAAATTTAAAATTAAAGGGAATCCTATAAGTCAAAGACAACCATTGCCGGGTATATCAATGTGACTACGCAGTTCAGTTTTCAATCTGCCTATAAATATACAAAAATTTGAATAAAACAAACATTTTATAAGAATAATCAAGCTAACCGTTTTCAACAATACATTTTGTAAGATATTTTTTAATCCAAATTTAAAAGTCATGATAAAATCAACAAAACCATCCAAGTCCATTCTTAAAAAGTAGTGCAACGGAAATTTTGTCTTAAACTTCGACGCTTCCATAGGTCTATTATTTCTCCGGTAATATAAATTGATAAAAAAATGCGAAATTATGCTTTTTTTAACATTTTTACAAGTTTCACGTCTTACGGCCCACCTGTACTTGCTGAAATTACGGTTATATATAGTTTGTTTTTATGGAAATAAATTTCTATTGTAAGAAATACCTATAGCTTTACATTAATGGATCGGGGCAGACAGGAGATTGTTATCGACGCAAGTTATTTGTGAATGAACTGTTTTTCATTCATAGTTTCATATTGAGTTTTGAACCCACAGCCCAGTAACTAAGTCTATTATCTGTAAGTGGCCCACTTCGGAAAGTAATTGCCCACCCCTGAGCTAAATCATCCAGATTCTTGTAATTTTATCAGTGTCGGAGCAAATTTACAATAAAATCTGTCTCCGGTCCGAAAGAAATTTTGGCTCGAACTAACGGTTACGAATTTTTTTAGCCACCTCCGAAACCTTAATCTGGAGTAAACTAGGCTATATTGCTGCTATAATAAAATTTGTTTCAATTGAAATAATCATTTGCTTGATGTGCAATTCGTCATCGATCATATATTCTCATTTTTGTCTACCAATTGTCGGTGTATCATTCTTACGATACAGATGGAACTCAGCAACACCTGGAAACAAAATGTTGTTGGTCAGTTGAAAATTCAAGCATATCATGTTTGCGGCGCTATTGATGAGTGCAATTCTGCAGTTCAGAGATGAATTCATTTATACACAGATTCAGTACAAATAATAAGCATTAATGATTCAAAAAATATGGCTTTTTTGTGATACTGATTTTTGTCAATTTACGGCACTGTACCACTACATGAAGTATTATGCCTAAAATTATTATATATATCTCTACTATAAAATTTGAAAAAATTCTTACCATAAGTCAGAACCGAAATTACGAGCAAGGCAATGTGAATGTAGATTTTTGAACCTACGCATAGAAATGGACTCCAGAAATATCCAATTGTTATACCAATTGTAATGCAAACATTCCGCACACTGAAAGAAATCTCGCGATTTTCTGGGAAATATTGTGCAACGATAGCTGAAATAGGAATTTTATATAAGTTCAGCTTTCTCTACCGATTTTGTAGAAAATATTCAATGCTTTCACGCATACATAGTTTTATTAATACTAAATAACTGTATTATTGTTTCATATTAGATTTTACTATCAATAAAACGCCTAATTTGAAATTTTACCAGGATTACCCTGTAGTGCGTTCAGTTGAGAGTTCTGATATTTCGAACAAGTCGTTTCATTGTATGTTAACTGTTAAGCCTTACAGAACGGGCATTCAAACCATTACCAAACGGAAGTTTGTGTAATAGTTACTATCTACCAAGAATTTGAACTTGTCCGCTAATTTGCCTTACCTACTGTGGAATTTTTCCATAGTGCGTCAGTCACTCCAAATCCTACAGATAAAAAGTAGACAAGGAATGTAGTGCTGGTAGTAGGTTTCCAAAATTCACAGAGCAAATAGTTGGCCAATGTCAATGTAGCAATGGTTGCTACGGTTGCGTTCTTGCCAAAAAATCCTATGATTTTGCCAATCAAAAGCGATGCTCCAATGTGAAAAACATCATACAATACCAATACAGGTCCAACCTTGTGATAATAAAATGAGCTAAGAATTTCATGTTGGAAAGAAGCAAATATGATAACATACCATCAAAAAGTTCCTTTCATGGATAAAATGATTCGGTTTTCAAAGAACATGGTATATAATATATATATATCAGGGGTGGCCAACCTGCTTTCAACCGGATCGACTAAAATCTTCAAAATAGATCGCGATCGACTGATCGGTAATAAGGTCCTACACAAAAACGAATGAGCGCTGATTTATTTAAATCATACAATTCAGATAAAGGGCGTGCCTAATTTTTAGTCGTAAAAATTGAAAATTCTTTAAGAAACCTTGCAAAGTTTTCATGTATTATCCAAACAGCGAAAAATTAATATTCTCAATCTATGAATGTTACAAGACTACTCAAACTTCAGTATGTAATTTACAATTTCCTCCAAAAGCGATTCTTCGCTTGCTTAGAATTAGAACAAATTGGGCATTTTGATGCCACTGCTACCATTGCGAATAAAATTTATCACATTACTCTTGGAGTGAGACAATAACTTTCGCATACTGTGGAAGTTATTGTAGGATCGTTTGTCAGTCTAGACACGCGATATTCGGCACTTCATTTTTGAACCTTGGCAGCGGAAAAACTTGCATTTGTTAGGGAATAATATGCTTTACCGGGCTTGCCCAGACTTAAATACTGTATGTGTATATTGTATTTTGCGCATGTAAAGAACTGTATTCTTTCTGTTGTTAAACACACAACTGGTTCGAGGCAATTTTTGGGGGTATTTAAATAAAATTCACTCAACATCAGACGCGATCGACGTGTTGGCCACCCCTGGTATATATGTATAATAACTTGTAAACCTTGATTCATTTCTATTACCTAGTTACTTTCTGTCGTGTCCACTTAGTTTTTCATGTTTCTTTATTTGAAATTTGTATGCTGTAGCGTGTGTTTGGTTAGCAAAGTTGTAAGCTTACAGAAAGGATAGTCAATTTGGCTATATCAAATATTCAATAGTTAATTGTAAGTGTACTTCTGTCATTTCGGTAATTTCTCACCATTTCTACTCCCAATATGCACGATGAAAAAGCTCTGTTCATTTCTGAGTAAACGAATGCCAAGAATAATCCATAATGCAGCAACATTGGGAATAGCAAAATTTGCTTTAAAGAGATTGTATGCTTCATGGTCGCCTTCAAAGTCGCCAATACGGAAACGTCTATTTTCTGTTTGTTCAAAAAGAATAAATTAAATTAGCCTCATACTTACTTAACTAAATGGTTAGATCCCGTTGTGAACATGAATCACGGGCAAAAACAAAAACTTCGTTCAGTGCAAATAGCTGGGGGATCATTGTTAGTTTTAAGTGCAAAGATATTAAATAGCACATCATCGGCTTTGCAGTTTTGTGCTATTGAACAAACTATATCAACCATTGCACCATTGACCACCAAATTTGTTCCTGCCCATTTTAGAATGATATTCAAAAATGATAATATTGAGATACTCACTTTTGTTGTTTTGTCAATGGAAACGTCTTCGCTTCCACCAATTTTTGTTGGTTTTATGACATTTTTTATTTCTGAATTTACTAAAAACTTCGCGTGCAAACCAATAGCACAAAGCGCTACCAGAATAAATGCTCCCATAAGACTATAAACAGAAATTGGATTAGGAGGGACGTAGTTGTTGAGAAATTTTTTAGTAACGTTAGGATTTTGGCAGTCGTTCGCTCCACAGTGTTCGTAGTTATTCATCATGGTAGTACCGTTGAATAGACCTACTGTAGAGTTTGTTGTTGTGTTTTCTATATCGCTCCTTGTACTGTATAATATTGCGTAACTGAGAATGCTGGTAAATATCTGAATTCAACAAAATACTCGTTATGAATGGAGAATGATGTAGCCTACGGCGCCAATTCTCATCTCAGCTATTTCACATGATTCGTTTTTGTCCATAATAATTAGGTATCTACGGACTAAATCGAAAATTGTTGACATGGGCTGACGCGAAACATATTAAGATGATGTACATTGTCATGAAGTCTATTCGCCTGTCAGCTGAATGTGTGCTGATGTGAGTTTCAAATGTTGAAAGCACTAGGGAGGTTAAAAGATGGGGTGATAATATAGCAATAACCCTCATGATTTTACCCCAATTTCGGAGTTTTACTCCCATTTCAGTTAAAATTACGAAAAAGACAAGCGACAATCAGATGTGAACTTACAGTACGAACTAAACTAATGCGACTATATCTGCTATTAACACAAGAGTTGAGTAATTGTGTAATGCGAGAGAAAATATATAAGTCATATATTACCCTCCCAGATCGTAGGATAGCAAAGAATTGTCCCGTATATTTTCTTTCATAATCATCGGATTCTTTACTTCCGTATAATCCATGCATTTGACCAAATACAATGTTATATATTGGCATTGTTGTCCAAACCAGGGAGCTTCCTATTCCTTCCAAAATTCCAACCGGGATCATAATATATGGTGCTGAAAATATAGTAAATCAATATTGCTAATAGTGTTATTTTAAGGCTTTGTGGTTTGAAACTGATACAAATTTTTACCTGGATAAAAATTTCCAGCGACGTAAAGAATTGCTGCAGTTTCTCCTAAAACTAGAGACCATTTGTAGCCAATCCTAAATATAAAACAGTTCATGACTAAAATGTCTGCCTTGTTTAACAAAAAAATACATCATGGCTCAGTAATAAGAGCGAGAGTGTTTAGAGTTTCTGATCAAAATAGATGGGATGATGCAGATGAAAAAAGAATAAAAGCATAAACTCAAAGAATTTTAACGATTGAAATCCTTCCCGTTTCACAGAAAAGATTTGAGTTGTCCGTTTAGGCTCTATGTCCATCACATCAGTTATGATGTAATGAATGAGGTGACTTATTGCGAACCGGAAAGATTGCTGTGAGGCCAGGAAACATATTGATCCACACATCCACTTGCAGTAATTGCTTCTCACTATAAGAAGCGGAGAAGTGGTATAAGATAACTAAGTAAACCGTGTTTATGTAATTATCCAGTTTTATAATAGGAGTACTTGTAATTAAAGCTTTTAGCAGTTTTTTATAACAAAGATACTAATGTTTATACTTTCGTATGATCAGTGGGGTGCAGAACAGTCCAGCTAAAGTTGAAGTCAATTTAGAAGTTCCCAAAGTCTTTGTGCCTGTCAAACAAAGTACGCAGAAAATGAAATTTGTTTGTCAATCAAAGTTTTGGTGATATTTATTTTTTATTACATCAATAAAGTCAATTCGTCTCGGACATGCTTTATAATATAATAACTTAAAATTTGCTATAACTTGAACTTTGCTACTATAACGATAAGGGAAAAGGATACGAGACGAAATTTCAAAAACATTGAATGAAGTGTCACTGTTAAATGAGAGTCACATCCAACACGTCAAGTCGATAGTTGCACAATTTGAGATACTTGTACATTTTTTACAGATGAGTTGCAATATTTTCACATATCACACTCGTTGTAGTTCTGAGAGTGAAGTGGCATATGCTTTTGATAGGAAAAACTTATTATTCTGCTTTCCATGGTTCAGTTTGTTTTTATCTAAATTTTCCACAAAGTGGGGTACTTACCAATGTTCTTTTTAATATTTATGCTGCTCTGTAGACTGCTAACTGACATGATTGTGCCTTGGAGAAGTAAACATCCCAAGGCAAAGATATAAAAATTAGTCGTAACTTTTCTGATATTTTTCCGTTTTGATAGATTTCCGTACACTTTGCGTGGAACATCTGCAACGTCGTTTCTCGTCATTCTCATTTCTTGCTTTTGGGGTATTTTGTTTAATAACGCAAGACCTAAAATGTAACTGAATATTCCACTACTGTGTTCAACTATATAAGGTATTAAATAATTTAAGTTAAATTTATTGATCTATAAACTGTTTATTGCTAAATGCGTAAAATTATAACGAAAAATTGTGTTGAGCGCTTATACAAAACAATTGACTCATTTCTCGCTTTTTGGTTATATTTTTTAACGCAAAACCTAAAATTTAACTGAGTACTATGTTCAACTATATAAGGTATTAAATAATTTAAGGTAAAATTTATTGATCTATAAACCGTTTATTGCTGAATGCGTTAATTTATAAAGAAAAGTTATGTTGAGCGCTTATACAAAACAATTGACACCATCTAAAATGTCTTCGCTTTTATCAGACAACATTTCGGCTCACGATTTCGTTGCACGAAAATTTGACTCTACTTTCTGAAATTGGAATGTTTTGTTTTTGTTTTGATTTGAACTCATCAGCCGCAAAACGAACACTTATTTATTTATGCTGTTTCATTTATATTCTGATTTAAAATTCGATTCAATCGGCTTCTTGTAAAAGAAACCCAATGTAAGTCTTCATAAACACGAGAAAAACTGACTGAAATGAAATGACTGACTGACTGAAATGGACGACAAATATTCGTCTGATATCTTCTCGGCGTTGCTAGGAAAGTGAAATGAATACATACAGGCTACAGCTTGTCTCACAAATATATACATATCTTATGAGAGCTTTCTCTGTGAGTGCATCAGTGCCGTAAACTACATACAGCATCAAGTTCTCATCTCTGCTTTCACTTTTTCCGCGTGATAGTTTTGTTGCGCGTGCTCAATTCGAAATATAAATCGCAATATCTCTCAAAAGGGCTGTCATTGGATCCGGCTGTAAGCTAGTTTTTCATTTCTCAGTGGCATATGGAATTGTTTACGCTATCTACACGCATCATACTGATCAATTGGTTCATTTTCTTCAATATTTTGTTATATTGCAACCGGGTCATCTCGACCCTTCAGCTGATACCCATTTAGTCCACATTGATATCAAATCATGCTTGCTACATCTGTAAAATAGTTTAACCCCATTTGATACAACCCATCAACTACAATGCATGTTAATTGTTAAGTTGGACATATAGTCAAGAAAGGACATATGACCTCAATCTCCATTATTACTGCGTCCTTCACGGGGGCTATTGCATTCATTCGTTTAGGTTTAGACTGATGATCCTGCGTTCATGGTTTTTTGCTATATCAGACAATGCGCAAACTTATAGAATTTCGAATAGAAATTCTTGACACTCTGTCTGCTCACTGCCAGTGTACCTCCTGGCGAACGAATTTTGTCATTCACCCAAGGTTATAACTATTAAACTGCTTTCCTCAAACTACTTAAATACTTACTCAAATTTGGTGAAACCATAGTACATCGCATTGCGCCAGTAGGCATTTGATGGCGCATAAATATATATGTAAGACCAACATTTTGCATAAATTCTAAGCTCTTGGACTTTCAGTGCTGTTAATTATTTCAATGCAAATACTTTCGTTTGCCATTAAAACCCATCCATTGGGTAATAATAACGAAAATAAACAATAATGACCTCCATATATACGCAAAAAATATGGGCACATATATCGCAAAAAAACAAACTATAAATATATATATATATACGGAAAATTACTAACATAACTTAGAAACCGTCTGTGACTATACGCGCACCATACCGTACTCTCGTGGACAATTTTATTGGAGCGCATTCGTGTTGTGAATTTGAAAAGTTTACAGTTCCTGCTTTAGCGTATTGATATTGACATTTCAATTAAATTAGCTAATGACAGTTGTGATCTCTGTGAAATGTTGCTGCAATTCGAATCTACTTGAAGCCAGGTAATACCTCTTGTGACATAGCGAACCCGGTCATCCACCTTAATTATTTGAATAAATGACCAACTGGTAAATTGAAAATTTTATGTTAATTAATACGTATCAAACCAAACCTAATACTATGAAAAGAAATAAAATAACACTTGTCAGTCTTTACAGTAAACTGTTTTTTACTTCCTGCTGTAAATAAAAGACGCGTTCATGCGAGTTGATCAATTGAAATTAATTTATCTGCAACCACTTTCAGCCACTTTTGTATAAATATATATTTATAAAAATAAATAACCAATGAATTCAAGTCATCGATGATACTATAGATTTATTCTTCTTTCTTTCTCTGATCTCTGCCACGCCCGACAGATGAAAATTACTGGTGAGTTTTGGTAAAACAAGCGACTGGCCTAGACTAATTGATTGATCTGCATGAGACAGTGACAGGTTATATATATATATATGTTCATTTTTCGACTTTTTTTAATTCCCGCTGAGATACTCAGAGTAGTCCAAGGCTGCGAGACGGACGGGCCACGGAAACGTTTGAACAGGACTTGCGGGCCGCAGTCGGAAAACCCCAACGTGATCGAAATACTGCGAGTTTAGTTAGTTTGAATATAATAAAGAAAGAGAGTTCGCCCTTCTAATCAGCCTATTGATAAGTTGCCTGGGAGGCGTTTTTTTTTTAAAATTGCTTCTCGAGAAGTACCGTGGTATTTCCGTATTTCTTTTCGTGTCTTGTGTTGTAATGTCGTATCGTATTATACTCTTTCGCAGTGGCGTAGCCAGGAGGGGGGTTTGGGGGTCAGTTCCAATAAAAGCATTTTTCTGTATCATAAATAGCAATTTTTCGAAGGTTGAGACAAACCCTCAAGACTCACGAAAACACCCGCTAGCTAGTTCGATCTAACTTAGCAAACACAAATTTCTGAATTTGTATAAATGAATGGAAAACAAACATGAATTACCATGCCAAAAGTTAAGCAAACAGACGTGGTAGTCTGGTAGTCATCGATTTGAACAAATTTTTCATTAATTTTTTTTTCCGAATCATTTGTGAAGCGTACGTTAAATCCATGAAAACGATGCGATTATTTTACTTGGTCACGTTGAGAACGAATGAAATCAAAATTCGTGTCATTTGGTGAATAGCATGAATGGCTTATGTACGTTGTCCCGGACGCAGGCGTACAAATTTTATTTGCCTTTCGTGTATCACAATTAAAATAGTGCAAATACAATACAACAAATCTCTTTATTTTTCCCAAATAATTTTATAAATTATTGGTCTTATAGAAAATAAGGAACCGTATGACATATGGGCATAGAAAATGTTAGAAAAATGACACATATATACACGGTCACTGCGGGACTCTCTTCGGGGGTGTGCACCAGTAAATATTATTGCTTCCATTGGCATGTCATGAGAGCAGAAAGTGCGCGTCAGCAGAAAACCAGGTGAGTGATTGACAACTTTGCGCAACAAAAGCAAGTCTGTCCGTGATGGAAAAGAAGTAATTTGAAACATATTATAGAGAGAACATAGCTTTTGTACAAAGCGTCCTTGATTTCTGACACTTTTGAGTATGCAAGCATACGCTCACAGAAGGTCAAGCACGGACAAAATAAAAGTTTTTTTTTTTCATTTCCGTGGAACAACGGTTCCCAAACTCTTTGTTCGTGCGGTGCCAAATTATCAGGGGAAATACACGAAAAAGACACTTCGTATAAGACAGTAAACTACATAGAGCTATAAAATGAATTTATTGATTCACATACAAAACATTTCGATATAACAAACAATGAAACATTTATAATAAAAATAATATGTAAAATATTCAATCATATATCAAGTATGTTCAACACAATTCTGCTAATTTTCGATGCGCACATAGCAAATCGACGAGCGCATCTTTTGGGAACCGCTGCCGTAAAAGTAATTAGGAAATTTATGGGTTCCTGTTTTGGGACACCTTGTATATATACTTTTTAGAAGACGCCATGCGGCAAAACTAGTTTAGAAAAGTAGTTTCATATATATTTGCTTTGGTGAATATTATGTCCACAGAAAGAGTCGTCACAACTAATGAATTTCTGTGAATTTTTTATGAATTTAGGAAAATAATGAATTTTTACTTAGCATTACATCAAGTGAATAATTTTGTACAATTTACCATATTCGAAAAACAGTATGACAGTTTACACCTAGTCTCTACCATAAGGCTACGCTTTCAATCGAGCAGAGATTACATGGGACGCGGAATTAAAAAATGCCATTATTAGAATGACATGAATATCCTGATAGGAACCAGAAAAATAAAACGTAACAAAAGGTCAGTAAGTATAAAGTTCATAACGGGTATAACAGTAATTAAATATATTAATTGATGATTACGTTTTACCAACAGTAAATTTACAAGAATAATGAAGTTGCATCAGTTAAGAAATTGAAAATTTCATAGCATAAACATAAAAAGTTAAAAGAATGTCAAGCTACGATTTTAATTTTTCTAAGCAGAGCAGTAGGCTACGCGAGCAAGAGCAATAGGTGTTAGGACAATTTTACTACACTGGAGGTAAGTCGGAATCTTCTCTTTTATTTTCCCTCTTGCGTACCACAGAAACATTGTCAGTTCCAACCTGTCAATATAGAACACAATATAGAACCTGTCAATATAGAAGCGCTAAGTCATAACAAAGTCATCTTCGGTTAGGATATCGGTAAATTCCCGAAGGAGTTTTTTCTGACATCTAGGACCAAGTCTCATGCGTCAAATGAATTTTGTGTATAAATATTATAATTGGGGAATCCTCACGAATAAAGAAAATGTGTGACCACTCCAATTTGCATTTTTTTTTAATATTTTTGTATAAAGGATATATTTAATTATTGCTAGAGATATTCGGCGTCGTTAGTCAGTTGGTTGATGTGCCTTACTTAAATAGTTGCCTCGGAACTGCAGATCAGCTTAGTTTATATCATTAATTATCATTTTTATAAAACCTCTGACTTATATGGATTTGTACTTTATAGTTTTTAAACAGATAGCATCTAAAGTAACGTTTTATATAATTAGTTACCTGTACGTTTGAGTTATCACCATGAATATGTACAATGTGCATTGCCTGAATGGATACTTTTTGACCAGACGTACCTTCACCAACTAACGATTTATTATCTGGAGTCGCACATAGGTTTGTATTACCAGAACATGACGAAACCAAGCCAGGTTCAGCAATCAAATCGTCAGAATTTGGTGGTAAATTTCTCAATTCGTTAACTCCGGTATCTACAGTTGCATTAGGAGTTGCTGTCGAATTCTCGCGAGCGTGATCGCCCCTTGCTCTTTTCTGAACGCTAGCTATTGTCTTGGTGAGACGCATCTCAAAAAACTCATCCTCACGTAGTGTGGTATAAGCATCAAGAGTCAGAGGAAGCCTTGAATGAAGATATTCCCCCGGTTGCACAGTAACAAATCGGATACCAAGATCACGTCTAGTTATGGATGCATATTGGGCAATATGCCTAGCTGACTGCAGGATGCCTTTATCGTTTAACGAAGTCCTCGTAGCCAGCCACAGTACCATTTGTTGTTCACTCACGAAAGACTCTATGGCCTCAAACACAGCTAGACCAGCGTCATAAAAATCACACATTTGTGCTTTACAACCATTCCTATTTAAGGCATCACATATGCGATTGGCAATTTGAATATCAGCATCTGCGTAGAAAAGCCCTGCTTTCAATTCATGTTCCTGCCAACAAAGATATGTTTAGAACAGGCTTACATATACACATTTAACGCCACAGTCTCACTAAACGGTAAACCTATACAATATATTCAATTGCTGCTACAACTTACTTGATATACTGTAGACTGGTCCATGGGTTGGTCAACCGCTGGCTGACTTGAATTAAAAACGACTGAGTCATCGTCGTTAATACGACTTTCCATCACAAATTACGACCAAAGAGTGATGGTTTCAGCAATGTATATACTCTCTGATTGTAAGCTCTGTCTGATTTTCAACATCGACAGGCTCGTTACGCATCGATAGTAAAGCAGAACTCTGTATTAACTCGTATCACGTGAATCATTACGTAACGCGTACTGACGTTTGGGACAATAAATAAACTTTGTTAGGTGTTGACTCTTTTAGGGTCGCTCCAGAAGTATGTGTACCAATATGGAGGGAACTAATTTTGTTGGCTTACTTCACATCAAGTTGTGTAAAGGGATGGAAACCTATGAACTGGGGGTATATTCACTTTGCTGACACAGACAGTCCCCGAACTCGTAATAGACCTAACATAAGTAAAATCAGAATAAAATTATGGCCTAACCCTAACCTGGTATACACACAACAGGAGCCCTTTTAGGACTTGATTTATCTGAGTCGATAGCTTGTTTATATTATTCATTCTATATATTACGAAAAATTCCCTATACTCAGATTAGATTTTTACGAGACGACGAGACGCCTTAATCACATGACAAACCACGGTCTATCGTCCGGTTACCAGTTCATGTCGGGTTCAGAATCAGTCAATCAATTATTTGTTTCATATGCACGGACTTGATGATATAGAAATCCGTAACCGAACAGCGGTTATGTAAACCACCCTACGGCGGGAGCAATCCGCTCACACATAATTATATCCGCGGGATTCAAGCCTGCTAACCCACGTAGAGCAGTCTGAGGTGCGGTTGCGAACGTAATCCTAACCCTTAGCGCGGTGCCTAATTTCATTGAACAAAGGCGAAAGATACCTAATAAAAACTGGTACCAATTTGACTATGAACTCTACCCTGCACCATGCGCGTTTCCTGTGTGAAAGAAACCTTCAATTACATATTGGATTTAAAAATCTGTTTTAAGTAACAAAAAATATCAAATATATATATATCATTTTTTACTGGCATTGTTCATTGTATTCGTTATATATATTCCTAAGCTACTCTCTTACTAAATAATATTAACAGCAAGAAAGTAACAATCACCCACACACACACACACATATATATATTTTTATTTTAAATTTATTTGTACATTCACACATTTTTGAAGAATTAACAAATATTTCATTCTGCAAAACTGCATAGAATTGACATAACAACGAAAGAACGGTAGGCTCGAAAGAAAATTTCCTGCACTGAAGTAAGAATATTCAAATTTATCGAGAACTTGAGATAACGTTCAAATCAGTCTGTGGTAAAATTAATGTAAAAAAATATGTTATTCATTTTAGATATTGTTGAGCTGCTTTTTATTTAGCGACACATGTCCATGCTAACTTCCATTTATTCGTTGATTTTCAACAGGCGTCTTTTTGACACTCACGTTTCGACGTTTGCTGGATAATGAAAAACCTATAACATGAGATGGTGATATTCGGCATAAATGTCTAAATGCCTGCTAAGGTTGTTAAAATAAATCTCGATAAGCGTTGAAAACACTATTATCAACGTTATTCTATCTTTATTGAGACTTGAAAAGATAGATTTAAAACACAGTCATTATACAATTTAAATATGAGGTGTTACACCACTTAATTAATAACCCACTTTAAAAAAAAATTATTTGAATATTCAGAATGTGGCATATATACCAGTGCAGCTGGTATCGCTAACAACAATATCTATATAATCTCATCGATTTGAGACCCCACCCCTAAAATATAAAGGCTGGGAGGCATACTTCCCCACAACTTATATACGGAGCTGTTAATAGACATACTTGAAACTATTGTATGTACCGGCAACTTTTCATGATTTCATTGAGAAAATCTTATATAAAGGTGAGTGAAGAGGGTGTTGAATTAACTTATTTTACTCACGACTTGGCTTCTTTTTGATGGTGGTTGGATCAAAAATATCCTTTGCGTCCGTACTCTCAACTTCGTCGTCGACGGCCTCGGCTTGAAAAAAAGATCCTCGTATCCTTGGATGACGAGTTAGGAACAAATCTTTTTTTCTGTTGAGAAATAAAAAAAAACTCAAAAATTTTCTATTGTATACAGTCAATGTTTCACACTGGGATATCTTGTCTGGTAGATGATTGTTAGATTGAACTTCAAGGCCAAAATTTACACATCGGATGAAATCGTTGCCAGTACTGTAAACAGATAGTGAATTAATTTGCTGGCGCTCAATTTAAAATTTACATCAATCATGTGAGCTTGATTGTACTGATTTCCAAATTTGCGTTTAGGACTTTGGGAATGACTACCAGTATGTTTGTGTTCATTGTGATTTCACTTCACATATAGTGATAGTAACATTTGGAAGGTTGAGCTTCAACCTTCAACCTCAAGGGAAAGAACTAAATAAAATCCTAAAAATAGTCTCGGAATATCTAGTGAAAAATATTACCTGTATACGAAAAGTGCAAAAATTACTACCGTTGCCACTAGCAGAAGAATAATCAAGGTGACTGCAATGTGATATCCAGTACATGCACAGTATCTCTCGTTTGAATATGTCACTTCGGTATTGTTATCGTCTTTGTATATGTCAGTAGTTTTTGAGAACGTTGACACTCGAATTGTACTTTTTGTGTTTGCAACATTTAGGGTTGAAGTCTGAGTAGCTGAATTTGTGGCTGAGTAACAAAATGAAATAAGTCGTTCGTTCGATTATATTATATATATAGTCAAAATAACGGTAGCAATCGTAAAAAAGATAACGAATTCGCATTTCTATCCAATCTTAAAATTCAGTATTTAATTAACTTTAATACCATAACGTAATTCACTCTGAACAAGAATTTACACAAGCAGCCACGGATAGGAGCTAAAGAGCTTCCTTTTTGTGCAAGAACCGTAATACTTCTGTAACTTTTTTAATTACATGTTCTATAAATTGATTCACACAACATATACGTCCATTAGAACTAAGAAAAAATACTCTGAGCAATACTTACTAGGGTATGGTGGTGGTATACTTTGGTATGTAATATTTATTTCATTTCCGTTGAATTTACTGAACTTCCTAAACGTAATTGTATTCAGAGAAGTCTCTTCAATTCTCCAGATTGCACAGCGACGAGGTTTTATCTTCTGCTTCAAATGTGCAAAATTTATAGACGATATTGAGCGTTTAAAGATATGACACACGGGTTCATCGGATTTGCACGGTAATAGTCTGTTATCTGAAAATGAAAATCGAGTATAATGAATGCATAGATTTTATGTTATTAATTTCGAAGGTAATGCGTCTTTGTAATTAATTAACATTTCCATCGACTGCGCACAGTATGCCTGATTATATCGTTTTTGGTTCGGTTAATAAAACCAAGATGTGCCATTGAGTAGCTTATTGGATAAATGCTAAACGGTTTATTTAAATTATTGTTATTGAACCAATACTCGTTTTCAGTATTTAAAAAAGTAAAATGATCAAAAATTTACCAGAGTTTATGTAAATATCAGCAGTACATGTGATATTGTTGTAAAAATTATATGACGGAATGTAGACAACGTGAAGACACTCAGGATTTGAAATTGCAGGAATCTTCCATCGACATCTTCCTCTCACCATGATTTTGGTGGTGTCTATCACTCCAGAAACAGTATCTGCGATGTATGTTGGTATGTTACAGCTGTCAACACCACAAATTGAAAGATATCCTAGAAAACAAATATTTAATTATTTTTCATGCTTCATATTTGGTAATTCGAATGTGGCCCCATTTTCACAAATATTATTTTAAAAATTTCAAACGTTCCTATGATGTTGATATCAATTTGTTTGATAACGTTCATTTACCCACCTGTTATCTGAAGAAGTAGCGTTCTGAGAATTTTCATTTTTAATTCTGACTTCTAATTATAAATAAATTAAATATTAATTAACTAAAATAGAAGTTATAATTATTAATCGTGGTAATCACTTTTTTCAAGCTCACTCCAATTTGATTCTTTTTTAATGTACCAACAGAAGTAGAATTATATAAATAGGCCGGGTTGAGGTTGACGACATGGCATGTCTACTCTCATCTTGGTATATGAACAGAAAGTAACTTTCGTTTTTCCTATTGTCATGAACAAACGTTTGATAAATTCGCTCATGAATTCCTCTGTACTATCAATCCACGGCATATATTATTCACACCTGATCTCACCTAACATCATTGCAATTCCAAACTATTTATGCAACGGAATTTTTATTGATCGACCAATGTAATTTTCCAAGTGTGACGTAATACTATTGATGACAAAAGTTTAGTTTGTCATAGTCGTTGGGTTTTTCCCAAATTTAATCGTCGAAATCGGGAAAATGGTTAAAAAATCGCAAACTAAGGTAAAGTTTTCTTCGTTTCGTAATATGAGGAAAATATCTACCGTACAATAACAACCCGTACTCTCGGTATTACATATTTTTATAATAACATGAATCTTCAACGTGAACATCTTTTGCCTTTTTCTAGAATGAAAAACCCATTCGACCATTTTTTTAAGACTGTCAAAATACGAAACGATCTCCACCAAAACTGTGGAACTTAAAATAATTTAAGCTGATACTTGAATCTAAAGAAAGCTGTCGCATCCTGTCTCCCATTCTAAAGTTATGAAAGTGAAATTCCTGCAGGTATTTTTTATTATACTACCGACTTCATTGTTGAATACGTTTGTCTTGATTCACTCAAATGTGCTTCAGTGGCAACTTTTATTAACATAATGAATTTCTATTTCCCTGACTCTCGAGCATATGCATTCTGAGTTGCATTTTTACAAGCGCTTCTGAAAACTTATTTATTATAGTTTGTCCCAAGTCAGTTTTTCGATGATATATACATATAGTAAATTATTATCAATAGCCCACACCTAATATTCGATAAGATTTACGTATGACGTCATCGTATGTTCCAAAACTTAGTGTATGACAATAGTAGGCGAAAACATGAGTAATTTCACGTTCCTTAGCGATTTCCAAACACTGTGTAAATAATATGGTATGACCGACTTCGACTTTATCAGCATTGGAATATTTTTAATGGTAAGAATAATGAGTAATAGGAGTTGTTCAATTCGACAGTATGCTCATCCCTGCCCCCTCACATTCTATGATGACTGCTTGGTTAAGTTTTTCGCATATAAAACCAACGTATATGTATGCAGTTTAATCGTAATATAAAAACGTTTAAAACTGTAAAGAAAAGCAATTATTACGATTTTTAAATTTTCACGATGTGATAAATGTAGATGTCCATTCTTCAAAATTCACAGACAACACCATCACGCGCATTGTTTGGATCATAATTCCACATATTTTGAGGGGATGTGCTGGGATCTGGTCGAACTTGAAGGTTGATTTGAGTGTATGCCGCGTTTGCTGATGGGTAACCAGGGTACCATATCATGTACGGTGCTAATGTACCACCTCTCAGATAAACTTCACCGTCCTGAAACAAATATCAAATTGGTTTTTAAAAATAGGGGGGGCGCATGAAGATTTCAGAAACGAATACTTTTATTCGAATCGAAATTAATCACGAGTCTTTTTAATCGCAATAGACATCCAATCACACAAGTAATCGAAAACATAGAATCCATCACTCAAACGGTTCACTGAGTGTTCATACCAAATAAAATACCATGTTTAATCAAAACCTCATTAGGAAGAGAAGAGTCCTATGTCAGAATTGCATTTTGTGGCTCCAGTAAAAAAAATGACGAATTCACCTCGACCTTTGGCGAACAATAAAAAAAAGATGGAGGCAATTCGAAATTTTTGTCTAGACCGATTCCAATAATTTACTATTCGATTCCAAATGCCAGCCATAGTCGAAATCGAATGCACGGCATTTTAAACAAATAGAAACTTGAACTAGTTGTAATTATATTTCATAATACAGAGTTAAACAATGCTACAATTCTGCCTTAGATGTTTTAAAATTAGTCATAAATTTTCAAACGAAGTTATGCATTTACCGTTTTTTTGTATGTCATTCCAAGCCATGGTTCAATGTAGTATCTACCATCTGGAAATACAGATCTAATGTATGAAGTTAATTTATCGTATTGTTCTTTGCTGTATATATTAGCGGGTTCGGCGCCAATTTTTTTGCATTCTTGTTTTGCTCTCACATAGTTCATCTTTTCAAAGGTCACAAAGAAACATATGTTATCATGTTTCACATGACACCAAGCTAAATAAAAAACAAATTGATCACAGTTAAAAAACGATTCAATTCCACGAATAATTGCGATTTGAAATGTGGGAAATACCTTTCTCAAAACGATCCTCCAAATATTCCAGTCTTGGTAACAACTTCTGGAATTCTGTCAATTTAAAAAATAACACAATTCAAATATACGATACGATTTTTAACGTATTTTCACTATTTGAATACATTGAAATTATTATCTAGGATTTCGATGCTACTAGAATTGGAACTGAAACGCGAAGATGTCAAAATCTCCTATCAATGGAAATACATATCATGTATAATTGAGCTTATAAAAGATAGATGACACCATGTCATATATGTATAAAACTCTATATTTCAATTCTTAGAAGTAATAATGATTTTAAGTAGTTTAACACGGCGAAGTTGTTAGACTCACCTGTTACGACTTTGTTCTGGATTATCAACTCAATTCTGTCGTAATCTACGACTGCTGTTTCACCAGGTAGACCCTGTGGTCCAACTTCACCTTTGTTGCCTCGCGAGCCTTTTGCACCTCTTTTTCCGGGTCTACCCTGTGTTTTTGCTGTTTGGTTGTGAGTTAGAGACGTTTGGGATTCAGTCGTAAACACATCTTGAACGTCTTTACAAATCATATGACGATCTATTGCTTGTGACGTGCGCCAACAAATAAGACACAGCAAACCTTGTAACAAGTACAACTTCAACATATTTACAATTTCTATGCTGTTTTTGAAAAAAAAATTCCTTATTCGATATTTTCTGTAATTGATGATGAGGTAAGCATTGTTCTCTTTCCCATTTTGTTAAATCTACTTTGCCACGATATTTTCCTGCTTAAGCATGTTTTATGACGAAATGACTGGAATTCTAAACATGTTTTATGAAAATTCACTACGACGAAAATTTGAGATCATTTAACAAAAGTTTTATTTCGAAAATCCACCCTAAACAGGTTAAGTATCTTATACAATGAAGACAATATTTTATAATAGCAGTATTAATTGTGTCTCGTGACATGTTCTTAATTCTTGCAATCATCATACCAAAAGCAACGATAATCTGCGCTGTTTGTCAATTTCATCTGATAAGATGGAGTCACAATATTTCTTCTATAGTCATACAATGAAACCTTTCTATCCCATAATTTAGAAAAGCGAAAGTCTCAGTTACATTAGAAATAATACGACGTGAGATAAAACAATAAAAAGCTGATATATCTCCGAATACTAAACTCAAAAATTGGATTTTGCTTGAAATAGTATACCATCCAGTTGTGCGACACTAGTTGTGGTAATGATTCAAATAAAGTTACCCAAATGCGTGAATTCAAACTTACAAAATTCTACACAGGATTGTCAAAGATCATTGCAAACCCTATAACTGAAATTACTTCGGACATTTCATAGACTTTTAAAATCTTTTTTGCCTTGCCAATGCAATCATATTAATACAAAAATCTACATATTTAACTATTAGATCAACTATTGATGTGGCAACAACTACCAGCCTCGAAATATAACGATTTCAGCGATGTTCAGTTTAAAAACGTGTTCGCAGGCGAACGTGCTTCCGAAAACTGATGCTCGTTTAACGTAAGTTTTTTAAGTAACGACTTGTTCAGATACATAACTTTCAGTATGCCATCGCTCTGTAAATTTATGGGATATATCTGCAATTCGTTGGGTAACGAATATGAGAGTGTGGCTAAGATCAAGTGTAGCACAAGAGCGATCATTTCTCAAACAAGCCTAGCCGAATAAAGAGAACCATATATTTTTACTTATTCCAGTTGGGAAAAAAAGAAAGCAGCCATCATCGAAGAAAAACACTAATCACTCCGATTTAGTGACGTTATTGACAAAGCACATTCGACTTTTAACTGACGTCGAGCAAAGGAAAACACGTGTTTCGAGATGCCGACCTACAAGTCGGCGTTGAGCTGCAACATAATCTACGACCTCTAACTAAACCGTCATTGAGAATAAGAAAGTTTCTTTGACTGTCGTTGTGTTTTTGTCAATTTAGTTAAGCAACACCCTCATATCGATAGTTATGCCAAAGTAAATGTATTTTGCAAAATCCCAAACATGTGTTTGAAATGTAGAAGTCGGTCAAAAGTTCGATTTTGTTGACTGACTACAAGCCAAATAGCACACTTGTGCTCTCGTAACCAATTTATTCTCGGTCATTTGCAAAGATGATCCAAACACGAATTCATCCAATCTGATTGCACCGTATTTCATACCTTTTTGATGGCCACTCAGTCAGTAGAAGATTTTAATTTACAAATGGAACCGATTTACATTCCACAGTGTGCAAACAAACGCACTCTCGTATTTAAGGGAGAAATGTGGAGAAATATCAAAGACCGGGTGAGTTCTACATGTGGCGATCGAGGACCGGATAGAAGAGCTCTGTTGCAGTCTGTATAATGTCGTTGACTGAATATTGAACAAGGCAATATATTAGTTAACTCAATGAAACGATCTATTTATTCTATTAGTTTAAAAAATATGAGGTAAGATTCAAATTTTGATGTCATCAATGTTTGTCATCAACACCGGAATTGGAAAGCAAAACGCTTTAGGTGTGTATCCGCCAGTGAAATGTGGGTTCGATGTTAATACCTCCAAAATTTCATTTTTTAAATGGAAATCATACACATACGTCAGTTGTGCCATACCAAAATTTACTAATATTTTCAGCCACGTATTTATAATTTTGAAGCGTTTTCTGTAACGTTTTCCACGTGAGATCTCTTTAATCCCTTGAGTTGTGTTTCTTTGAATGCTATTTTTAATACAGTAATTTCTGCGAAATTTTTCCATATTCAGATAATTGCTTGATACAATATTAGCCTTTCAAAAAATCAGAAATCTTTAAGCTTTGTCGTTGTTTTGGTATATATTATATTAGTTTTGTTAATGCAGTCTAAGACCACCGATACTACTTTATAAAACTGCATATACTTTGGACAAAGGCTCTTCTTTTGAATAATACAATAGCAAGATACCGTTTGGCATTCATTTCATTTTTAAGGTCATGGATAATACAGCTCGTCCAGTGGTGGGTGGTTTGAACTTGCCTAATGCCATTAGTTCTTTCTTACTCAGTCGTCACACCGTGATAGACTTTTACAGAATTTTTATTACGAGAACCACATAACTTTAATCTGCTTGACGGGCTGAAATATTTCGCAGGGGCAACGAATACACAAGTGCCAAATTTCGCCGGGGTTTTAGCTATAATTTTTGAAGCTTCATTAGAGATGATTTGTTCACATCCAACTCTTTGTGTTTATAGATGAAAGTCAGTTCCTCCATTTTCAATATATACTTGTATATATTCAAATATATGTATATATTGTATATATGTATTAAATATATATAGTGATAAATTCTGAGTATTTTGCGAACACTCGTTTTTTTGCTATAAATCACAAGTATGTTGCTTGTCATTATGTTTTTCATATCTCTATATATATTTTTTGTTTGATAAAGTGATTTGATTTTATGGACGATATTGCACAACACAAGTTCAAAAGGAATTAAATATACATTTTGCGTTTGATAAAGTGATTTGGTGCACGATAATGCACAACACAAGTTCAAAACGAACTAAATATATATTTTGTGTTTGATAAAGTGATTTGATATGATGGACGATATGGCACAACACAAGTTCAAAAGGAATTAAATATATATTTTCTGTTTGATAAAGTGATTTGATGCACGATAATGCACAACACAAGTTCAAAAGGAATTAAATATATATTTTGTGTTTGATATAGTGATTTGATGGACGATATTGCACAAGACAAGTTCAAAACGAATTTCGGTCACGACTTTTCGGAGGTTATATATGCTTGTTGGTAATTACCTCATGGCATTGTTTATTCTGCAGTAGGTATTAAAAATTTGTCTTGCAAATTTGAACACCAGCTCAAGTTTCACAATGTCGGGCGGGGATGGATATTTTCGGCTGTTTCTGTGTCTTCTGGTTGGAATTGGTTTGGTAATTGGAAGTGCTTTAATCATTTATGCTAAGAGGTCGCCAATTGAAGCAGTACCAATCAGCGGTATACACGACATACGGCAATTTAAATGGGCACAAGTTGAAAATAAAGACTTGCAATTAGGGAAAATCATAGCGCCTGATATACAAGCACCTGAATCTATTGCAATAGACAGTGACGATAACCTATATACCGGTCTAGAAGATGGGCGAGTCGTCAAAATAGAAAATCCCGGGGAGGAAAATCAAACCATCACCGACTTAACGAAATCGTTCGACTTTGCTAAAGGAAGCAAACGAAGCAAGAAACGTCCCCTCGGCATTCGCTTACATGGGTCAAAGTTATATTTCGCAGATGCCTACCAGGGGGTGATTATGATAAATTTAGAATCTACAAGTTACGAAGTCATTTTGCGCTACGATGACGTAACTCCCCATTTAGTATTTCCAGATGACCTAACCATAACGTCGGATGGTAAAACGATATTTTTCACTGATATGAGTTTGAAATGGGCTTATGAGGAAATCGCTCTCTTTGCTCTGGAAGGAGAATGCAGTGGAAGGCTTTTCAAAGTTGATGTGGAGACAAAACGTACAGAACTAGTGCGTGATGGTTTATGTCATCCTAATGGCATTGAAATTGACCGGGACGATAGCAAAGTCCTTGTGGCCGAGCACAATCGTCGCCGTATTGCCATCATTGACACAGAGTCTGGGAAGGTTGTGCGACATGTTTTATTACCCGGTGGGCCAGATAACATTCGAAGAAGGCATAATGGCGGGTATTGGGTGTCGATTCCTTATTTGCCCGATCCGGGACATTTTGTGACATGGGACCCGGTTTATCGCAACATAATTGCAGGGGCTTTAGGAGAAAAAGGAGTTCTTGGTTTGTTCAGCCTAAACCAAGGAATAGCGGTTAAGTTGGATGAAGACTTTGAGCCTGTAAGCATCCACTATGATTTGGAAGGGAAACTGTCGAAAGCGATTACAGAAATATCTGAACTTAGCGATGGAAGACTCGCTGTGGGATCGTTCGTTGTAAAAGGAATTCCATTGGTGGATCCTCTGCCTTCCGACTGATATTTTCTTCTAAAGTAGAAACATTGATCATAGCTGACATTCATAGGAATTTCCCATTTCGGGCTTCACCCAAACCATGAACAAAGTAGAACTATATAACCTCATGATTGTATCATAAGTCTGGCATCACATTTTTAGAAATTTGATTCCCAAATTATGCGATGGTTTTGAATCATTAAACATAATCATTTTGATAAGTTCCATAGCAGTCAGTGCATACGGATCCTCTGACGCCACGCGTAAACGCTACTTCATCATGGTTATTTCAATCTTTTATAGTTCCTGAATGTCCCCAAAGTTCATTTTTACCTTCAAATTATAGATAAACCTCAGGTCTTCAAAATATATATGGTCATAATACTATACGTTCAATTTGTTTTAGAATGATCAGAAAAAATTGGCAGGGTTTATGGCAGATGTCTCTTTGTTTACGGCATTGGCTAAGAAATTTGATTCCCGATATGACACTCTCTCCGATGACAACGTCGCAATCCCTTTTCAGCCAAAGTTGATTGGAAATTGATTTTAGCGGACATTTATAAGAATTTTTGAGCTGCTCCCAAACAATGAACAATGTAAAACTATGTCTATATATATATAGTCCGGCAGAATTAGGGCCGAACCTCGTTTTGAGACATAAAGTTATTTTTATTGTTTAGATATAATCTTGATGGCATAAATAATGATACTCAGGCATGTGTGGAGCTTATAATGTTGAGCCTTTTCAAACTAAAGTTGTTTGCCGCGAATATGTCGTTTTTTTTTGCATGAAGCTTCGGGACTGGGAAAATATTTTATTAGTTGGAATAAATCGGCCTTCACATGTCTAGGAACAGTTACCGCACTCTAAGTAATAAATGGTAAATTTTACCTTCACTTTATTTAAAAAGCGTGTCGGTAAACCGATTCATCGACAAATGTCGGTAATAATTACCGACATTGGAGGCGCATTAGGTGCGCGCGCACACTGATAAGGGAGAACAGACAATCCGACGCTATATTTTAAACGCGTAAATATCACGCGCGTTTTATGTTGTTGCTTTACTCCCTAATTTGTCCGTTTGATTGACGACTTTTGGATTTCGATATGTAGGTATATGACATGATATGTATGACAGTTATATCTGACAATCTTAGTTAGCAGTATTTCTGTAAGGTAATACAGCATGGATTCAATAATGCCAGTGTAGGTGTTGTGTTGTTTAGTGCTGATTAATAAAGTATTGTTCAGTGTGATTGTAGGGAAGTGGGGTTAGATCTACCGTACATACTGACAGACCGTGCCAATTAATTTATTCCAGTATTCTGCTATACTGCTGTACTGGCTATACAGCTATGGCAGTACGGCAGTATAAGGTTGGTTAGACTAGCTTACATCGGTATATTCATGTTACGTCTGTGTATACTTGACACAGCTGGAGCTGTAGAGCTTCGTATTTCCAACAGTCTGATCTGACAGTCAGTAAACTGGCAAATGCAGAAATATCAATACAATATGCAGTTATGCCCTTTAAATGCTTTAAATGTTAGTATCTAATACTAATTACTGAATTAAGATAAGGGGCAAAATACCAACTGCTTTGTGATGATAGCAGACCCAGACTACAGGGACTGAGGGAACAGAAGACTGGCAGAAGGAATGATGTTGCTCCATTAGCGGGATACATACACTGTAGCTTAAAGAATAGGGTTTTGAAGTACACATGTACCAATTAATTCAGTGATTATATACTCATATCAGCATTTGCCTTTTTTGAGTAGTCTATGATACAAATTCTTCTCTTCTATTTTGAATAGCCTTAGCACAATTCTGTAATTACATGTATACTGATATATGCCTTTCAGTTCATGGAATTGAAAATAAAGTAGTCAGTATTGTATAAGTACAGTATAATGAATTCATACTTGGGGGATGAATACATTCTTTATTAACAGTTTTTATTTCTCTTTGGGAAACTGAAAAACTCCAATGATGCAGGCATGAACAAATTGTCTACCACAACGCTTAATGTGAGAAATGCAAGTCCAGGGCTTCGAAAAAAGTTGAGATCCTGAATTCACCAACATGCTATTTCAAGAAAAAAGAATTTGGGGTGGCTGGTTATTTAATTTGCAAAAGAGATACATTGTCATTTGCTTTGGCAATAAAGTATTTAGGGAGTATTAAATGTGTGATTCCGTTTGAATATAATTTCAGGTAGCCTACCTCTTTCATCTGATGTACAAAGTTTTGTAATACCGGAAAAGTCTGTATCGATTGATTGTACATAGATTTTTGTCCATTGTCTCGAACTTGGCGTATGAAATATCCAAAAGAGGAAAAGACAATATGAACTTCATTACAAAGGTGAGATACCATATTGAATGCTAGCACAGATAATCATAGTTCTGATGATTGCTTAAGGGTTGTATTTATTTACATTCGACAATCTTTTTACATACTCTGTAAATTTCATTTTCTGGCGAAAATATACATATGTAAGCTTAAAAATAAGCTAATAACGTTATTAGATTGATGTACTGTCAATTAACATTAATAGCTATTTTTTTACTGCCATTCGACATTCAGTCCATAAAATCATATTTTAATAAAAAAAAATCCTAAGCTGTTGTTATGAGCCACTTATTTCGCTATCTACTACCGACTCTCATTATTTGACTATGGTCTATTACTGATACATAATCTTTATTCAATTTCTCACTAATTCCTATCAAATTTTACTGTATATTCATGTAAATATTCGGCGTCAACAGAAGTGTTTTATCAATAAAAATGCTTCTATTATATACAGATTAATTAACAAACCTGAGCTACACAAATAGAGTAACAATAAAAAAATAGTAGACAGTTGATTTTTGTACATATTCATGTCCAAACTCTGCCACATTGATATCCACACATTAGGGCAGATTAGGCTATATAAAAACTGTAACAAAGATACATACATACATAAAATTTTAAAAGTACATCCGGGCATTGACGCATAATTTTCTAGTTGTCTCGAATGATCCAAACGTTGTAATAATATCTATTTTTGTACTACACTTATTTTTTTGATAAGGTATATGCAGGGATGATACTATCTGTATTTTTATAAGCACATAAGCATCTTCACATTAGGGCAAGAACGAATCAATCCAATCCAATCACATAAGCATCTTCACATTAGGGCAAGAACGAATCAATCCAAATTTCTTTTTAGTGCGAATGAAAGTTTAAGCAATCAACTAAGTGAATCATTTTTCGATACAAAGCTTTAGGTATTTTAAGTTATATTGCTTCCATATTAGGTGGGCATTCCAGAAGTTTTAACTTCACACACATTTAGAGCTAAATTGCGTGGATATAGCTCCGCCATAAAATATTCCATTCTTTTAAAATCACATTAGTAAATAAATCAAGAATGGATTCATCTAATCTATTGTCAGAAATGATCATACTTTTTTATTGAATGAAAACGATTTACAAGTCACATAAACAAAAAATATTTATAATATACACTGATATTATATTGGTTCGGTCTTCTCTGCAAGAGTTTGTAGCGGTATTCCTATAAATAAAACAAAAGTTAAATATTATGAGAACATATGAATAATGTGTCACTGCCCACAAACGACACAACAGGATAGCAATTCCTGGTGTAAATATTACATTTAGCCATTAAAATCATATAGGCTAGCAGCGTGTTCATTCTGTATAGGGAAGACTGTGTAAATGTGATGTAAAATTACCTCAATCGTGATTTTGTAGTCAGTAATGTAATAAATATCAGGACGATCTCATTTTCTATTGTAGTGTGTGAGATTGAGTATGGGTAGCGCCCTTGCTGCTCGCCAGCTGCTCCCACCTATCTAAGAGGACGAACATCAGTGGGGCAACTTCTAAATCTCTCTCATGCTCCAAGCGTCATACTCTGATAAACCACTGGCGGGCTAAACCACTTGAGAGTGTATTGCACCACTGGGCGAATGGTCTTTTAGAAGCAGATCACCGGACAGGATGGAAGGATTCAGAAGAACTTCAACGGCTGAGTGTCCGTGGTCAGGGCGAACCTCCGCTTGGAGGAAGCCGGTTGTGCCTGAACCTGGAGAGTGATAGGCTCCGCCAGGCATCGATGCCTAAGATTCGCTACATGATGTAGCGCCCTAATGTCCATCACAATCTGTTTCGAATAGGGGTCCGCAATAGTTAGCCTTACGCCATGTGACGAAATTTAAAATAACAATGGTGATACATACTTTCTCCAGGAATACCAGCATCTTTAGCATCTTGGGAAACGATGGATTTTCTGCTTTTCAATGCATCAGTTGAAACTGAACTTTTTCCTCCACTTGTACGAGTAAATCCGGTAGCAGAGAGAAATGACTGCATTCTCTTATGATTCTTAATTTGTCTGAGTAAATGTAAAAATAATTTCATTTGTCGTCACTAATTTTGTAAATAGCTTAGATGTAATTGAGTTGATTTGAATATTATATGAATTTAAGATCCAAGATTACTATCATTCCGTTAGAAGTATTATACAAAAATTAATTTAATATATATATATCAAATGAAAATCCCGAAAGATGTTAATCACTTATGCCAATTCTATTTTGTCCTATTTAGGGATTATTCAAATTGAGGTCCCTACTTTTCCTTCAACTTTGCCTCTAAAGTTTTCTCTTTCGCTTAATTGTCATAATCCAAGTTTTGTTTGTATTGAAAAATGCTTAACTAGCAATTGAAAAATATTATAAAAACAAAATTTGCATCTCACTTCATTCTTTTCTTGAAACTTCCGAGAAAGTTATACATGTATGGATTAGAGGCTGAACTGAGGTAGGCAAGCATCACTGTTGCAGCAGCAGCTCGAGAACACAGCATATCCTAAATTATGAAATCGTTATATCAGTTTTCTCGGCTTGTAAATCACCTGAAGACCTATTTTCCACACTTACATCATCCGTAACAATCCCAAAGATCTTTGCAATATGTACCGAGTGGAAGGGCAACCAGCAGACTGTAAACAGGAATGCAAGCATCCCGCAAAGCATTGTCACTCGAACCTTTTCTTTGAAAGATCGACTCGCAGCTGCTGAAGATGATCTTCTTCTAGTGGGCTTAAATCCTTTGCTGGCTCCTTCGTCAGTGGAATTTCGAGATTTCTTGTCGTGTACCCCAACACTAGCCGCCATTAGCCGATGTACAATCAGTCCGTAACATACTATAATCACCTGGAATAAAAATATATCATTTATGTAATAATTTAGGGACACGGAAACCAAAACAACATTTTTTTACCAACAATTCATGCGTCCAATCTCAACATGAATTGAAATAGCAAATGATACGAGTCACAACTGTATTATCAAATCTTTTACAGCGTCGGTATAGTAGTCTATCGTACTTTATAAAAAAATCCGACTTTCGCTGAGCGCGAGATATGCTGACGTGCGGGCGTGGAACTGCTACAAGTAATTTTTAATTTTGATGACGTCACCACACAAAACTTCGGAAAATTTCAAAGTCCTGTATTCAAAGCGGAGAAACGATCTTCCAAAACAAGAACGATTTAACAAAACCACCCATAGAAAATGAACAAGTCGACCCATAGGAAAATGAATAAGCGTAAAACTGAACAAGTCGGCCTATGCTATTCTATATCACAACTATATATATTTATTATGACTAAATATACCATACCAGTAGTGGAATGACAAACATAACGATAAAATTGAAGAAAATAAATACGCTCCATCCAGGTCTCTCGGGATCGTAATAGCAACCAACTGATATTTGACGACCAGTATTGCTAGTTGACCTGAAAATATTATATTCTATTTATTGGTACTAGGCAACACTATCGACGATAACTTAGTCGGGCACTGGAAGATCATTTCATGCCTCAGCTGGCCGATGAACCAATGACTTTCGGCAACAAAAATGAATAAACATATATATGTAAATATATATATATATATATCTTAATCAATAAATATAAGTTATGTAATAATCCATGTCATCCATCCATCCTTCATAAATATACTCATGAGACACCATACTTGATAAATATGTTTCAGATCAATTTCAAAATTTGAACATATCAACCTCTTTCTATCTTCTCAAGTAAAAAATAATTTAACTCACGGCGCACTAGGGGGTATCTCCGCTCCACTTTCAGGCAAAAAGTCTGGAATCAGACCACCTAATCCACTGAAACCACTCATGCCATCTAGGCCGCTGGTAGGCAGAATACCCGAAGATGATCCGCTTTCTCTTTCATTTACTTGACAAGTTTCACCATAAATTGATGGAAAAGTTACATCAATACAGTCCTGCAGTGCGGATTCTGTCTTGTCAAAACCGTTGTTATGACACCATACGTACGGATCCTTTGGAAAAACTAACCTGAAACCCAGAATAAGTTTGAGCGTGCTATACTATTGCTGATATTATACCAATACATAGTAGAGACGACGTTGAAAATATTATAAAAAAATGTATATATAAAAAATAGAAGTGAAAAACTCACGAGCATATACATGTTGGCGATATCCCAACTGTGCCACTGTAAAGCATGACAGGAATGCTTAGAGCCAAAGAAATGATCCAAGTCACCAGTGCCACGATGTAGGAATTTCTGCTTGTGCGAATGCTTTGTATCTTATTCGCCAATGGATGGCAAACAGCTAAATATCTGTCAATGGCCATTATCTGAAAATGTAGATTTAAATCGATATTTTTTCAAGCTATAACGAATGAAACGACGTTGTTTTCATAATTGTCGAAACAAGTTTCTCAGTTTCAACATGATCCCTAATTACTTTATCTTTGTTTTGTGGCAATGCAATTTCTTTTCGAGATCGTTTGCAACACCCAATGAGGATTTGCGACACCTAACCTTTCAGCTGAGGCAACTGAAGATTATAATATATCAGCAATCGGCAACCTGCGGCCCCGGAGCCGAATGCGGATCTTTGTTCTCATAGCTCCGGCCTCCGTGGATCAAGTTGGCTACAGCAGTTTTTATTAGAAGCAGTGGCGATTTAATGAAATTCAGAAGCAGTCGAATACTACACTCTAATTACACATTACAGCTGGTATAAATCGAGAGCGGTCACATTATGGTGATTCAAATCTGTCAAAACAAACTTTTTCTTCTCATTTCCCAAGTTCTTTTCATGTTGTCGTAAACTAAATTATTGCATCATTTGTAATTAATTGGCTTCTTGAGGAAGCCACAGAGTCCTAGAGAAACAACCTCGCAACCTAATATCAAGTTAACGACATAATGTATGAAAACACAAGATAGCAATTCTCAAATATATGGACACAAAGATCAATTGCGTGTATGCAATCTGTCACAGTATACTCGGGCCACAAGGTGCGTAGTTTTAAGTGTTGTTGACGTCATCGCATACGAAAAACGAATTTTATAGAACCCACAGAAATTTTGAAATAAATAAAAGTTATAGCCTTCTAACCTTTACCCACTAAAAATATGAAAGTAATTGGCCCTGTAGTAAATGAAAAAAGTGGTTTTTCATAACAAAAAAATAATAAAAAGGAAATGAACATTAACAACAATAATAACAAGAGAGCTGTGCTCAAATATATGGACACGTTAACCAGAGCGAAGCAGTATTTACCTTTGACGCCACCGGTACCCACAAAAAATTCCGAGTTTCGCGTAGAAATAATTTACAGAATCAAACCGGACAGCCAGTGTTCCCATGGATAAAATAATACAGCGAAATTTTAGACGAAATATCAGATTTCGTGCGAAATTTAGAAATAAAGAAAAGTAATAGCCTTCTGACAAAAAAATCAATCTTTACTCACTGAAAATTTCAAAGCAATTGGTCCAGTAGTCAAAGAGAAAAGCGATTATTTTAAAAATGATGGAGACAAATAATAACAATAACAACAAAATTTTGAAACGATCGTTATGTCCACTACGTGTCCAATAACAAAACGATCCATATGTACACTTGGTGTCCAATAAATAAATCAAAAACTTCTCTTTGGGTTTAATATAGAACTTTTCGTGACAGGCACAACTCACTTACGCTGTCATGTTGTTTTCTGCCCCGATATTCTACAACACACAACCGATATACACACGGTATATTTCCGTCGTGACACATCTGGTGTTTGGTAACTACTGACTCATTTTATCGTGAAATGATCAAATTACTTACCATAAGAAACAAGATAGATGCATAGTATGTAAAAAATACAACTGTTTGTTGCGCTTTACATAACCACACTGCATGAATCCATCGTTTGTTAAATATTTCTGACAATCTGAACGGAAGGACTTGAAGAAATATCAAATCAGCAAAGGCCATCTGCAAAACATACCTGGAAAAGAGATGAAAAAATATATGGCGAAGAGAATAAGAAAATAGAAAGCAATGCCCAAATGTATGTCACGAAGAGCAAATGACTGTTGTCATGTGCAAAGTCATGCAAATGTCATATGCAAGTGCAAAATAACAGACCCCGTTTGACTCGAAAATTATTTCAAAACAAATGAAAGTAATATTTTTTTAACGACAACAACAATGATTGAGCAGAATGATTTTGTGTAGATACGCTTTATCTTCAATAATCAAAGTTTAGTGCAACACTTCAGTCTTGTGTATATGTGGTCTTTATATTTAATTATTTAAAGAAAAGGTGGTTATGACTAAATAGGAATAAATAGAATGTAATTGTTTCTACTCATTCAAAAAAGTGTACAGGACGGGTTAATTAATCATGTAGGAAATTATTGTATCTCGTTCATTTTTGAGTCCAGATTAGTTAATAGAATAGATAGCGATTTTGATATATGCATGGCGGAGGATACCGTGGCCGTCAAGTGGTTACGTAAACCACCCTGAAACAGCAAAGTGGTCCGATTCCGTCTCATACATATTCGATCCATAGGGATTCGAATCCAGAAAGAGTGATCTATGGTGAAATAGCAGGAGTTTTCTACAGCTGATCTCAGTGGACGTCAATCTCTGAAAGCTCAATCGTTAAAAAAAGTCGGACTCAACTCAGAACATACGATATTTCAGATCTTCGGTGCTCAATAGCTTAGTGCGATTGAATAATACTTCCCCAGTTATATATGAAACACCATAGATAAATAACTTCAAAGCATTGGTATTAATTTATGTACTCACCAATGAGTTATTTTTTTGTATTCACTCAGGAACAAAATCACAAAAATAACTAGAAGATTTCCTAATACTCCCACAACATAGATGAGTACTTTGAACACGACATCTGCTGTTTGCTCAGCATCCAATTCCAAAGGTTCATCAGTTGCCGTGAACGTGGTTGACATTTTTAATATGTTATTATTCGTGTAATATAATAACTGAATATAATAAAATAAATACTAAAAGTTTATTTTGAGAATATTTTATATCTACAAAACATAATTTTCGTGTATTTGAATACACAAATAAAGTCTGAAAATGTTTTAAATCCGGGAAAGATTTTACAGTTTTATATCGTTTATTTTATCATTCATTTTTTTATTCAATTTTAGCCCTCAAAGTGGGTTTTTGAACTTCGAACAATTTTGCCTGATGTGTTCACAAAACTGAGAAAATGTTGGTTCGCTGCATATTTTGCAGCATAGTTAGGCGTTCAACACAATTTTATAAAATCTGCTTCATTTGAAATGATATGGTTTTTGATACGACCTAAAGTTTCAAAGCAACTTGGACTTTCACATTTCCAGGGAATGTAATATATCAAGGACCTATGTCCTTCAACACGCAACTTTCACACACATATATTTACAGTATAATGCTCGCCCTTTTTCTGGTTCAGGAGTTGAAGTCTAATTCCCTGCGCACCTGAATGTCATGACTACGGCTGGAATTTCAGTGAAAACACTTTAACCGTTAAACGGGTAAAATTAACCGGTTAACCGCAGGGTGGCGTTTGATGTAATAATTTATAATTTAAGCTTCTTACATCACGATGGTTACAAGGTAATTTAGCGTGATCTTATCCCGGTATCGCTCAAAATTAATCACAAATCGAGATAGTTTCATGATCGCTCTGCTGCAAAAGATATATTATATATGCAGCGTGGTTCGGACATATGAAAGTAATTTTTAGTAAAACCCGATTCCGGTATTAAATATCATTTATGTGACAAATTTCCAGTGTTCGATGGGAAATTCCACTTTGAGATATCCTAAAGAAAACAGCATCAACTGCGCACTTGTTGGATGACATTAAATATACGATTTTGCAATGAACTCGTTAACAATATATTTCGACCGAAAACTGTTTCTGAAATTATCATTGACAAATAGTCATTTTTCAAAAAAATTGTACCTTATAAAGATGATTTGTAAAGATGATATGTCAATTAACGGTTAAAATATATCATAACCGTTAACCATCTAAAATCGGTTAACCGGTTAACCAATTTCAGCCCTAGTCATGATGCGTACACAGTAAACACGCACCCACCTGATTCTGTTTGTAATCGTTTTTATGCAATCAATTGACACAAGAGGCTTAGCTTGCGTTATAAATTTCAAACTACTCGCTAAATTGTTTTTAAACCTTGATTTGTTCAAATTTAATAGTTATGTTGTTAGCCTCGTGATGTAGCAAATTTATAAAAAAAAAATAGGTCGGCGTACTGCATAAAACCTATCCCTGCACACATGAACTGCATCCCACGTATCCATACGCTTTTCTTTCTGTTTCAGGACTAGCTTTTTCATTTGGCTAAAACCGTATGGTCATTATTGCCATGCATGCAAACACATTCTTCCGACATGACCAGCAGCTTGTTTACCCAACAACCAAGTCATATTTGGATCCATAAAAAACATCTCCCGAAATCACAAGTCATTGTTTGTTCTTGCTTGATTATAAAAACGCGAATTTTTGCGGATGTGACGACAGACCATGCATACGAAGTTTTACGATTATCACGATTTGAGAAAAACGGCGATGACTCCCGACTCGTAATCCTGTGGAAGACATGAAATACCTAATTAGTGAAGAAGTTAATGTGTCCATCTTGATTTAAGTATAAACAACGTCCATATTTGGTTTTTGTAGTTTATATATTGAATTATTTCACCTTATAAGCAATGAAATTTAGCAAATTTGAAATTACAAAATCTAATTGCAAATCATATATATTTGGAATAAACAGTAATCACTGTAGAGTAGAGCGATAGTATAAAATTTTGAACCAACCATTTTTTTTCAATGTTGTATATATGTAATAAGTTGTTTAACAACTTGTTTGGCCTTGTGCATATGAAAAATATTTTGCAACCACGACTAGGTATTACAAGCATAATTACTACAAATTATGTTTCCTGGGTATTCGCGATGGGTATATACTTTTTATCTGGGGATTTAAAAGTTTTAAATCTAATACTCTGTAATCCACAGTTTCTGGTACAGAGTTATTCCCTCAAATCCCTGTATAACGACCATCCAAGTATAACAATATAGCCTCCGCTGTACGGGATTGTTATAAAACGAAATACTTCACATGAACATTGAAGAGAGATTATAGAATTGATAGATTACCTAAAAATACTTAAAAATAAATTTAATGCAAATGTTTAATTTATTACCCGATCTTGGGAATCTTACTTTTTATGTACAATATTTCATTGTACATCCGTAAAATTATCTTTAAATGGAAAGGTAAAGCAACATGCAAGATTGTGCCGGAGTCAGAAGTTAAACGTTTAAAAATCGAACATATAGAATAAATATCTATTTATCATTCTGCGGATTATACTAATTGTAACTATTGCAATTATTTATCACTGTGTTTCTGCAATCCGTATGCTTTTGACACAAAATGCTTCAATTTGGAGGGGGTAACGTTGCGCCGTTCTTGTTTTTGACTCTGCTTTCCCTTCAACGTTCTGTGGACCCCCATGGTTCCGGTAGTTCAACTATAAAAATGTTCATCGAGTCAAAATGTAGAATAGCGTAATGATGTGTAGATATGCGTTTGTTGCTTTCCATGATGTTGTTAAAAATTCACCAACAATTTAGCGCCCCCAGACAACCGCAAATAGACAGCTACTTTATGGATTCCTTTTACTTTTCCTACCTACTTATGTCATCCAAATTCAATCAGAGATAAATGGAATGCCGGGGCAGTTGTGATAAACATTTATATATAAACCAACGTTTTTGGCAAAGTGAAAGAATGAGAAAAAACAAGCGTCATTTCAAAACTAAGTTTCTAAAATTTAATATCAGTTTTGAAAAATATTTTTACCCTTTATCTTTGTTTTGTGCTTCGTGGATTTATTCTAAATTATAATTTTAAACAAGTTTATACTTGGCTTTTCTGAAAATAGTATAAAATATACTGTCACTCTGATGCTCATGATGTTTAGTGATTAGAGCTATGGTCCATGGAGCCACCTATGCGTTGCGTACGTTTCGGTTTTTATAATCCAAAGTCACGCCTCACTCAACGGAAAACAAAAACCTAATAGGCTGTATACATGAACAGAGAGATTTTGGTACTTATAATACATACTCAACATATCGGTTGCGGTGAGCTGGTACAAAGTCTTGTTCCAATTGTTTGAAGTGGATTTGTGAAGCATCTCTTGGAAATGATACAATTTAGAATTATGTTGACGTGCGAAGCTTATCATGTGACACCCATTACTTGAAATGCTAAGTCGCGCAAGCTTGATTGCACCCTCAATATGTAATTTGAAGTTTTTATGACCGAACAATGACTAATATCACGAAATAGGTTTCATTTTGTACGCCAAATCTACAAGGCTCTTTGGGACCTCAATTGTTCAGATTACAAATTCTTCGTTTTGAAAGAAAACCACATGTAGTGTGAAACTGTTTAATGTTGATTAGGTAAGTCTGGGCTAACACAACAGTTTTTATGAGAGTGTGAATTTATATTAGTTAGCGAGCTAATTGCGAACTATTGTTTCTACATTTCCTCTGGTTATTGATAATACCAGATGACACCTTTGTGTCTGTTTCGTTCCCCTTGACTTAAACAGTATAGGATTACAGTCATCAAGTTTATTAGCTGAACGCTGAACCGTTCCGCTAAATGTTTGAGATCGCGTGACCGACGTTTGAACGAAATTGCATTTGTGCATTGTCATGGAGCGTGTAAAATTGGAAATAAATTCCATGAAGTTTATCCAAATTTGGAAGAATGAAATGATTTTCGTTGTTATTATCACGTACCAAAAATGCCATACACTTTTTATTTGAACCAGGGGAAAATCATGCTGAATTATGGTCTCAATCGACCTTGTTCTTGTTTATGTCATGTGTTGTTATTTGAGTTAAATACGAACAACTATGAATATACTATGGCAGTATGCGTTTTCGGGCAAATATTCTCTTGATAGTGAATACAGAACTTCAGTATGGTTGAATAGTCGCTTCTATCTTCGAATTGACGAGTGCCATGAATGAATACTGCATACGTGATAGGGTGGCTCAAATTGTAACCAAAATGCTTTCGAGAATTTAAACACATAAATATAAATCATGTTCTTAATAATGTTTGAACCAACTCAAACTAGTATAATTTCAGTAGTAGCCAAATTTATTATTTTTATCCATCCAAAACCTCCGCTCTTCAATTACGACAATGACACATTGGTACCTTGTGCCGAACGCTGACTTCCCAATTTTAAATTTACTATCCGTAAACAAATTTTTGAATACTTGGTGGGAATTTGAAAGTCAGAAGTAGTATGCACTTTATATTGTACTTAAAATCCGGTTTTAATCTTAAAAAGCGGGTTTCGGGTTTCAAGAAGATGCTCCAAAACTCTGATTTTCGATTCGGTCCCTCGATAATATTCAACTTCATACCATTTATTACATTATACTTAAATTGAAAAATTGTTTAGCAACATGCTTGGCAACTATGTTCCAATAAGTTTCAATAGCATGATGGCGTGCAGATGATGATTACAAAATAGTTGAGATATAATTGTGGCTAAAGACTCTTCGAAAATATAAATTTTGTATGCCCCACACATTGAAAAATTCGTGATTACGGTTGGTTGCTAAGACGATTGAACACGTGTCTGCACCGTCACGATCAAGTGATAATAAAAAGCCGTAACTTACTCAATAAGTGGCTCTTTAAGAAATTTTAATATCAGATTTTTCAAGTTCGATACTTTTGGAATCATCATTTCTATGTTTCATTTTGGATACTACCAAAATAATCTCAGCAATGGGACCTTCGTCGTTGTAAAAATTGTTTCAACGGACAATAAAGATGTCATTGGTTTTAGCTGAAAATCAAACTTGAGTCCAATCAAGATATGAGTTTAAAACATTTATCCCCATCGAGTTATTATTTGGTAATCCGGTTTGATCGTACTTTTATTTCACATAAATAATATGCTTGCTATAGTTCCAATACTTGGATTGGTCCTAAACAACGTTGAGCCCTCTCGGTAGTATGGGCTGAGTTCGATTGTGAACTACATGGACGCAGCATAGTTGATCCAAAGATAAACATTTTACATCAATCTATATCGAACGTACAAATAACTTGATTAATTAACAAGCACGAATCTTTAGTATGAAGTTTATTAAAACACACGATTAATTTTATATCGAGCAAAAACTGATAAAGGACGGTATAGAAATAGAATGTTACATAATTGAAAGGGGTGATAATGTTACAACTACCTTGTGTATTGACGTTCATTTAATATGAATCGCACCGAAGGGCAACATTTGGATAATATGGAATATATAATCAATACCTTCGACACAGTAGTGAAAAGTTACCGCGTTGTACAATAAATGCAGCAAACTCGAAATAATTTTGTTATCATTTTTACAATCAAGCAGTTCAAAACATGTTAGTACTGAAACAAATAACAATATCTTGTAAAGTTAGGAGTATTTCTTTGTTCGCATCAGCTGAATGTAAGTAAAAGTATACAATAATAAACAAATACATGACAAAGCAACGTTGTTTTTCCAAAGGTCCCAATCCCCGATTGATTCAGCGCTTTCTCCCACTGAAAGGCTTCGAAATAAGATAGCTTCTCCCGTTGTCACAGTGCACGATTGATTCCCTGTTAGAACTGGGGTAATGTTTGGAGTAAAAATAGATGGTTCTTTGTTAGTATCGTTCCCGCATAATGTGAACTCCCTCCCTTTCAATTCGTTAACGCTAAGTCCAACTAAACCATATCTGGCAACGCTCATATACTTCAGCCATGAGAGCCATGGCAACATTTGGTCAACGTTGACCAAAAGACCTGAAAATATTATGGTGAAAACAAACGTCAGCACTAAACAAAGCTGGGCAATCGGCTGCGAAAAAGATGACGAATAGAACAATCCTATACCCACTGAAGCGTAACCCATTAATAATGACGTAACGAGAAATATAAAAAACGCGCCAACCTCTGCTTTAAGTCCGACCATCCAATATGTTATTGAGCAAAATATAATAGGGGCAATCGTACGCAAAGGAATCAAATCGGCCAATACTTTTGCTATAAAGTAAGATACGACGCGATAATAACCGGAGATGTGCTCATGAATGAATATGTCTTTCTCGAGGGTAAAGGCATTTATAACACTGATAGAGCCGAACAAGAGACTCGTACAAATGAAAAACAGGATGCCGAGCACATTTTGTACTTCAGATCCAGGGTTATCATAAATTTTATAATACAAAAGTCCAAATACTATACCGATTATGATATTTAAAAATATATTTCCCATAAGCGCTGCAGGATTACGTAAAATATTTTTAAAAGTACGACCTAAAAGAACCCAAAGTTGATGTAAAAATCCGTTTGCATACATTGCTTTGTTAGTTGAAAAACCACTGGGAATATCAGTTGATTCCTTCCCGTTTAATTCCAGATTAGCTTTATTTTTAACAGCTAATCTGAATTTCTCTGTCAACCCAACAAGATCTTGTTTTACTTCGACGAACGGCTCTTTCGTTGAATCAAGTTCGCGGCCGATCATATTTGATTCGTATTCGCCAATCAAAACGTCCAGTAAAAAGTCAGCAGGATTATCATGAGCCTGACATTCATATCCAAGGCCCTCAAAATGTGCTAAGGCATCTGTACCAGGTCCGTGATACACAAGGTGCCCCATTGATAGAAGAGTGAGGGAGTCAAACAATCTGAATATGCTGTAACGAGGTTGATGAATAGAACACACAATAGTATTCCCTTCGTCTCCCAGTCGTTTCAATAGTCTCATTACAGATGATGCGGTTGCTGCGTCCAAGCCCGTTGTCGGTTCGTCCAAAAATAAAATTTTGGGTTCAAGAAGCATTTCAATCGCGATCGAAGTTCTTTTCTTTTCCCCTCCAGAAATGCCACGAATGATGTTGGTCCCAATCTTTGTATCGGCACAAGAATCCAAACCTAGTTCGGTTAATATACTGGCTATTCTACGTCTCTTTTCGGTGCGAGATATAGACGCAGGTAACCTCATATTTGCGCAAAACCATAGTGATTCTCTTACAGTTATTGTTCCAATGAAGAGATCATTTTGAACGACGTAACCGCTAAGATATTGAAAATTCTTCGGCACCTTCCCGCCGTTGAGTAATACTTTTCCAGTTACATTAGCTGGATCTTTTCTGTTTGCTAAAACGTCCAAAAGCGATGTTTTCCCACTTCCTGTTGGTCCCATGATGGCATTCAATCCCGGTCTGATTGTACCACTGACGTCATTGAGAATTTCCTTCACGCTTGCTTTGCGGCAGCTTCCGCAACATCTCTGACGTACAGATATAGAATAACTAACGTTTTGGAAACTCATTCGTGAGCCATGGCCTCGCATCGGTTCCATTTCAATCTCCATAGCAGTTGCTCCGCCCGAAACAGTACTAACGACTGAATTACTATTACATAAATTTTTCTTCGTCGACATTATTGTTTTGACTCTTCAGACAAGGATAATTAATATCATCTGAAATAAAAACAGCAAGGGATTAATTTCAAAATTAAATAATCCTATATTTAGACCTTAATCGGCAGATACCGACAACCGCATGCGGAAATAACTAGGCTAAGCAGACCGGCGTCGTTAATCCAACCGAGAGAAATTAGTGTGAACTCAAAGACGCCGCACACACAGGTTAAAGGTTGCTATAAAAATTTCCTTTGTTCCGAGAGAGACTAGAATTTCAAATAATCTATATTACTGCGACAAAAATTCGCTTTATCAACTAGAAATTACAACACATCGTCGATTGGTTCTTATGGTATCTGACTTTAAAAGCTTATTGAGAGATCACTGCTGCGTATTTAAATCTCATGAACGGATTAGTACCGCTTTTCACTGCATTTATGAGTCTAATTAGGCCAAGTTCTCTTTCACAGCGCTTGCTAATCCACTTAGAAGCAATGTAGAAGAGTATTAAAGGACGTGATAAATTATAGAAATTATTATCGACTTTTTCTCACGATTCTTAACTAATGCAGTTGTCAGTCAGTTTGTGCGCCGAGTGAAAAATGCATCCTATAATTAATTATAAATAGAAAGCTTTGTCGATAATGGGCCGCGCGTGAACCACGAAATACCGCAGCATCACATAATAACGCAAGCGTTTCTTCCACTATATACCAGTTATGGTCAATGGATTTGAATTAATACATCAATAATGGTAGTAACTTTATTCCACTTCCTTATGATAAATTATGGTTCATTTGTAGTATGCAATCAGTGAATTATTAAGTCCTGGCTGTCATTTTATAGCCGCATAAATTTTAGTTTGAAAAAAACTTGAATCAATATTTCCCAGTGATGTTTCAATTTTTCATGATCTACTAAGGAGCGTTGTTAAGACAGCCCCACAGCGCCCCCAAAGTTTGAGATTCAAATTGCTCTATGGTATACCAATCCTATACCCTATTTCACTTACGTGACCTAAAAGCTAAATCAATTATTCCTCAGGCAAAGTATTAAGTCGATGACATATCAAGGCTTACACAATCATTCAGCAGTCTCTCTATATTAAACCGACTCTATTTCTCGTGTTATTATCCGGGTTTCTGAAATTATCGTGTTCTTACCAATCGTTGACTTTTTCTAAATGTCTGCTTCTGTCAGAGAATTAATATCAGATATCCCTTAAAACTCTGACGATAAGGTTATGTCATGCTAGTTGCTACATTCTACTATTTTACATAATTCGCTTTGTATTCAACAGCTATCTCTGTTACTGACTATGCTCTACTGACGTCAGCAATATTACACTGTAACGTTAAATCGATCACGACCAGCCAATTTTGCACAGTCATGCATTTAACATGAGACCTTCCGGCAAATCAATAAGACATAGAAATAGGTCATTATCTCGCGCTAATCAGAAACTGTAACTATAGTCTGGTATCTATAATGTAAATAATGAACGGCGCCTCAAAAATTTTATTCTAGTCTATGACATTTATTTTAATGTAGTCAACTATGGAAATGTAAATTCTAAAAAATATCAATCAAACTTTACTTCCCTTTCCGTTCGCTCAAAATTTCAAAACTGACTCATTCACTTGCCGACGTAATACCATTAATCAATGTAACGGCTACCTGAGTGTATTACTCCGATGATCACAGTAATTCGATGCCTGTTGACCACACAAAAATAATTTTGTTGACCAATTCGTTCAGTTTCGATGCCTCTGAACAACTGGCGGGATTTTCAAATATAATTAATAATGACAATACGTAACACGAACGTTGTTTTGAATCAACTCTGCCTTTGTTTAAAACTGATACCGGTATTTGGTAAATTATCAATAGAAAATAATTCTCAAATGTCTTCTTACATAATAGATTTTCAGTTTTGCGCCAAACATACTAACATAATTATACAAAGGAAATTTTTTTTAACAAAAGATGCAGTCACACCGCTACAGACTAAATATTCTCTGTCATATCCTGTGACCATACGGGAAACCAAAATGAGCATACATTCCCGATACAAACTCATTATAACAGCTCATAATGCTCTATATAATTTCAACCACAAATTGATAGGAAAATAAATTGAAAATACACGTGCCCGTTTGTCGCACTTTGTTCTATATATATCTATGCAATTTTAAAAGAATATTAACGATTTCTTTTTCCACTATTATGTATATGCGGATTATAGATGAGCATGTTTGACCGGTTGCAGTCTTTACCAGGGACCATGTGCGTTCAATTCACCTTGTTTGTGTAAATTTCATCGATTACCATATGGCAGTAAAGCATGCACATCTGGACGACGGAAAAATACGTATTGCGTGACTGAAAGACATTTTATTTTTTTATAAAAAAAGGTATCTTTAAAAGTATCTCAATTCTAATTCTGTCTCTCCAAAAAATACTTGCTGTAAAGATAAACGCTAATTTAATTTGCGACCAAATATTTTATCCGCTTGACTTGGTCACAAAAGGTTTTAGTTGTACTAACAACATACAGCGATAGTTGTTTTGTGACATCATAATCGAAGCATGAAGTTTAGACTACATTTTTTAACGCTTTTTACACCGTTTTCCTTACAAAAACGAAAAAATCGTCAAGATTCTTTATCATATATATGCTAAAGCACTCACGCCATTCCTAACATTCACTATTTTTAATCAAAGTCTTTTAAGAACAAAGCTTATTGATATTTAATGTCGCGCGAGTTAAAAGTTTGATCATATTAAACTTTTGTTGATCAGAATAATTTTCTAAAAGCAAGGCAGTCACTTTCATTCTCCCACTCTTGCTTACTAAATTGTCTTGAACGAGAAGCTAGCTCTACTCTCTTTCTCGGTTATTCGTGAACATCGGGGACTTCCTAAAAAGGGTTCGCATTCTAAGGATAAAAAATTTCATTACGTAAGACTCAGCAGACGGTATGCGATCATGCATATCAGAAGAAGTCACATTTAGCGACCCTTAAAACGCAAATGAAGCTGTTGCTTAGTATTTCTGATCCTAAAGGGTAAACAAGTCTTTGTAATGGCACAAGTACATACATTTCTGACGTTCAGAAGTCTCATTTTACGGTACAAAAAGAGTTTGGAAGGTTTTACATTCTCATGATTTTAAAAGTCTTATCCGTAAATGTCTAGACAAGCAACCACTCAAATTGTTAGGATACGAGTGGAGTGTAAGCCTGAAACTTAAAAATAAAAATATTTATAAATCATAGCTCTGTCTTGTTGAGTTGAGGCTTTACCATTTACTGTATATGTGACATGCAGGCATCAACTTACTGTACTGTAAGGATTGTGAAGTAGATGTGTCTGATTCAAATAGTAGCCTACTAACACGCAACAATCCATTATAAGTCTATGACAATTCTAAGAAAACAATACCAGAAATGCCAAGTTTTTAATGTCAACTAAACGTTTGCTTCTATCATTGATTATCAAAGCCATGTTTGTACGTTTTGCTATTTTAAAAACTAGCTGCCTGTTTATATGCCTTGCATGACGATGTATCTGTACAAAGTATGATCGTCTGTACTGAGTCCATGGTATTATAAACATAAGTAGTATTGAAAACTGTTTTTAGACTTCGTGCTGTTCATATGATCAATAAATACTTTTGTCATTTGTAGAAGATTAACGACCAATGATAATCCATGCGCGGTAATTTGATAATGGTCATTCATCACACACGATTTATTTATGGGCCACAAATGTTCATTGATATTTTATATCATTGTTCTCATGTACTGACCCAGTTAATAAACGTTACGGAAATAATTAAATCGTTGCGGGAAGTGTGCTGATCTAGTTACAGCAGCGAGCTAAATAATAATCCTGTTACTTCGCTCGGTCAAGCCTCAAGTCCAGCGGTCATGCACGATATACACAGGGAGCTACTGATTTGAGAAATAAATCGCAATCCATCCGGTACACGATAATATTTACCTACCAAAGCTCATTTTGGCAAATTTATTTTAATTCCTGAATTCATACATAACTTACTAAAAATATATATACTGTATATGTAATTATTATTATTATTCAAATTCGTATCATATTGTTATTAATTAATGTAATATTAGTATTTGCATTATAACATATCATATTCATATCCCAATGAAAACTGGAAAACATCCCCCCACATGTTGTAACGTGTTGAGAAGGGATTTTTGGATAATGGCGTTCTACTATCTGGATTTTACAAGGATTTTACGTCCAGTACACGAAGTCTTATTAAAAAAAAAAACAAGAATGTTTTTAATATATATATATCAATATATATTAGGCGTAAGCTGAACTGTCCAGATATTTCTTTACCGGGAATAGACTGTTAACCGCCCACCAGTCGGTAGAATTCATTACACACAAGTCGGGCCTCTTCTTTGACTTTAAACGAAAGTGTCACATCCAAGTGAAACGACTGTTGCATTGTTGCTTCTCCCAGGAATTCAATAAATCCTAAAACATAAATTAACAGGGCCATTTCGTGAGAACAAAAAATATTGAATACCAATGACTATTTGTGGCCCATAGGTAAATCGTGTGTCTCAAATGCACACATGAAAATTCTTATCAGTATGCACATCACGTTCCGTATTGTCGCTTCACGTGATGTTGAAGTGACATAAACATCATTGCCATATCGGAGATTGCCTGCATAGATTACGGTTTTATCATGATTAATAATATTTTCTGAAGATGATATGTTACTCACTTGCATGGAACTCATTAATGAAAAGGGGTGAAAAGTCAAAATGTAACAATTTTTAAATTTATATTTCTAGTCGAATTTCAACAAATGAAACCGATTACTTTGTGCCCACATAAGTATATGAGCAATGGAAAACAGCAAAACAGGCTAGAAACGAGAGCAAGAGTAGGGATAGGAAACAATATATTACAAATTTCATTACGGAAATACGTTAACGCTCATCCGGCTTTTCAATTCCTCAGTTGGCAACACGGGTCGGAAGGGGAGAATATTGTTCATATATATATATTATTTTACAATACGCCCAATTAATCTAGCAAATCAGAACAAGGTTTCTGGATCTGGGTTTACTCAAACAAATGAGTAACCCAGCAGCGCGACTGAAACAAGGAGCTGTTGGTTCAAAAATAAAAAGGCATTTGTGCTACAGCTATTTTACCCACTGGATTTTCCCTGAAAACAAAGTCTGAAGAAAAATTTATTTCATAGAAATTGCGTCCAATATTTCAATCGGGTGCGTTGAATGTAATAAGCAAAACTGTTTAGATATTTCTATACCACAAAATTAGCCGCTAGCCGGCACATACACCGTGATTTGATACATAGAAATTGTTTGGGTCTAATCAAACCCAAGGATGAAGAAATGTTTAATAATATATATATATATATATATTAGTACTTTGCGAAAGACAAAATTCTGCCCGATTTTGTTTTGATTTGCAAAATCCATAAGGCGTATTGTTAAATAACTGACAATATCCCACATTTACGAATCATGTTACCAACTGGGAAATTAGAAAGCCCGATGAGTGTTAACGTATTTCCGTAATGAAATTCTGGTCCTACGCTTGCTTATGTTTCCCGGATGTTTTGCTATTTTTCATTGCTAATAGACTAAATAAATATACATAATGTAATTGGTTACATTTGTTGAGATTTGATTGCAAAATATAACTTTGAAAAGATGGATTTTGAATTTTTTCATTCATGCTGTCTGATGTGTAAAATAGTTAGTTGAAAAAATTCGTTGTTTTGTTACCTCTGTCACTAATGAGTCGTACTTAGAACGCTCCATTTTATTTTTCAACATATCATCATCATTGCGTTTCGAGCTGATTGTGATCTCTGTTATGACGAAGAGTCAGAAATTTATTTTTATCTCACTTTATCATTTAGGAGACAATATAGAACGTGATGTGCCTAATGAAACAATTCTTATGTAACAATTTAAGAGAGAAATTTCTTTGACAAACAACATCGACATGAATAAATTAAAAAGCAAAAATAGAATGAAATTATAATGATATTATTTGAAAACATCGGTAGAATAGGGTCAGTCGGAAAGACCGATTGAGGCTTCTCCCAAAGTAGGAAAATGAAAATACGCTTTTTAATCTAGTACATATTTAATACCAATATAAAAAGTAGATATGTTTTTTAGAGACTGCGTGTACTTGACCTTCGGTGCCGAAGGCCGAAAGAAGTGATCTACTCAGTACTCTAACTTAGTATTTTTGAACGTTGCGAGTTTCAATGGCTACGGTGGCACTTCGGGCAGATTCACTTTTGAAGTAGTTAACAAACTTTAAAACCGTGTGTAAACAATACAACAGAGCTATGCTCAAATATATGGAAATGAAGACCAAAGAGAAGCGGTAGTCTACCTTACCTTTTACGGTGCCGGTACCGTCAACAAAATGTTCGACTTTGACGTAGCAAGAGTGCAGCACGAGAGAGGCCGAAGGACCGATACAAATAGTTAGTATTCATTTTAAAGTGGTCATCACACAAAATTTTAAAACGAAAAACGAATCACATAGAGCCACAGAAAGTTTTAAAATAAATAAAATTATATAGCCTCTTAGCGAGAAATACAATCTTTAACGACTGAAAATTGCAAAGCAATTGATCCAGTAGTTAATGAGAAAAGCGATTTTTCTCATATGGTAACAAGGAGAAGAAGAAAAGCAACAAGAACAACAACATAATAACAAAACGATGCAAAGGTCCTCTTCTTGTTAAAAGCATTAGTTCATCCAATATATCGTCATTTTAGATTCGTAAATTTCCTCATGTGAGGTTTCAGACTACTTTTCTCGTATTGTTCTGTTCAAAATCTAAATCTCTGACTGTAGACTAGAAATCCCTGGTTTCGTGTTGTGAATATTTCTTTATGGTCGGCATACTTTTTGAACCTGTTCATATTTTGCGGATTCGAACTTGCCTAACACCGAGTAGTATATATTATATACCCGTATATTTTATGTAACTCCGGCATTTCACCATCGCGACAAGAGAGAGATATATCACTAATAAAGTAAACACTATAACAAACTTGAATAATAAATGATTCATCATCATTTGCAAGACGAGTTATGTCACCAAGGCTCATGGCACATGTGTGGCACATGTGTATTCATGTATCCTATGAATAAGTAATAAAAGTCCATGCTTCCGATAACAAATACCTGGCTAACTAATCCCATACCCGACCTGGACTGGTAACCGGACGAGCGGCCGTGGTTCGCCATATGATTAAGCCGTCGTATTGGTTTTCCTCTACCCAGGAATAAATATGTAAATCCTATCCTATCCTAATCATTCAAGAACGCGCTCACTTTCGCTCTTTGGCCAGATATTGTACTTTCAGAAAACCCAAACTTATCTATAGATTCACTATTTGTGGTTGGTAAATTTTTGTATTCAAAAATGTTCGCTACGCTTTCAATATACAAGGAAACAAAAGAGCAACGCTCAAATATAGGGACACTAGAGCCGTGGCATGTAATATTTTACAATAGTCTTTACGACTGCAGTCTTCACGACTTCCCCTGACTACCCGATATTAACCAAAACGAATGTGGATTGTTGGACAGGAAATGTATATATGCATCGGTTTGTCAATCATTCTAACGACCGCCCCCGTATATATTTCTATAAGGGCGTCTATGACATGGCCCGCCAATAGTAGCCTATATGTATATTCTGGTTTCAAGATAGCGGCCTAAGTTTGACACCAATGACGGAAACCAGTCTACCTTCCATGCATCTCAAACAAATACCTGGCTAATTTATTGCATACCCGGCATGGACAGATAACCGGACGAGAGGCCGTGGCCACATGATAAAGCCGGCTTTTCTCATCCCCGGGATAAATTATGTAAATCTTGACACGTAAATCATACAAAGTTTTCTGTATAGACGAGGGATTTTTATACGTACCATTGGAGATGAATGATGTAATTCTCAGCTTTTGTATGTACTTATTCAGATTTTTTAATCTAAAAATTCCAGGATTGTTGGGTAAAAATGGTATGTTAGTCCATATTGTCTCTGGTTACCGGTAGTCGTTGGCAAAAACAGAGGTTTGTTGTTGTTTTTGCCGATAACAAACTACATAGATCACTACCGGTAGATAGCGCCAAACCCACGCACTTGAAGCGAATAACAAACTCAGCAACCACAGTGTATATCGGTACACAAACAACTTATTTTCCTCTTCTGTTACGGGAAATCCAAATTACTCAGGGACATTTCACATTTGGTGGAAATTACTAGCGTGAATTTTCCACATGCTGACATGACTGTAGGAGAGGACTTAAACTGAATCTTTGTCGCGTTAAAGAAATTGTAAGTGTTTCCAACTATCATAACTGCAAGTATTATAGTCTAATTCTTCTCCCCCGGGATAAATATGTAAATCCTATCCAAGATACCGGTATCCCATAACTCAGTAACTAGGTACCGGTACCGTCACGCCAGAACGTTAGATACCGTACCGGCAGACCGGTACCGTATTTTGTTATTGAACTGAAATATTGTTTTCCTTCTTCCTTTTTTAATTTTCACAGTAATAAAACTTTTGCCAGTTTCCCCCATTTTCCCAATCTTCTGTGTGTTCATTGTTTGTGTTTTGTGTATGATTTTTTTGCAGGGAAATCAAAAAAAAATTTTGTTGGCTGGGTCTTTTAAAGCCTGAGATGCTGGTACCTGCTGTACCTACCGTACTTCTGTACTTACCGGTGCGCATTGTCTGATTGTAGTATTGTAATTCATATAGTCTACCGTGCTGCCGTGTGCAGGTGTGTACAGATATACAGGATATACCGGTAGTCTATGTTTTGAGTTAAAGTTGAAGTTTAATATTGTCCTAAAGTTAAACAGGCCTAGTGTCTGAGTGTAGTTTCATACCTCAAGTACGGGGGTCTCGTGTAGTTTCGTACCGGTACCTAACATACTTCTAGTGGGTTGAGCATCACAATTTTTTGACATATCAATCCTAACCCCCACCTGACTATGTCATCCAAAAATTACGTCACTACGACATCACAATCACGTCATAGAGCTTGCCAAATATAGGTACGATCACCCGAAGCCGAAATGGCATCGGCGCCGACCAGTCTGGATTTCATGGCCTTTTTGAACGAGAAATCGGGCGTGCAATCAGAAATTCCCGCGTGCAAATAAGAATTCCTGGCGTGCAATTATAGCTCACGACGTGCAAAACAACTGCACTCGCGTGCAACTGACTTTGACATCAGATACCTCTCAATACATCCGCGTAAAATTACCGGTATCGGATAAAAAATACGTTGAATCACAGAAAAAATGGACGTATGACCTTTGACCCCAAACATTATTTCTACAGTTTGTCGCTAATTTTGAGAGTGTTTGTGCGACTTTGGATAACGGTACTGTTCAGTACATCCGTGTAAAATTATTGGATAAAAAATACGTTGAACCAGAGCAAAATGGACATACTTTGTCATTAATTTTGGTAGTGTATTTACGTAGAATTAATGGATAAAAAATACGTCAAATTAGAGCAAAATGGACGTTTGACCTTTGACCCCAAACATTATTTTCATACTTTGTCACTAATTTTGGGAGTGTTTGAGCAACTTTAAATACCGGTACTGTTCAGTACATTCGTGTAAAATTATTGTATGAAAAATACGCTGAATCAGAGCCGTACTTGGCCATTGGTGCGGAGGCGATCTTTTCGTCCATAACTATTCTCACGGGATTCATATTTCCTATCATTCAACACGATATGGACCTTTCCCCGAGCATCGACTTCCTTGTTTACTTCGTGACATTGGCCAATCAGCAAGATGCAAAAAAGGACGTGAGAGGAATTTTTCGCGGTTCAAAGGTTGGGGAAAGGTCCATGGTCTTTTTGCTTCGCAATATTTCGATCAGACCAAATCTTGCAAGCTGGTATTTGTCGACAATTGTGGAGTTATAATATTTTGGCATCTTTATATTACTGGATTATTGACTTTAAAACCATTTAAACCGATTTACATTGGTGAGCAATTGCAAATTTTCGGCGTGCAAAATTGTTTTCGCTCGCGTGCATTTTTGCGGAGCGCTAGCGCCCTCGGGCGTGCACCTGCCATGGAATCCAGTCTGGGGCGCCGACGATAAAGAACTTACTAACGTCAGCGATCTCTCTCATAATGGATCGTCGCGACGAAAAAACGAAAGAGATAGTTGTTCGATTTCGGGTGCGCAGACAAGCGCGTCTCGGATGACAGTTCGTTTAGTTTAAGGGGCTCTATTACGTCACTGTCACGTCGTAGAGATATAATTTGTGGATGGCGTAGTCAGGTCAAGGTGGGGGTTAGGATTGACACATGCAAATATTGTTATTCTACGCCCACCAGAAGTATATTAGGTACGAAAGAAACTACATGAGACCCAAGTACGGTACTATTGGTGGGCGTAGCCTAACAATTTTGGCCCGAAGTACGCGCCCACATGCTGACATAGATCTAATCAGCAAATAGATCTACTTCTAGTTGGCCTGGCTCTGCAATTTTTGCATAAATTATGTTATTCCTGCATTCCGAACCTCCACCTGATTACATCATTCGAAAATTACGACGCTGCGAAGTCACAGTGCAGCAGTGACGTAATACTGTAATAAGGCCCTTCAAAGTACACGGATGGCAGGATGGTCACTTAAATTGCGCAGACGATCATCCGAAATCGAGCAAACTAGACTATATCCAGATATCGCGCGATTTCTCATTCTAACGATATCGATAAGAGAGAGAACACTGGCATTAGTCTGTTAGTGAGTGCATTATAGGACTGTAGGATGGATGCCATTTTGGACAATCGTATCTATACTTTGGCTAGCTCTATGATGTGACGTTGTAGTGATATACCAGTAATTGTTGGACGACGTAGTCCAGTAGTCAGGTAGGGCTTGGGAATATTATATGCAAAAATTATTATGCTATGCTCACTGGAATTACTTTGGGATACTCAACAATTTTTGCATATGTCAATCCTAACTCCCTTTCTCATACAAAAAGTATGTCACAGTGACATAATAAGGCCCCCCCAGTATGTTAAAGTATACGGATGATCTTCTAAAAAACACAGATCTTTCAAAATCAAGCAAGCTGTTTTACTCGTTTTCTCTTCCCAACGATCCCGATATGAGAGAGATCACTGCCGTTAGTGAGTTCTTTATCGTAGGCGCAGATGCCATTTTTGGTGATTGTAGGTATACTTTGGAAAGCTGTATGACATGACTGTGACGATGCAGTGACATAATTTTTTGGATGGCAAAGTCAGGTGGGAGTTGATGTGTGCAAAATTGTTATGCTACGCCCACTAGAAGTACTTGATTCGAACCTGGGTTACCAGAGGTGCGTAAATATCTTACTAACGTCAATGGTATCTTACTAACGCCAAAGATTGTCACTAGAGGCATTGGACATTCAAGTTTTACAGTTTTACATTGCCATGTTGTATACTCGAACGAAATTTAGCGACATGCTGCATTGAATTATTAGTTACACCACTTAGTCTAACTGAGTTTTTTGGAGTTTTCGACTATTGCAATTATAGATCAAAACCTTTGTAAGACAAAATTAACATTGAATTATTTGATTTCTACCTAAATTTTGGAAGCACAAAGCCATGAATGCCAATGTTTACAACTACGCTTAAAAAGTTACTGAGCGGTTGCACAAATTTCAATTGTTACATCACTGATACCTATTTGTTGATTGGTCATTTTTACAATAATAAAGACTGAAGTTGATATTGAGAGTTTGGGAGTTGGGCATCGTAATAGAAAATTAGATTAAAATGGTTTTATTGCTTGTTTTATTATAACATATTTATGCGGCCCCTGAACTAAAAGGTATCAATGGAACACCATAGTCTTTCTTTTGTTCATTTCTTATAGCTTTGTGTGAGAGTATCGAATATATCCTAGCATCCTGCTTTCAAGTAGGTTTAATTCATTTTTGAGTTCTCTTGAAATGTACTCGAATAGAGGAAAAGATCTATTAATAATAGCCTTTAAATTTCTGTGGTCGATCGATCATGCATATGATTTTGTTTTAAAACTTAGATGCTTTGTAAAAATAATTGTACCATTTTTCAATTATTATGCTTTGCTCACGCTTGATAAAGTATAATCGTTTGTTTGTTGATGTAATTATGTTTAAAACTGTTGAATATTATTGATTTGTTTTTGATGAGGTTAAGAGGCAGGTGATCATTTCAAGTTTCGATAGTTAGATTTTATTCTTGTGTCATAAAGGGATTTATTGTTCATAATTCGTTGCCATGACTACTAATAGGAAGTTGATAGCGTAAAACGATTCTTATTTGTTTTGAATCTTGTTAATTTACAAGTTTCACAGACCGCATATATGTAGATAGCAGCTCTTGGTAAATATGCAGCATGATTATTACAAGAAATGTGTAAACTTCAGGTATATCATGACTTATTTAGGTTAGGACTAGGTTTTCATCAATAAGAAGCAACTTACGTATGAATTTTTTGAAAAGCATATTTTCCAAATACTAAAAATTAGTAGGTAGTAATTTTGTAGATATTTCAGCAGTTTTTATTAATAAGCATAAATGACTTCATATTCCTATCTATAGTTTTCGTGTTATTCGGTCTTTCAAGATTTTCTACCAGAAACACTATTGTGCAAAATGAAACACAAATAGTTATATATCCCCTATTCAAACCAGAAATAGCGAGTTTGTATTATCGGAAACATAGGAAACAATGGCTGTAATTGATTTACAAGATGCTATCTTGTTTCATGAAAAGGAAACATCACGAATTTAGCAGACAGACTGAAATTTGATATTTTAGACGACGTGTTAATGGTTGACGATAACTAAAATCAGTTTAGAGAAGTCGTGCTTTATTACACAGTGTTCAGAGGAATTGCGAAACCAATTGTCTGCTATCCCTAAATATTTTTGAATGTGAAATATTGAATCTTTTTTTAGTGGGTCATATTCAACAGAGAACATAATAGGAGTTGATATAGTATATTCATTGAGTTGGAATTTGAAATACAGTGATTTGATTGTTCCTCAATTTTTTATTGTTATTCAGACTGTTTTGATCTTGCTGTGAGACTTCAATTGCTAAAAATGGCAATTTGAAAATGAAGGCATTGTCAATTATTCCTCGAAATCTAAAATATTGAATATAAGAAATATTGATTTATTTTAACTAACCAAGGTGCAAAATGTTTTTATTTTGGACAGTAATTTTTGGTATACTTTCATTTTGTGAACCCATCAGTCTGTGGTTTGTTGTACATTATAATGCTGCTTGTATCAAGCACGCTTTGATACAATTTGAAATGACTGAGACAACGGTAATTCTTACATGACGTAAAATGGTTAGAATATAATATAGTGCTAACATAATGCAGACTTTGTTGATTTTCACACAATCTCTTTCTATTATTATATTCGCCTAATTTATTGCTTTTTTTCACTATAAATATGTATAAATGTGTTATTTTCTGAATTGATGGCACTGATATACGGTAGTTGTTATACATAAGGCACCAGGTTTAATATTATGATGATTGTAAGTAGCAAACCAGCACAGCATATCTGAGCAGATGTTTGTACAGTTGAGTATATATAACCGAGTTATAGCTTTATAAGTCTAGAGTGTGGACTAGTCTGTTTCTGCGGTCGCGGCAATACCAGTTGTAAGGTTGGGTATTTCACTTAGAGAGTTTTTCAATGAGTTTTGTGCGATTGTGTCTTGCATCAATTTTTTTGTATCCAGATTTTTATTTAAAGTGCTGTGGTATTTGCTTAATTAAAAGTTAAATTTACACGTTTTTTTCATATGTTTAACGATGAGTCATGCAATCAAGCATTATCTTGATCGAACAACGAACAACGGCGAACATGGATTATGATGGATAGGCTAATTGCTCATGTTTGATAAGGATATTTTGACAAAAACCGAGTTCTCTTTTAAGAATCCTTTTATTAATAAGTCAGTTTTTATTAATAATCTTCAGAATTATGGTTAGGTATTCTTTTCCAGTTGACTACGCAATAATAATGACAAAACACACTTCAAATCTGAGAATTCAAAATATTTACTAATTTCCAACGGAAATTAAACGAAGGTTTTATATTTTGTCAAACTTTTATTTTGGATTCTTAGGAGAGTGTTGTTTTTCTCAAATGGGTAACTTATCTACCTCACTTGTTTACATAAGCTCTCATCTAATATTTTTCAGAATTAATGGTTTATAAAGCTAACTGGGGAATGTTATTTTAACGTATTTAACAAACAAACGATATGATATGAAAGGACTAAAGCAACGGCTGAAGAGACCAACTGCAAACACTGCTATCCCAAAGGTATGTGACTATCGCTTCTATAGGTACTTTTTCATTGATAGTGAAATATTTCTTTCTTTATAACGTAGTTAGCAGTGTAGTTGAGCGTCTGGTTGTTGGGTGTTTTTGATGGAAATTATATTTCAGATCAATTAGTAATGATTATGTTATTGTATTGTGATATAAAAATAATATTCAAACTATATTAATACTGTCCTTTTTCTTCTAAAAAACTCTTCGATAGGGCACTATGTATTTTTCCTAAAAAATTAAATTATTTCTCAGAAAACAACGCAGAAACGTTCGGTATGTAAATATAAAATTGATGAAACTATGGAGTGACTAATTGCTCACGATTCCTCTTTGATTAATATGTAATTTGACACTCCATGAGTTATTGATTAATTAATTACTTTCTGAGCATGATTCTGAACACTTCCATCTTCAAAGGATCATTTCACGGCATTAGTGGCATTATGAAGGCTTATTTGTAACAGGTTTAGCAACAGTAATATAATCTCAGATTTGGTCTACCGATAGTTATTACCAATTTTTTATGTTGTTAGACAAAGTTTGTACATTAAAAAACTTGATAGAATTTGAATATCCAAGTATTCTATGATTATTTTGAAAGTATATACTGGTATATTGGAATTATATTTTACAAGTTTTTATTGAAGACTGTTATAAAGTCATGACTTACAGTAAATAATAGGTTAATTTATTTCAAATTAGATTCGAAGAAAAATTTTTTTGCAATTCAATATAGGCCTATCTAGTATAATTGAAAAAAAAAATTGCTTAAATTTGCTGTTATATTACTGATCTTTGTCTGTACTAATTTTGTGCAAATTATTTTAAATCAACTGATAACTACCGTAATCGTGATCAGTAGTAAGTTTCCAAATATTAGGAAAATATGTTCATAGGATTGATATGCAGTTCTCGCTCAGTAATGTTATTGAAATCTAGATACTTTTGAATGACCAATTGGGTTTATTTGTTTCCTAACATATGATTATATTTACCCCGCTGTCAATATATTCTTGCGTGACTAAATGTATAATGTAACAATATATGCTAAATTATAACTTAGAAATTGTGGGATAAGTCATTCCTCAGTGTGTTGAGTTATAGTTAACATTACTTGTGCCAACACCCCAAATCTGAAACGTGATATTACAAGCTATTGCACACAAATACTTTGGTGTACCCGAATCAATTTGTTTCAATTATGATTCAAATTCAAGATGCCGCATATTTAGAACATTATTCAACATGACATATTTTTATCTTCAACAAGATAGCTAAGCTAAACTTAAGTGTAGATTATCTGCTTCAGTGCCTTCAAGTTCTTTCTGCATGAAAACTGAGGTTTTGGAAAATTACATGTTGTTGTATCTACCAGACAGATTGCTCTAGGCAATTTGTAATGTCAATTTCAATTATTGCTATTTGTAGATCAGATGGTTTGTTTGTTAAGTGAGGCGAATATCATAGTTTATTCAAAGAAGCCAGACGATGGGAATGATAGAAACATCTTCAATTTGCTGATAAGTTTGTTTCGAGCATGTCATATTTGATGTGTAACAGTTCAGAAGAAGATAAAGTTTTGATTATAGGTTTAGATATGTTATTTGTGCATCTGACAAAATAGGAAAATCAGTTTGCTAGTGGCATTTTGTTTCATAAATTTATTATACTTTTGATTAGCTTCTATTCTGCACTGCTACTTGCTAACCCCATCTATGTTTATGTTTTGTTTATGTTATAAACAATTTATGATAAGATCCCAAACATTGAATTGTTATTTTCATGAGAGAGATACCTGTTTGTTTATTTCACTACTGCTGTACCAGTTCTAGACCATGCAAAATTTTATTTTTTAATCAAAACGGTGCAGTGCAATTTTTTAAAGTGGTTTTGTTATTAAAACATTTTGGTCATTTCTAATTTTAGCTTCTTGTTCCTATTTCTAAATGTAGAGCTAACTGAATAAGCATTGATCTATTGGCAACTCTCAGAATACTATATTGGATCTCTCAAATGCAGTTTGTCAGTGAACTTGCATCTTTAGTCGATAGGACATCTTTTAGGAATTGGGATGATACAAAAATGACATGAGATTTTTGCATAGTTCTGAAAGCATATCGCTTTTTGTGTATTCAGTATATGGTATTCATTTACGGTAGTATAATTATATAAAGTTATATATATTATAAAAAGCTCATTTAAATATATAGGTAATAAAATTGTTTATCAGCGGTAGGCTATTTGAAGGTTTAAAAAGATAATTCTTATCTTATGGCCTATTTTCAGCGTTAAAAGAAACCTTAGACCTTATTCAATAAATATTCAGAGTATCAAATTTTTTTTATTATTATTGTAAACAGCACAGTAAAAGTGCCAATGACAAAACCAATCCTTGTGTTCATTCATCATCTTGTCAAGTTTAATTGTCAAACCTTGGTTCAACCTCAAGTCCTCATGCGTAAATTTCCTTTCTTCTCAATTTGTAATTTCTGATATTTGCTTGGAGTTGGGACACACTGTAGGATCTACAACATTGAGAAACACTGATTAAAATGATTTCACTGTGTCTATTTGATTTGACTTCATTGTCTCAATGGTGAGGTATTTGGATGGCTTAGTGTTTCCGAGCAACTAATTGGATTTGAGCATTCCAATGACTTTGTCAATTTTCTACACATGATTTCATTTCAAAGCATTCTAATTCTGTTCCCCAGTCAACCATGTTCAATAAGTATTACTTAACTATAATTAATTGAATTAGGACAATGGGTTTTTCTTCTTGGCTCTGAAATAAAATGGGCGTTAAACATTCAAAGGCATCTTGTATCGGAGGAGCAGCTAGCAACATGGTAAGGACTTAGGTATAAATTTTGATATGTTAGGAACTTTGATTTTAATGCTTTAGGAGCGAGTATCGGTGATGTCAAGTGAATTTATTTTGTTAATTTTTTATACTTATTTATGTTGGAAAAAGTCTATATTTGATAGGGCTAGCCCGGCTACTGAATATATGTCCAAAGTCTTAAATTTTATTCGCAAATTTGGCTTTAGTGAATTCGATAGCTTTATTAAAACAATCAAAATGCGAATTTTTAAAAATCTTGCTTTGAGAAATAAGCAAAAGTATTATTTTGAGTTCTTAAAATTTAGTAGAATTTTATTGTGGTAGTTCGGTGCATACTGCTTCAAAGTTTGGTTGGATAATGTAAAATCATGGGTCTACAACAGGGGTTCTCAAACTTTATTGGCCGCGGGCCAAAATTAGAATTGGATGTTTGTTCGACTCATAATGGCGCTTCATGTCGTATTGCCTCAGAACTGGAATAGTTCGTTGGCAAAGTGGACAAATCGCTGAAGTTTGATTCCATTTAATACTGGAATACGAGTCTTGTCTATGTTTTTATTTGGCATTTCGAACCTTTCTTACACGGATGAAAACTAAATTAGTGCCCTAGGTAATCCTAATACCGGTACGTATAATTGAGATACCGGTGTAATCGAATTTCTATGATAAAGACGAGCTTAGACTGTGATAATGACATAATAATTGGCGGTTTCTAGATTGCAAAAAGGTATAGAAACATAATCTGTTTCATTATTCTACTTAAGCTCGGCGGGCCATTTTAAATCCGGCCCGCGGGCCGCGGTTTGGGAAACCCTGATCTACAATTTCTGTAATATTTGATGAAAACATATTGATGCTGATATAACAGATACATGTAGTCTTTATCTACTATTAAATTTTTATTTGTAAAATACTTGTGTGTTAGGATGATCAGGCAATTAAGATTTGAGATCAACAATTCTGTGAATATTAAAAAGGTGCTTAATTAATATTTTATTAATGTGTGTAATTGAACTCTTTATCTTCCGATAAAATTGTTTTACAATAGTGAAATTGCGTTTCGATTTCTTTATAATTTTGTTATTAAAACTTCAATGTCTTGATAAATTTGGGTTTTTTAATTTAGATTATTGGATATCTTTATACCTTTAGCTGCAAATATTTGTTGATAATAATTTTATACAGTAAAAATTGAAAAAAATCATAATTTGTTTTAGGATTTTCAAAAGTGATGTAATTCATGAGGAATTCGTAATAATTTATAAATGCAATGCTATTTCGAAAGGTTTGATTTTGACTACACTAATTCACTGAGTGTATTTATGAAGTAATCTTTTTTCATTCAACATTTTTATATTCCTTTTACTCCGAACACAGCTTCAACCATACTAATAATTCTGTAAAGTAAATCATTCTTTATTAAATTTCTTTATCTTCTTAGGATGGTGCATGGTCACACCAAGACCAAAGAGTGTGGCAAGCAGTAGCAGGAAATCAACCAGCTAAAGTCGCAGCTAAATTAAGCAAACACCCAGATGTTGATGTCAATAGGATATGTCCAAACGTAGGATACTCTGTGTAAGTATCTAATCGTAAAAATGTTATTAATAATAAAGTATGATTAATAAATGATTCTCAGGTTCGAATCATGTATGGGGTCAATCACCCCACCTGACCCAGGGTGTAATAAATTGGGAATATTATGCCGAAATGGAAAAATTATGGTCCGTCCAAATAATAGTAGCTGTATACATAGTGATAAATATCAGTGGCTACTCGTACAGGGCCTTGTTCAGAGCGAACGCTGTGAATGAGTGCTGCACGAAATGAGTAAATTTTGAGTCTTTAGCTTGAAAGTTGAAACACTAGTAAACTCTTGGTTATACCTTCGTAAAAATAACACTTTTGTATACTATATTTGATTAAAATGTTTGCAACTTTTCTTATTTATATGAAAAATGATATAAAAACAGTTTCGTTAAAATTAATTTCAAGGTATGATTCAATCGTTAAAAATTGATTTTAAAATGATTTGGTTCAAATACCCAAGATGAGAGAATTTTTTTTCGTCTGCTGAATTATATTTGGTTATTGTTTTTCTCTAATGCTAAGTAGATATGTGTTATTAATTATTAAAAGATTTATAGCATGTTATTAATATTTTTTATTAATATACTCAGGGTGCATTATGCTGCAGCAAAAGGTCTTGACGATTGTTTAAACATTCTGCTTGCACATCGAGCTGATGCCTCTGCGTGTGACGTTACTGGAGCTACTCCATTACATGCTGCAGCTAGATATGGACATAGAGGTATTCTTATAAAATACATCCAGAAACTATTTGAAACTAGTCCCATTGTTGTATAAAATATTCAAAGTCATTTCTTACTAAAAATGTGCTCTGTGGAAATTTCCTTCTTACTCTTCGAGCGGTACTCCCGTAGATGTGTACCAGGTTAGGCCATAATTTTATTCCGATTTTCCTTATTTTAGTTCTTTGTCTGACGTGAAATTTTGTCTGACGTGAATAATACCATGATAATGTTTGACTTCACTTCTATATCCCTGTCTAAAATTAAGATAAATCATGATAATATTTTGTGGAAACTTAGTCTTGCTACTCTCTTTTATTCTGAACACTGAATTTTTTAAATTATTTTTATATCTTAGCGATTATCATTAATGTTCTATTTATGATTTTTGTTATATCACCAGGAACTACCTCAAAACTTCTGGCGTCTCGGTCGATGAAAGTTAACTTAAGCGACAAGAATCAATGTACTGCATTACATTTTGCATCATTTGAAGGCCATGCCGATTGTGTTAAACTTATATCAGAAACTCCCGAAGTTGATTTGAATTGCACAGATAAGGTAATATGAATATTCGACCCAACATTTTTCAATACACCTCTCCTTTTTCGTATTTCGAAATATTTCATTCCTGTCTTTAAAATTGTTTTCATTCATAGTTCAATTGGCGTTGTGGTGTAGTGCATTGTGCTGAGCGTTGTGAATACACTCGCCATCCCATTTTTGATTACCTTGCGTTGGTTCTCAGATTTAGGGGGATATTTATGTACGAGATGATTGCTAAACTCTTTGTTCTGCAGGCTGGTTCCTATAAGCGCTGGTCAGTTACAACTTGCCCTACCATCGCCATTTTTGGCTCATCTTTGCCTACCTAATTTATTTCACCTTGGGTGGAATGTGGAGGTCAAGTAGCCAAATGAATCAATTCAATATATCCCAATAGTGGCATGTAGCGATGTAGGTATATGATAATTGTCTTTTGTCGAAGTGTATCATCATTAAAGAGAAGTTCTGAAATTAATTAATTATTCCGAATGCAGGATGGTAGAACTCCATTGATGGTAGCTGCAGCCATGGGACGACTTGAAGTTTGCAAGGAACTTGTGGAACAAAAGTGTGATCTACATCATAAAGATGTAAGTATGTTTATGACTTATGTGTTACAATATATGAGATGGTTCACATAAATTTCACATGTGTTTCGTCCTTGTTTTAGACGGCACTCGGTCACACAGCTCTCACATTAGCTGCGGATTCTGGCCATGCTGAAGTTGTACGTCTGTTATGTGAAAACGGTGCTAATCACACAGAAGCTTTACATGACGGCAGGACTGCTTTGAGTTTAGCGAAACACAAAAATAGGAAGAGCGTCATCAATGCATTGCATATTATTCAACTAACGGAGGCTGCAAATAAATCTTCAAATGGTGAGTGCTATTGCTATTAGGTGGTTTTTATTTATACCACAGTTCATTGTATTTTGTGAAACCACTAGAGTTGTCACATCCGCTTGTCCATGATAGAAAATCAGACAGAACTGACATTTTATTGCTATTTTCGAGTACGGAAACAAACAACAGCTTAAGTCGAGTATTCTTGACGTGTCTCGAGTACTCGTTACATCGCCGCCATGTTTAAAATTACACTCCTAGTTGCCATAGTATCATTTTCGTGTCATGGTGAAATTTCTAATTATACTTGGATAGTATCATAACACAATTTATACAATTGAAATTGGAAGCCGATTTTAAAATATGACTAATTTTATTTTTCAATGTTCCCAAGGTTGGCATAATATGGTAATCCAGAGTTTCAACCTAAAAAAGCGAAACTTAAAAAAAGATTTTGAGAAAATTAGAAAAACATTTTATTTTTTTCAATTGAAATGGTGAATATTGCTTCAAACTATGAGCACTCTTTCTTTAATATTACTCCCGAAGAAAAAAAAAATTGAATACCACAAATTCACCCTTTTGTCTTGAAACCCTCAATATAACTCGATAACTTCTTAAAAAATTCCATTGTAACATTTTAATCTTCGTTTGTTACACTCTTATTCTAATTCAAACAATCAAATGTAGTTTATTAAGTAGCGACATTATACTTCAATACCTCTCAACACCTCTCAAGAAACGATTCGTTTCGAAACACTGTGGACTTTTGTCACTCAGTAATGTGTATGGTGAGCATAAAAGTCGTGCAAGATTTTGTGACACTTGTTCTAAATTTGTAACTAAAAGTTATATCAAGAACAAATATACTAATCAATCAGAATTTTAATGTATAGTGGGGATTGCATGTGGATATACAAGTTCTATTGTAATTGATCTTTTATTTCCTCAGTTATATCAATTACTAAGCTAGACGTAACATAGCAATCTAACGGATAGAAAGTATTTGGTTTAGATTGCTCGAGGTATTCAATATAGGTGAGAGATTTTCATGATATGTTTCATAAATATAATAGTCAGTTCAAGATCAATATCAAATTGTGACATAATTGGGCAGACATTTGTGTTTTTAAGCATGATATAATATAGATGGCCTTCACCTTACTAATGACATGCACCATCAATGCTCAATTATACTGATAGATTTGTTAGGTGTTATATGATAGCACTATGCCATACTGTATTATTTTAACTTCTTATATTAGAAATAAAGCAATCATTTGAATGCATTGTATCATATGTCATACCAGCGGAAAGTTTTGTAGGATTTAGAAAATATTCTTACTTGCAATATCATTCATGTCGAAAAAGTTTTATGGTTGCATTTTTTCTGGGAAAATAAATAAGAAGTACTACTGGTATTTTAATATTTATATACCACTACTTATTTTAAAACACCTTGTATGTGTATCGTTTTGCCATTAACTCAAATAACCTGTTGTTTTTTTACTTTTATGTGGTCATTCTATGAACATCTAGCTTTTGATTTAAAACTATTGTAACACTTTTAGTCGTAAAGTACAACATTCTGTTGTTAATGTCATTCTATTCTATAGAGGTAATTGTAAAATAAGTTTCGAAATATGGCATGCTGAAACAATGCAAATCCAGTCGCTTTGTTATTTTTTACCAAATGTATCTTATTAATTAAACATCATTCCTATTTGAACTTGATAAAAAAAACTATTTCAAGAACAATAATGAAACCCACAATTCTTTATTACATCAGGACCTCGACTGAGTGTGAGCAGCAATAAATATAAATTGGAAGGTGATCCTGCTATAAAGAAAAGACATTCAGTTGACAGCATTCTGGATACCAAGCCACAGGTATATTGATATCAATTTATCTCTTATTATTTTGAAATTCATAATCGATGTTAAATTAGTTAGTCCCAAGAACGTCGCATGTTGATAATTTATAAGCCCCCTACACTCACCCACAGAAGTAGAACAATAGAAAGAATTATCAATTTTATGTTGATTATTCTAGTACAGGGGTGGGTGAGTTTTTTCGGCCTGGGACCAAAAATTTTGCCCACTTAGACTGACAGGCCATTTATGGGCCAGTTACATTTTATGAACAATATTTACAGTGTTACAAAAGCAAAAGTTGAAAACAATAAGCCTCATATCGAAACTGAATTTAATCGCAATCTCCACAAATTCCTCAAGCTATTTTTAGCTAAAACATCACAGTTTGGTTGTAACAGCATCAGGCGGGCCAGATTTGCCTTGTGGGCCTTAGTTTGCTCATGTCAGTTCTTGTACATTCTTGGCTTGATATTTATCATAGGACCGAAAAAACCTGATTGTTTTCTTCCTATTTCAGACCTTCATTGATGATATGGTAGCAGGAACACATTTATCAACTGGTAGTCGAACTCCTAAAGCTACTCGACGTCACAACAAAGAAGAAAAGAAGCCAAGCAAATCTAATATATCAAGGGTAACATTTTTTGTTAAATCAATCTCCAGAAAACTCAAAGATGGGTTATCACGAAAATATTTTTGTGGCAAATTTGATTCTAGAATGAAGTGGATTTCATTCGCAAGGCACAAATTTTTAAAAGTTAATCCTGCAGAAATCAACCCCAAAGTAGAAAACTAAGTCGACTTTATGTAAATAGTAAATGTCAAAAATTCTAAAAAATTTTCTAGAAACGAATACATCAAAAATACTTTTTTGTGATATCCCATCTTTAAGAACTTGGGAAGTGTTGGCGGATGCATTTACCCCAAATATATTATATGACGAATTCATCAAAAATACTTTTTTGTGATAACCCATCTTTAAGAACTTGGGAAGTGTTTGCGGATGCATTTAGCCCAAAAATATTATATTAGAAGAATTACATATTTATCCCGGGCCATGTCCGGTATGAGAATAGTTAACTTGTTATTCATTTCAGATGCACGAACTTCACGTTTTAAACAACCTTGCTATTACTGTAATCAATGGAATATATAATAAATAACAGACTACAAATTAGCATATATCATATCCGGATAGCCTTCAATCTTCATCAAGTTTAATTAGTTTCTGTATTCGATTTTGCAGGTGAAAGCTGCAGTCGAAGCCAAAATGAAAAACGGATCGAGACGAGGATCGGATGCTTCAGGTTTGTCATCAACATCAACACCTCGACAAAAACATAAAAAGAGTAAGTGCTTCATGGATTAGCTGTAATCTAGTGTAGTGGTTCCCAACCTTTCTACCCTAGCGGCCCGTCAAAAAACTGAAATGATTGGAACAGAAAATAATATCAATGCAATGTCGGACACTCACTATGCTTCTAGATACAAAAGGCACACTTAAAAACATTACACATGAAGAAAAACTATCAAATAATGTGCCAACCAAAAACCAAAATGGGTAGAACATGAAATAATACCACATATTTGAGTAATAAAATGCAGTGCTGGGCACCCTTTATGCGTAAAGAAGGCACACAGAAAACATCTCACACAGGGGCGCAGCCAGGATTTTTTTAAGGGGGGGGTTACGGTGAAATAAAAACGCGTTCATAGGTCTTTAAAAAGATGTTCCGACGATGGCAAAACAACATGTGCGTCGCTGTGTCTCATTAGCCTTTCTTTGCATGTCCTACTTTCAGCAATCGCCGACCATTCTCTTTGGTCAAAAAAAATCAATCAACTTTTCATTTCAATGCGCCGTTAACTATATTACTGAAAGTGAATTCGTCGCAAATTCAAATTCCTGTGATATTTGCACATAACGCTTCTCTACTTTTAGCGGCGATTTATCAACATATTATTACCAGTTTGTTAATAATGCATGCTATTACTTTTGGCAACAGGGTTAAATTGGTTTATCATTGTTTCAAGCAAGAAAATAAGCATTTGTTTTTTTCGCTTATTCAGCAATCGTAATTCAAATATTTCCCTATGCGAAAGAAAGTCTTCACTCCGCGGGGTGTCCTTGCGTTTTAGAGTTTCAAAGTGATGCCGAAAATGCCGATGATAGAGAAACACCGACACATGTGGCTATTTGTCAACAGACCCTGCCCCCTTTGACAGGCGTCAATTCGTTTATTTTGTTTTGGCATGTCCCATTTCAACCTTTTAGTAATCGCCGATTATTACCCCATTGTCAACAGTTAAATAAAATGCCATCGTCATGATTTTAATTGAAATACCGCAAAAAATGTAAAATAAGAATAGAATGAAATATTAGCAATCATGAAACATTAAGAAATAGCATAAATTAATGATATTTGCCAAATGCCAATGGTTCATAAACTATTTTTGAGTGCGTCACGAAATATCAATCCATTTCCAAAATAAATATATTTGATGTTCCCGTATTTATAACTTCATAAAACGATTACAATCATTTAAAAACAAGCTCATGTATCGTACTGATTGGGAACGTCTTTCAATGTAAAACTCTTGCTTGTTGCAATTAACTGTTAATAAATTCTAATTTTTATTGCAATGCATCAAGACCTATATTACTGAAAGTGAAATCGTCGCGAATTTGAAATCCCGCGCCCGTGATAGCTGCATTCTGCACATAGCGCTTCTTCACTTTCAGCGATAATTTAACTATAATAATTTAATTATAATTTAATAACATATTGTGACCAGTTTATTGAAAAGATCTGGAAGACAACGCATGTAACTGCTTTTCGCAGACAGACGATTCCAAACGAGTCTTGGACGAGTTTGCTACCCAAAAATCTCGAAGATTGAACATTATTCTTTAAAAAAAAATTTCCCGAAGATTGAACATTATATTACGATACTTTTTACTCGAAGATTGAACATTATTTTGCAATGCTTTGTTTTCGAAGATTGAATATTATTTTATGACACCTTTTTTCGATGCTGCCACATTTGGCAATCCTTTGTTAATGAACCATACATTTCCAATAATTCATTTTGTCTGTTATTTGCTTATGATCCTGGTGCCATCGCTTGTTAAAGATGCACTACATAACTAAAATTCGTAATTAGCGATAAGCCGATAACCAACGATAACGTATGTCATTAAAAGTATGGATGCGTTGAATGTGGCGAGGCGAGAGCGCGCTTGTGGAATAGTTTTGACGGCAATAGTGTGATACGTCCGTTGCTATTTGTGTCAAGTGAAAGAAGGTAGTACAATTGTATTTGAAAATGTTTAGTGTAGATTGTCACTTCCGTGAACTCCGCTGGCAACTAGATCCACTGCCGCGTAACAGCGATAACGAATCGTGAACATAAATAATAAATTAGGACGCTGGGCGAAAGTGATAACGCAAAGAATAAAATTATTGCAAGTAAACGTAACACTATTAAAAAAAAAAAATATTCCAAAGGGGGGGGTTACGACCCATGTAACCTCCCCCCTGGCTGCGCCCCTGAATTCTCACATGAAAATTCTGCTGTTTCGTTTTTCTCTGCTTCGTTTCAAGTAAATCTATAGTGATGAAAAACATTTTTTGCATAAGTGACGGGTTGAAAATACGGACAACAGTTTGATTGCTCGATTATTTAGCGATGGATATTCGTTATCAAAAGATATCAAGAATTGTGACAGTGATTCTTTTTTAATCCCCGCATAAATATTAAGATCCTATCATAAAATCCTAGAAATTATTGCAATACATGTTTACTAATTGTTTCGATCATTACCGAATTTCACTTTATGTTCAATATCTAAAATATCTTTATTTTTTTCAGATTCTGGAACCAGTATTTCACCAGATACCAATGCATTTTCTTTATATACAGAAGGAGCAAATCCTCATTTTTATGAGAGAGAGGTGAACAACTAATATTGCAAAATTTATTAGATCTAGCAATCGAATTATTTAATTAATTAACGAGGACCATAACTTACCATTCAGTTATCATTCTAGAGCTAGTTGGGCTAAGATAAAGAAAAGCTTTTATGTAAACAACTCAGTGACAGTGATTCAAACAAAATCTTTCATTGCTTTAGATGAAGTTCTTCGACTCAAATTCTTCATTGGATGTATCATCAACATGTTCTGCGATGAATAATATTTCCAAATCAACAGATTCTTTGAGGCCTTCAACTGCTGATGAGTTAGACAATCCTTTAAATGGAACAACTTCAACAGTGAATAGTCCTGAAGTTAAGGCATGCAGGAGAAGTTTGTTTTTCTACATTGCTTGGGCCCTGTTGAGTTGTGATTAATGAAATTATGAATGCTTCAATGATTCATGATTCGAATCAACTTGAAAAATATTTGAAATCGTGAAGATATCTAAAAAATTATTTTAAATTTTGCTAATATATTTCAAATTTCGCTTTTTTGGTATTGGTAATTATTAACTATGAAAGGTGAAATAATTTTGGATGGTTTTTAGATTGAAGGAACGGACTTCTCAGTGAGACAACATAATGCTGAACATGAGAAATATCGAAAGGTTTTTTTTGTTTTACGAACTCATTTGAAATTGCATGATTGCAAAAACATAACAATAAAAATATGAATCGTCCGATGGCCTAGGTTAGACTTAAAGGAGTTGGCATCGAAGGGTATAAATCGTGGGTTCAATGTTCAAGAGTGATTCCGTTTTATCTTTGAGAAGATTTATGCTATTTTGGAAGTTGAACTTAACAAGCTGGTATATTTACATACATTTTCGCTGTATTGTTTATATTAACGAAATTTTTGATGCTGATAATGGACCACAAGAGAATGAAAGTTAAGAACCATTGTTTTAAACTATTGTTCACTAATATTGTAATTGAATTCTGACTTTTACCTCTAGAAAGCGGAAGCAATTTTCATCTGTTTTTTAGATGGTTGCAGAATATGAACAGAAAGTAAAAGAGCTTGAAGAGAAAATATCTCGGGCTGATAAAGTTTCCATAGCAACTGAGAAGTTACAAAAGAATGCAGAGGAAGTCAGGGCAGCTCAGGTAACTTTGTTTTTCCGTGTTCAATGAATGTTGAAAATTTTTTTAAATTGATCTAGATTTGAAAACTAAAAATATTTTGAGATGGTGTTTTTTCAAAATTGATATTTTTACTGTTCTGTTTGTTTGAGTTCACAACAAATCATGATTTATTTGGAGGAATTGCTAAAAGCATTATTTGTTGACATGGGGACCCAGTGCAGGGGTTCTCGAACTTTTGGTGTTAATGGAGCCCCTGAAAAGGTGGACTATTATTTACAGGGCCCAACAATAAATTTATAAAAATAAAAAACAAAAAAACACATCGTTCCACATGTTCCTCGGATGTATTCACCGTTGTCAAATTTCATTAATGCTGTTATTAATGCTTCTTTGGACAGTTTACAAAATTAGCCAAGTCTGTATTTTAATCTGTAAACATATAGCTCGCAGAGCCCCTAGATTTCTGTGTCGGAGTCCTGGGGCACTCTAAGAATTTATGACCTAGGGGAGACCTAATCGCTTGTCCACCACTTTACCCAAGGGGTGATAGATTGAGTGGTTTATGTCGAATCGCAGAGATAACGGTTCCCCAACTGACTATAGTAGTTACTTACTTCCTAATATTGTTCTGAAGGTGAAAAGTCTTATTTGTCGCTGTTTTCGTGTTTTCTAGATTGCTGCAGCAGAAGAGGGATTTCAAAGGAAAGAAAACATTTATAAAGAGCAAATACAGGATTTGAAAACGGTATGTTTATTTAAACTAGCGTATACCATACATACCGTAAACACACTTTCACCTGAACAAGTCTTTGTAGGAGTTATTTAAAAAAAAATTTGAAAAATAGTTTTTTGATAAGCATGACAAATACCAAAATGTTTAGACCGTTAGTGAAGTTTGCTTCTGGAAATCTCTGACATTGAAAGTTGCATGTGCATTCATCATATCTCGAACCAGAAGCCCATTGATTTTGGATGAATTATGTTGTATAATTAGCGAGTTATTAATTAATTAGGGATGTGACACACGGTGTCACTATGGGGCAAGAGCGGATGAATCGAAACCACAGTTTCTGTTTTGGGGGTCTTCCGTCTTCGACCGATATTCTCGTGTTTTTTATTTTCCTTGTTTATCGTTATAACGTGTGTCCTTCTTAGATTGCAGTAAGATATGAGAAGCAAAATAAAGAATTATTACGAAGATTGAACGCAGCACAAGAAGTTACATTGACTGTTGAAAAGTTGAAAGAGCAATTGGAAGAAAGTGAAGACAAAAACAAAGTAAGATTTATTTTTTTTGCTATCAATGATGTTAGATTCAACAAGAGAGAAATGCTTTAATATATGCACACAAACAGAGGTGAGAGGGGTGTTTGAGGGTTGAAACCCCCTCAATTGAAATGTGAAAAAACATTTTTCTGTATCATCAATAGCAATTTTTCGTTGCTTGAAACACATTTTAGACCCTCGAGACTCCTGAACCCATGTTTCCAGCCTGTGGCCTGACCCGCTACATTCTAACTTGACAATTAGAAATTTCAAACCTCCCACTGCTTTGAAAATTTCTGGCTGCACACCAAAATCAAATAACTAATATGGCGAATTATCGAATGTCATATTAGTGTGTCCTCGTGAATTATTAAAACCGACAGAATTTATGGGGAAATATCTTCCCCCAGGAGTCGGTGAAAATCTAAAATACAATAAAAAAGGCCACTTTAGCTCCATCTTTAAGTAATGAACATTCCGAATTGATTGATACATCATATGCCGAAAAAAAATGAGCAACAACCTCACATTTGAAAACAATCTTGGAGCAAAACAAACCGTATGTATACTTTGTGTCATTGTCCACTCGGAGATGATTGGCCGATTGTCAAATTTAGGACATTCTACTCCAAAGAAGTCGAGCAGACTTTTATAGTGTATTTATATTAATGTGACTTCATTTTAGGAAATGGAGGAAAATAATAAGAATCTGGAAAACAAGATTGAAAAACTCCAAACGGATAATGGAAAAATGGTACAAGATTTGGCAAAGGAAAAAGAAAATGAAAGGTGTTGTAAATTTAACCTAAATTTGTATGTTATCTGTCTTATCTGAATCTAACTGAACTTTTCCAATGTTGGAATTTTACAGTTCAATTATCACTCAAGCAAAACAAAAAATCATTGAAGCAGAACAGAGATGCAATCGTGCAGAAGAAAATCGTGACGAAGCAGAACAACAATGCAAGGATGCGGAACAAAGAGCTATTGAAGCGGAAAGCAAATGCAATGAACTGGAACAACGAATAACCAACGAGAAGGGAAATTTTAATGAAGCAGAACAGAAAACTGCAGAGCTCGAAAGCAAATTCAATCAACTGGAACAGGAAATCGCTGAAGCAGAACAACAACGCTCCGACATGGTCACTAAATTAGGAGAAGTCAATAAAGATAAAAGAAAGTTTGAGCGAGAGGTAGGATTATGTTTTTTGATCACCCTATTCAAGCAATGACCTTAGAAAATGAGTAGGCTACTAGTAATATCTCCGGCCCTTGCTTGGTTACAAATCATTCAATGAACAATTTCATTTCCATTTCAACCATTCCCATGATATGATATATGTAAAATTATGGCATTCATGACTTTGATTCGTTGATTGGTCATGTGATATATTCAATTCTGATATATTCTGTTTCCAAGAAAGTGTGAAATAGGGAATTTTGTTCGTTTTTATTTTCCAAAATATGAAAATTATCACTCAATACTCGTTATTATGTGATCGCGATCAGGTTTCTCCTGACTGACTTGGCATCGTGTCTTAATTATCTCTCGCTTTATTCAGAGTTTAATAAATTGGGTACTCCCGTAATATTTGAACCAAGATGGCGGACACCGGAACGTAGTATGTTTACCCTACTAGGTTAGGGTTAGGCCATAATTTCAGGTACAAATACTATGGGAGTCACTTGGCTAGTTCCCGAACTTGTAATAGAACTAAAATAAGGAAAACTGGAATAAAATTTTATGTGTCGGCCATCTTGGTTCGCATACTACAGGAGTACCATAAATTGGTAGCTTGTTTGGAGAGGAAAGTATCGTTTCAAAATTGATATGCTTAAATTATATGTCTTACAACCTTACCCAGGGCAAAGTATAATTGTGTAGGCATGCAAAATCGAAAAGATCCAAGATTTCTAGAAATAGTAACTCCTTACACATCAGTGGCTGCCTGCAGAGCCTTGTTCGGAGTGAAACGATGTTTTGATTTATTGTCGTATCATAGTCCTGAGTTGAAATCTCGTTTAGCTCATTAGTATCACATTCTCACTGTTTTGAGTTGGTGTGAGTGAGTGTTTTTATTGGTTCATCATATCAACGCAACATTCAGATACGGCATCTGCTACAATGTAGCACTTCATGGATCATGAAGAAGAGGTTTATGGTGATATTATTTTTGCTAAGTAAAATAAACCTTTTTTATTTTACTTGCATCATTTCAATTCGTTTTTTTAAGTTCGTACAATCGTACTCCATTCATATGTGCTTCATTTTTTTCATGGTTTTCGTTACATTTTAAGAGCTTGCAAAATTTTTGTTTTGATTTTTTTTTTTTGTGTGTCATTATTTGCATCTCAGTTATTAGCTTAATTTAATTGATAGATAACTGGCCTTTGCCAGAAAATGTATCTTTAAAATATTTGATACTATTGATTTAAATATAGTGAGCTCATAGGTTACTGTTTAGAAGAAAAAGCTGTTCTGACAATATAAAACCATAACATAATGTTATTTCTTAAATACAGCTATCCTTATACCATATACATTAGTTGGCGCTTGTTCACTAAACAGCGTAAGTTATTCTATTTAGCGTGGCACAACCATTTTTGCATATAATATTCCTCACCCCACCTGGCTATGTCATCCAAGGATATCGTCACTACGACCTTACAATCTTGTCGAAGAGCTTGCTAAAATATAGCTACAATCGCCCAAAATGGCTTCCTCGCCAGCGTTAACGAACTCACTAACGCCTGTGACCTCTCTCATATCTGGATCGTTACGGCGAGAAAACAAAAGAAATAGCTTCCTCGATTCCGGGTGATCGTCTGCGTGTCTTGGATGACAAGTAGAATAGTTTGGGTGCCTTATTACGTTACTGTGATGTCGTAGTGATGTAATTTTTGAATGACGTCGTCAGGTAGGGTTTAGGAATAACACATGCAAAAATGGTTGTGCCACACCAACCAGAAGTTACTTATGTTCATTTATCAAACATTCCTCTATTGGAACAATAATCGGCATTGAAAAAGAGTTGCCTTTACTAAAAGTATGTCATTCCCTAATTTTATTTCAAAATGTTTTCCAAATTAAATGCTTTTTGAAACTTAACCCTTATTTTTAACATTTTTGCAAGTTTTTTCTTGTTTTGTGTTCCTTTTAGTGGATTGATTTTACCACTTAATATTTGCAGAAAATTTTTGAAATACTGTTTTCCTCAAGTTAATATATTTTTGTTAGGATGACAGTGAGTGACTGCATCTTAATTTATATATGGGAGGATTTGCTATATTGAATGATTGTCTGAAGTTTCTGTAATTTTATTATAATAAAGAAAGCTAAATTCTGGAATTTAAATGATTCAAATTTACAAATTAAACTCTTTCCAATCCTATTTTCTTTGTATACTAAAAACAAGCTTTCGATTTGTGTGTGAGAATTTTTCTACCGATCTAGTAGGCTATTATAAAAATTTCACTTGGGTATATTGTCTCTGCTACTCTAAATTGCAATAGAATTTGAATTGATGTTCTGATTTCTAGCTCAAGAAAATGAAAGAAATATCACTGAAAGAAAAACAAGAATTGGAAGAAAATAAAGAAGATATATCGGAATTATATAAAATATTACATGAGGAAAATATCGTCTCAGGTAACGTCTTCTTCTAATAAAAATTGACAAAATACTTTGAAGCTTATTGGCTTTGCGCTCTAGAAATATCGTGCATATAATGTTTGTTTATACCAAGCAAAGAAAGATACTAATCGGGCACAAAAAGGAAAAACTCAGGATAAATTTTCAAATAAATTGTTGTTTCAAAAAAATCACCTTTTTCCACTATTTTAGTAAATTAAGATGGAAGAAGTTACTAGAGGGCTATTACTTTAATACCATTGCGTTTTTTACACTTACAATGAAATTTTGTAAATTCTTTATTACCATTTGACTGGAATTTTGCTGACATTGCGGTGGTCATATTAGTCATATGACCTTTGTTTCAATATATTTATAGAGCTTGCTTTTTTGTTGTTAATGGGTTGCTAATTGCTGTAGTAAAATATTTCTTCTTTGAAGCATATTATTGGGAAAACAATTTAAAAATTATTTTGCAATTATTCCATATCACAGCACTATTTGTTTTTCCTCATTCTTTGTTACAAAGTGGCCATTTGGACAACTGTCACTGACTATGGCTCATAGCGTCCAGTAAATGGCCAACCATGACCCACTGTAAAAAGTCTTTTTTGATGTTTTTCAAAATACCTTCATACCTTGCCCTCTGTATATTTGAAATGCCTAAAATGGAAACAGGTCACATGACGTTCAATATGATGTCAAAGATAAGCCAGGAGCGCAGCTGAGCCAAGTAGTTAACAGCCCCAGGGCTTCAGACACATAATCCGTTAATTTGTAAAAAAAAGTGTTCCTTTTGAAAATTTAGTATTTTTGTTGCCGTGGAAGCAAGATTGGTATTCATATTTTTTATTTGTGGAATTATAAATGAAAAGAAATAAAACAACTTTACATTCATGGGATATATATATGCCTCTTCCAAGCATTGAGTTACGATTAGTTACCATTGATTATCTATGTTTCATGCATGAAATGAAATTTTTAATAATGAAGTCTTTTCAAAATTGGGGTAATCCTATTGTGGGCATACCATAACACTGAAACCACTAATCCTCAATTCCCAGTGTTCCCATCGAATTTAATTTATTTTGTTGCTTTGAAACGGTTTTAACCAATCTAGTTAAAAAATTAGATTTAATGCAACTTGCTTTTATATGTTTTTATAATTTCTCTTGCAGTATATTATTGCAGTTTTGTAATACAGTAAAAAATGTGCAATTTTTTGTAGGGAACACTTAAATCTAATTTGTTCTTGGTTAAAATAATCACCATTATTTATCCTCCATCTTTTGTCCAACACTAGTCAAATAAATACTTAAAAATTACAGTGAATCTCTCAACAAACAATGAAGCTGACGCTGGTCTTGTTGACAAGGAAAATTACGGCCTCGCAGACGTCAAACTTGAAGTTCAGAAGCTTATTGAAAAGTTCAAGGCAAGTGAACACAAATTTATTTTTTCCTTGCTCGGTAATGTCATAACAAAATTGCTTTCATTATTTGGCATATTTATGAACGGTAATAGGTCAGTCAGGCAGTCATTTAAACTTCAGTCACGGGGAAAATTGTGCAGAATAGCATAGCATAGATGAATATGTGACAGCTTATATTGGACAGTATCAGTTTGATTGTTGAATGAGAATTTTTGAGCTGTATGCTTGGTATTTTTCTATGTTCACTTCAATTCGAAATTTTCACAAGAAAACTGAACTTTTACTGTTAAATCGAATAATAGGGCATATTAACTTGATTTTATAAGACATGATATGGAAATGCTTAATTGCATTCTAGATCAGACGTTGAAATTATGTGACATTCAAGTAAAAGAATGTAATTACCGCCGTAAAAAAGTCATCATTCAATTTTCTTAAAAATAATTTCTTACATTATACTGAGCTTACGTTATATAGTGTGTTTATATAATAAAATTTTGATTTGCAGCGCCGTATGTAGTATTTTGGCCTCCACCTGGTTAAGATATATTGAGAACTGACTTCATAACAAAATTGAAATTCTAACGAGACTTTTTGATTCGCTTCATTAAATTTATATCAGACGGATTTCGTCACTCCGTTGTTTGTTTATTTTTTTTATTATAAAAATTCATTGCCCATGAAGAGAATCTTTAGCGATCGGATTGGTAAAATGTATTCTCGATTTTTTCTCATTCGTCATTTTTGTGGCTTTTTTCACTTAGTTCGACCTCAAAAATGTGGATTTTTAGGGGAATTAGTCATGCACTGGATACTGTAAATAGGTGTTTTTGTTATTTTGCGGCTTCTTGATGAAAAGTTTGGAAATATTTTCTAAAGGTATTTGATGTTGTTGCCAAGTTAACAACAAAAGGAGGTGTCGAAATCTGTATACGTTTGAATAAATGGTAGTTCTATGTTATTATAAAATTCAGATCAGTGTCAGATTCAGAAAAGTGTTTTTTTCAACTTATTAGCCGAAGCATTTTTTGTATTTAGTGGCTTGTGTACGATAATGTTTGTCTTTATATATATACCTGTACTCATAAATAAAATCGTTACTGGTTCAAAGTTATCTATATATTTATCTTGGGGCCATTCTTGTTACATCATGCAAAAATCCTAGAAATTACTCTGAATCAGGATGTTTATTCATTTATAGTTGATCGTGTATAACCCGTGCTTGATCAGAGAAAATATATTCTATAAAGAATTAAGCACTGCCAGGCGAGCCCACCCACATAATATCATAAGTTTGACACTGCTTAACATTACTAAGAAGGAAGTAATAATGTTTGATAATATATTTTTTTTCGTGTATTATCATTTTATCTTCTCTCCGCCAGCCTCACACATTTAGATTATGTTTTTAAGAAGTCAAGAACAGTAGTATATGTTAGCCGTTACTCGTTAGTCTCTCATTAGTTTGGTTTGAATGGTGATTTGCAATGTGTGTTTGTTTCAGCGCTTCAGAAGTATGTGTACCTATATGGAGGTACCGTAACTAATTTTGTTAGCCTACTTCACATCAAGTCGATAATGGGACAGAAACCTATAGTTATATCCACTTGGCCAACACCGACAGTCCCTGAACTCGTTATAGAACTAAAATAAGAAAAATCGGAGTAAAATGATTGCCTAACCCTAACCTGGTACACATACTACAGGTGTACCTTTGTTTCTAGTAAGATGACAGATTTTTTTCGAAGCAATATCTTTAATTTTCTCTGATGTGAGTACATTATAGTCTGACTTAGTTTTCAGTTTAGAAGTTATATTATCTTATGATCATGCTTAATTCAGTATTGTCAGCTCATGCCACAGTGTACTAATTTAACAAAATATTCTAATGTTCCAAATGGAAACTTGGTTATGCATGAGTAAATATATAAAAAATCTTTTCACATGAGACTGAACTAACTATGAATTTAAAGTAATATTACTGTATTTTTTATGAGTTTTAACTAGAACCCTTTTCAAAATGTATATTTAAAATGTTTTTTCAGTTGTACCAGTAATTTGAACATTAACTTTTACATTACCACACTTTTTGTATAAAAAAGTCACAAAACCAGTTCCTTAATATTAATGCCCTCAAGAACATTATTAACGACATTATGACTGATTTTTTCTTAGAATGACGCAAAATGATTAAGCACTGCTTCAAGTCATGTTTATATGAGGTTTAAAAAGCAATTTTTTAATTTGCCGGGTGTCAAATGAAAAAGCCTTTTGGCGGTTTAGTGCTACTTGGTATCAAACTAAATATCTTAGTATTAGTAATGTGGCATATCTTCTATGTTGCTGAATTAGTATGTGTGAATAAGGTAGGTGAAAAATATGCAAAAAGTTTACAGTTATTTCACAGTTACTAATGTCTATTATTTACATAGGACAAAAATGTTTCATGTGTTGATTGTTTGGTACTCCCGTAGTGTCTGTACCAGGTTAGGATTAGGGCATAATTTCATTCCGATTTTCCTTATTTTAGTTCTATTACGAGTTCGGGAACTGTCTGTGTTAGCCAAGTGAATATACCCACTGCCCATAGGTTTCAGTTCCTTTACACAACTTGATGTAAAATAGGCGAACAAAATTAGTTACCTACTTCTGGAGCGCCGTCTTTAATTCTGTCTATCTGATGTTTTGTCTAGTACTTACTAAGCTGGCATACATTTATTTCATTATCTTTTTTTTAATCAGTACATTTCAGTTTTTGTATATGCTTGCACGTTTTTGTCGCATTTTTGTGGTCATTTCGATAAATATTTGATAAGAGAGATGCTGATTTTTCTCTAAAAGATTTTAGTTGTTAGTTCATTTGTAAGTTGTTGGATTATTTTAGAAATGTTATTTTGGCAGTTCGAATATTTCAACAATTTGTCAATGTATATTGGAATGTAACAGTATGTGACTTATATTATATCAGTGTTTTTTGATGCGTGATGACTAACGAAATGATTTGAATAATTATCAGCAAACAGAATTCTGAATTATTATCCATTTCCATTATATAAAAATTTAGGTCACTTGGAATCTTATGAAAATTTAGGTTGTCAATAAGAAATTTGACCTTTGTATGATGTCACAAAACAGTTGTTCTATTGTGATGTCACAAGGTTGTATTTACATGAGATTGAAATTTCTAAATTAGAACTTTTTATTTTGTTGCTAGAGCTTGTAGTCATAGGAGCTGGATATTTGTAAGGCAACAGTATTACGGTGTTTTACAGATGTAAATATGCCGTTTAGCTTATTTAAAAAGGGCGGAAGCCAACGAAGTCCAAGGACTAAACAACCAAAGAAGTCGATTGCTCAAAATCAGGTAGCTGTCAGATAACTTTATTGAGGTTTTTTAAGCATAGCAAAGAAAAGCAAATTATGTGTACTGTGTATATTGATAGCTTCATGCTGGTGACACTGGTTTGCAACCACCGAATTGGACATAACACACAAGACGCAACTGTCTGAAATATTAGGAAAGGGCTTTTTTGAGATTACAAATAATGTTACCAAATTTCTGGGATAATTCATACTATTCCAAAATATTAAATTACAAAAGATGTTCGATTTTGTATTCTATAAAGGAATAATTTTTAGAGAATTCCTGTATATCGAAGTTACAATAAGTAAACTTTCCCATATTCTGTTGTTTTGGCATTCCTAATTCATAACCTAGAGGCATCTGTCCAGACTCTCCTTACAACTAAGCACTTGCTTATGTGTTGTCTTCGTCCGATCAAATAGAATTTTTATTTTTATGCGACGCTAATCATACCTGTTTGCTCTGAACAAGGCCTACACAATTAGCCACTGATATCTAATGATATATATGTATATATATAAGAAGCTACTATTATTTGGAAGGACTGGAATTTACCAGTACGGCATACCCACTTTAAGAGACCCTGTGTGGGGTGGGGAGCATGAGATTCCAACACAGTTCGGTCTGCTCTAACTGTTAGGCCAATGCGCTAATGAAGGGAATAGTACAATTAGAATTATTCGTTATATACCCAACTGATTAAAAAATGTTAATAATCTCTTCTGAGTAAAAAAGAGTTGCTTTGGATAATTAGCAAATCACTCCCTCTATTAACAATTCTATTCCTCTTTTTTTAGTTTGAAGAAGGCCAACACAACAATAGTGAAGCTTCAAAAAAAGACATTGAAGATAAATTAAATGTAAGATACATTTTCTTTGGTATATTATTTAAGAAGATTTTTTCTTGTTGGTATTTCTCTTGAACTGCTCATTAGGCATGCCGCATGGGCTTTATATGGAAAGTACTGCTCTATCTACAATCCATGATTGGTCAGAATTTATTTTGGTGGTTGCTGTGAAATTCATATAATATCAATCTTTTTTCATACAGTCTTGTATCTTTAGAATAGACCAGGGATGGACAATTACTTTTCCGAGTGTGCCAGTTACAAAAAAATAGACTGGTTACTGGTCCGGAGGCTCAAAACTCAATATGAAAAACTATGAATAAAAAACAAATTATTTAGACTAGCTCATCCAACAGCTAGGCTAAGGTTATATAATAATAAGGAGAGCACAATGTAACAATCGGGGTCATTATGACGTTATTTCATCAATATTTTCAACGGAAATATAATATAAAATACATAAATATAAGTTAATGTTTTTCTCTCTTTCGTAGACTTCACTTGATGAAAAGAACAGAAGGATTGGAAGTTTGGAAAAGAAAATACTTGACGCTGAAGAAACGTTGGCAAAGAAAATAGCAGAATGTAGTAGACTTGACGCAGAGTTGAAACACACAAAGGTTAGAGTTTTTTATTGAGAAATACACGATGACCCGATAAGCACACATTAACATTTGCAACATATCTAGAGCAGTGCTTCCCGATCTTTTTCAGTTCGCAACCCACTTTTATTGCCATTTTTTTCCACCCACAAAGATGTTGATATATACATGAGAAAAGAAACAATGTATTCCTATGCATTGGATTGGATATTATCACGTCAAGTCGAGGCTTGTTGGGAGACAAGCTCACATGCAGCGTAGCATTCACACTCAACCCATTGTGCTCTTGGCACAAAGTCATTTTCTGCCTCAATGCAACTGCATTTGATGTAATCAGAGTCATAGTTTCTCACTACAATATTTCAAACTTTCCTTTTTTTCTTAATTTCTTTTACTCTGTTGCCTTTTCTTTATAAAAAATTTGGTGGCTTTTGTTAAACTAAAGTATATTCACCCTTTTTACCCAGTATTCAAAATGCAACTCATTGGACATAAGATTACCAATTACATAAACCAGCGTATTTGCTACTGTCTACACAAAATTAAAAAAATAATCTATTCTGACAAGTAGCCTTTTTGAATGAAATGTTTGGGCGCCTGTTGCACTTTCTGTTACCTGATAATTATTTTATTTAAAAACATGATCAAAAATTCACAGATGTACTGGTGTAAAAAAGTTTTCCTGAATTCTCTACATCAAATATTTTTTATTAAAATCAACCCGAACAATTTTCATTAACTGTGATATTACATGAGTGATTTTTTGTTCAGAATCGACTGAATGGTTTAGAAAAAGACAAGAAAAAGTCTGAAGATGACCTCGGTTCTGAATTGACAAAAACCAGAGCTTTACTTGCACAATATGAAGCAACCAAAACTGCACAAGCTGATGAATATACAAAGTAATATTTTAATCATTACAATACCATACAAAAACATTTATTTCATTTCACAATATTATGCCTGTGGCTGTAAAGACATTGAAAAGTTTGATGATTTGCTATTGTCTATATTTATGGCAGTTTTTTCTCTCAAGTCGATCAATAAATATTTTATTTGCCATTTTCATGCAATGAAATCATGTTTTATGGTAAACGTCGCTAATTAAACTGTGACATATGCCATGATTTTGCTGGGTTATTGATTGAGCATTTCATGAGAAAACTTTCAAATCGAATCAACATTAGCTCCAGTCATATTTATCAAAACTATTCAGAATATAAAACCAATCTAGTAAAAAAATTATTTAAGTTTAAATATATCTGCTTTTATGAGGCTTTTGTTTGGTTTTAGTTAGCTTCTCTAAAAGAAGACCAACACCAGAATGTTTTACTTGATTAATTGACTCTTTTGCAATTCGAGTATAATGTATTATGATGCAATAATATAACCTGTGTCATGTCAATTCAAAATCATTAAGTCTTATAAATCACTTATTTAATTGTTATCTTCTAACTTGCAACAGCATTTTTGCATTGTATGCATATGGATCCACCGGTGCAAAGGCATTGAAGAATAAGAAGTAGTCAGTTCCCTTGAAAACCTTTTCGATAGAGCGTATATCTAATAGTGATTTTTAATGTTCAAAAATTGTTGATTTTATCAAAATGCAAATATTTCTTGCTCCTTACAGCGTGATCCTGTTGGAAAAATATTGTTATCCACATTTTGTGTTTATGAAGATTTTTTGTGCCACCCTACGTTTCTGATATATAATTATTAAATTCTTCATTTCAGGACACAAGATGAAGTCACTCAACTCCAACAACAACTCGATGAAGCGTTAACTACTCTTGAAAAACACAGAGGAGATTCGATTCCTCGTGATATTTATGACTCTGATTGTGCGAAGATAAAACAAGACGCAGATATATTGAAAAAAGAAATCACTAAAACATTAGAAAAATTTGCACAAATGCAATTGGATATTGCTAACAAAGAACAGGTTGCGATTTTATGAAATTAGTCTTGTGAAAGCTAATAAGTCTATGTCATTCTTGTTACATTAAAAGCGGTACACTTGGATAGAATAGGATTTTAATATTTATTTGGGGAAGAGGGCTAAATCATATTGCAAACATGGACTGATTTGGACTATTGTGTTCGGTTACCATTCCCTACCCGGTATGAGAACAGTTAACAAGTTATTTTGCTCAGATGCATGGACTTCATTGTGCAGGAAGTCGTAACTGGCCAGCAGTTACGAGAGCCATGACGACGAGGAGTCCAGCTATCTTCCCGCACATAATCGTCCTCCACAGAATTAAAACCTTAGGACCCACATCAAATTTTTTGTATGATTTATGATTATCAGATAACATCATAACAGAATAGACTTTATATTATATAACAAAATCAGACATACAGCTAAAGCAATATCTTATCTGGTGTGAGTTTATTTTTCAGTGTTGTTTTGATTGTGGATTGAATTGATTTTGAAAAATATATATGGTTTCGTTCATCGTAGTTATGGTAGTTCCACTACAATCTGTTAAAAAATTGATAAATACATACCCTCAATTCTGTAACCTCAATTATCAGTGACATGCGCGTAAAAAAATTTCCAAAAATCATATGCTCGAAATTGATATAATATTAAAACAACCCTTTTTTCCAAATTCGATATACTGGTAATTATGATTTTAGTCGGAAATATTATTGCAATATTTTTCTCTGTTTGTACAGATCACCCCCTCCATTAACTTTTTACAATTTGTAATAATCTGACTGTATTTCAGGAAATATCCGATTTACGAGTTGAGCGTAACCAGAGTGAAGCAAAATCAACAAAATATGAAGCGGACGTCAGTACTTTGAAATCGAAATGTCACGAATCTGAAGTTCAAGTTAATATTTTACGACAACAATTAACCGATTCAAAACATAAGCTGGAAAAAGCGACTGAAGAGGTAGGAATATACAGATCATGTGTGGCTGAGTGGATAAAAGTATAAATCTAAGATAAACGTATATATAGAATGTTCTAATTTTGATAATTTTAGATCAATGGCCTTCGAAAATCACGTCGAGATATGACTTTGCGATTGTCAACAAAACAAGGAGAAATTAATGAATCTGAGCGAAAGAAAATTGAGAATTTGAAAAAGCAATTGGAAAATTTATCATCTCATATACAGGTTATTGCCAGTTTTTGTTCAGATGGATTGAATTATGTTTTCCTTCTAGTTCTGCAGTTCTCAAAGGGTGACCACGCCCCACAAGGGGGGCGTAGACGATTTTTCCAGGGCGTGTGAGGCTAATTGAAAATAAAAATATTTGTTAGATTTGATCTTGCCCGTCTTATTTTGGATATTTACATTTCAAAACTTTCCTCGATTCCTTATTTCATTATTTACGTTCTTTCCACATATTTTAAACATGTTATTTTAAATAAACGCACTACCGCCTTACTATCTGTTGTTTTTAGCTTATTGTTAGCTAGTTATTATTGAGATGGGGCGCGAGACTTGTCAAATTATAAAAAGTTTGACAACCACTGTTCTAGTTGCTAGGATCGGGGATTCAATATTAAGTTTGCAATGTGTTTTGACCAATATTATTAGCAGTAAGTCCTAATATTGGTCAGCCAGGATGATGAAATTTTAAAATTCTGTTGTTTTTTTTTCATGAAAATCCATTAATTTTTAATGTACTTCACTTGTATAGAGCCTTGAATGAGTGTGTGTAACAATAATTTTTGTTAGGTCACTTCTCATTGATTGCTTCACATTTGTAAAGAATTATTTTTGTTATAAATTAAAAAGTTTTTTTTTTCTCAAAGGTGTTTTTTGTTTTTAGGAATCTGAAAAACGGTACAGGGACACAATTGCAATCTACAGAGGCCATCTTTTGGCTGCCGTTACAGTAAGATATGTTTTTGTATTATGCCATAGCCATTATATAAACCTGTATTTTTATGAAAACCTAATTGAATAAAGTTGTTCTGTCTGTTTTGTGGTGACGAATTAGGGTCTTGATGGTCTGTAAATATGAATGTGCAAAAGCTTGTCATTGTTAGAAATTTGTCGAAATGAATACACTTTCATTTGTGTCAGCTAATAACTTGTATAGTTTATTTTCTACTAGAAGTAAGGTTGCTGGTCATTCAAAAGTCTATAGCAGCGGCGGCCAAGGCGGCCACAGAGCAGTCTGAGGGGGCCACCATGCTAGGCACAAAACTGATTTACCCCTCCCCCTTACAAGGAAACTCTCCATTCATTCAAGTTTCTTTAATTGACAAGGTTATTTCACAGGATGTTTTCACGTTTTTGTGCATGAATTGTTTGAACATAATGGGTTTGGAATCTACCTCTACCAATCAAAATAACACTTTGAATACTACTTTAATGACAAAATGGGGGCCATGAGTGCTAAAAGCCTCTGGAAGGGGGCTTTCACAAGCCAAAAAGGTTGCAAATCACTAGCCTATAACGTTACCATGACACTTTGGCAATCCAAGTTAAATTTCTTTCCTGATATAAGTATAAAAATCCTATCCTATAATATTTCTTTTACCTTTCTTACAGGGAGAACTGGATTCTGATGTACAATCAGCATTACAAGAAATCATAAAATTACGAGTAAAAGATGATGACAAGGCACAAACATCACATTCATAATGTTACGTCATCTGTTCTTTTTAATATGCAGTTTCGTGCTTTTCATATCATATTATTTTCAATTTACCGCAATTTTTATTTTATCATTATTCACTTTTTTAATGTTTGAGGAATTCCGGGACCAATGCTCATTTTTGGACTATTTGTTATATTTAAATTTCTCGATGTGGATATTACCTTTTAATACTTGACTGTAAAATCGTAGTTATTTCATTTGGCTTATTTTTTAATCGGACCTCCTGAAGTATGCGCACCAAGATGCGCACAACCTGAACTCAGGCTGTGTGCCAGGTTAGGGTTCAGGTTATGTGACATCTTCGTGCGCATACTTCAGGAGTACCTTTTAATCTACACTACCTAAATTAGACTAAGATGTATTGCAAGAACATTGAATTAAAATTTAGCTTTATGGCACTCTGAATTTTATTATCATATTTCTTTGTCAATTATATTTTCCAACATTCCGTCCCAGCAATAAGTTAATTTTGTACTGCTCAAAGTGCAATTTAGAAGTGCTTTTCCCCAAATTTTTCTGCCTTGATGTAAAATCTGTGCTATTCAGCGATTTCAGCTAACCCTAGTAGCTACATATTCGCCCCATTATCACTCAGTTGTCTTAGTCCAACTAGTGCAAATTTTATACGGTACTGTTGCTTGTCAACGCCTATTTGAAATATAGTATTTTTTATGAAAAATGTCTGTGCTTTTTGTTGTTGTTGTGTTTGTATCGTATTCTTACCCCAGGACATGTACTGTAATACAAAACTCTACACATGAGCTAATCACAGCTCATTTAAATTAGGAAAGAAAATGTTGGTGTTCTAACATCAATATAACGAGAAAGGTCCTCACTTATAGAGCTGTTTTCAAAATGTGCATACTCTCGATGTAATGAATTAGCTATGCAATGTCGTATCGAACCTGGAGTCAACTAAATCTTATTTTGGTCAATATGGCATAAATGAAAACGAACGGGCAAACCAACTTCATAGATGGTTGGCAGACGTGCATAACTCTGGATAAAGTTAAATGCGTACAAGCACGCGCCCGTTCATGAAAAACAGTTGAGAGCAAAAATAAACACGCATAATACAAAATCGGGCAAAGACTTTGAAATCGATTTATGATATTGATCAAAAGAAGAGGGCAATACTTTGTACAAATTAGAATTCAAATTTTTTTTGTGGTTCACTTTATGATTGATTAGGCCTTGTTTTCGACTTTCCTCTCCCCGGGAAAGGCTAAATATGTTATTTTTTTTTCTTCATGGCTCATCGTGCTAAGCGCCAGAAACGCACGTTTCTTGATACTACGTTTTAAAAAAAATCATGAGTGATAATACGAATTCGCATACATATGGAGGGAGCATTTCACTTATTATTAGATTGAATTGACAAAGGCCTCATTTCGATTTTAATGGTTGAAATTATTTTACGATTTTTGCAATAATTCTCTGAGATGAACAAAGTCAATTCGATTCTAATAAAAGCGATATATATGACTTTTTTCAAGTAAATTTCACTTCCAGGATTTCCGTTTTGACTACCCCACTCAGACGGAAAAAATTCGAGCCAATTCTTTCTTTCAGCTTCATCCTTTAGATACTTCAGTTGTCGAACTTTTCGTAAAAATTTCATCCACTTTTTTCGTTTGGCTTCAGTCTTTTAGTGACTACATCCACTCCATATTCCACTGAGAAAAATTTCATACAATTCTTCTTTTAGGATTAATCTTTGTAGTGACTTCAACCACACTACTTTTTTCGAAAGAAATTTCATCCACTTCTTCTATTCGGGACGCAGCCTTTTAGTGACTTCAACCAGCCCTCCTTCCGTCCGGTCAAATTTCATCCACTTCTCCGATTTAGGGTTTAACCTTTCAGTGAACTCAACCACTCCACCTTCCCCGAGCGAAATTTCATTAACTTTTTCATTTTAGGGTCAGCCTTTTGTGACTTCTATCCGCTGCATCTTTGCATCCGCTAAGACAGATGTTCAAGCAGGCCTCGTTTCCATAGTTTTGCGTTTTATCTAGTAGGCCTAGTATATATTTACGGTTTTATTTTTCGGTTCTTAGTTTTGTTTCCAAAAAATTATTGTATGACTTAATTGTCATTTTGCCGACCGAGAGGCTTTAGTTTGGTTTAGTAATAATTATTTCCTGTTTTTGATTTTTTTGATGTTTTCAATTTTTTATGTAGTTGTCAGCTTGTTTATATTATTTTGGATATACATTCTAATTCTGCCATCCTTCTTACTTGTAAACGCATGATCATGCTGAAGTGGAAGTCGTGGGAAAAGACATTTGGTGTGGCCAATGAGCATATATATACGCTCAATGGTGTTGTTCACTAAATCAACTGATGGTTCTAAATCAGTCTATTGCAAACTGTGCAAATCCACTATTGTGCTAGGAGTTTCAAATCTGTCAAATCATGAGGCTTTTTTACTTGTTAAAATCGTTGTCTTCTCGTTTTTGCACGCTCATTTTGAGTTCTCAACAAAACATGCCCTCCCCCAATAGTTTTCTGTGATTACATGGAGTTCGTTAAAAGTATCATTTCGTAGGCCAACTTTTCCAATACCAATACGGTAGTCATCTTTAATGTGAACCTTAATCACTTCAGCAAATAGGGTGGAAGTTGACCTTGATGACCGCACGGTCGTATTGCTTCCTGTCGTCAATACCAAATCAATTTTATTTGGGTTACCGGGGTGTATTTTATCGTATTGATGAATGTTTGTTTATGACAAATTAATAAATTTCTCTCTCTCTCTCTTTTTCATTACTGGATCTGGCAACTCTGCTGCTGGACACCGCAGGCTCTGCTCACGTGACCCCGTTTTATCATGTGATTCTTTCTCTCTTTTTGCTTAACTGCTGGTAATACCGTGTACGTTTCGCCTCTCTGTTTTATATCTGTTAAAATCTGTGTAGTTCTACTGGAAAATCAACTTTCCTACTTTCATCATCAGACTATCAAACATATCGTGTGGTTTTGTAACACTCTGAATCTTCTGGAGGCTTTACAAACTTAATGAGCTCATTCAGTGCGGTAGTTACCGGCTGTGAATCCACACCCCACCCGGGACAGAATTATGAGAATCAAACAATTGCATAAACAAGGAATGATTTTTGCATTCATTGTGAAGCTATGCGGTATGCGAGCTGTGGAAATATGTCCAGGCAAATCAACTGGAGTTCCTGAAACCGATTGAATGCTGAAAGGTGTTGTTGAACGACCCACTGACCCAGAAAAAAATGAAGAAAAACGAAAAGATGTTGGTTATAGAATTACTCACGGTAGGAAATCAATAAGAATCCTTGAATAGTGCTATGGATAGTAATCTTTTTGTCTTGCTTGCTTGCCCTAAAACGGGTCTTACTACTTAACTGAATAGAGCGCGAAACAGTGCAGAAGAGATGGAAACATTTTTCTTTCATTATTTATTATCGTCCGTGAAATTTTAAACAATTTGATGGGATACAGGGGTAGGGAATGATCACGAGTTTATATCAGTAATCTTCAACATCTTAAATAACCAAACATGACGCACCCTAACCTGGTACACATACTGTGTTCAGGCTGTGCGCCATCTTGGTGCACATACTTCTGGAGTTCCAAAATTTCTTTGATTGGTGTGGTGTGCTCAACATGGTTACCCCGCCTGTTGTGACTGGAGTCGCTTGCTTCCTTCGTTATGAACGAGACTCGGATATTCGGGTCGCCTGAAAATATTCTATTTCCGTATTCTCTTAGTATTTAATGTTCGTCTTTTTATTCCTTTATAAAATTTGATGTTAGACTTCCTTGTAGGTGACGCTGCTCGATAAGCATTAGTGGTTTATCGCGTCTTCCTCCACACTAAAATGCATTTTTTTATTTTATCCTATTTGTACAATGTGTATTTTCGGCATGTGTAAAAATAAACTACTGATACTACTCAAAGTGACTATAAGTCACTATACTGTAGTCACTTTGGGTGTGCTCATATTACGTCATGTTGGGTTATTTGAAGATGTTGAAGATTACTGATATACACTCGTGATCATTCTCTACTACTGTATGCTGTTTCCCATCAAATTGTTTAAAATTTCATGGACGCTAATAAATACTGAAAGAAAAAGGTTTCCATCTCTTCTGCGCTGTTTCGCGCTCTTCGCGCTCTATTCAGTAAGTAGTAAGAGTGCCCTAAACCTATTTTATGGGGCAACCCTAAAATGCGCGAAACGGGAACTACGGGAAATGCACTAAAATGTGGGAACGACGGGAAATTGCAAAAACGAAAAAGCGGGAATGACTGGAAATCGCTTTAAGGAACGGGAAATTTCACTAAAAAGCGGGAATGACGGGAAATAGCTTTAAGGTACAGGAAATTTCACTAAAAAGCGGGAATTTCACAAAAAGCGGGAATGACGGGAAATCGCTTTGAGGTACGGGAAATATTCATGATCCTACGTAAGTTACGTCAACTCACGTAGATCATTTTTGCTCACTTCCGAGACGACGTTAAACTGCGTCGCGGAAATGAATTTCGACTGCTGACACAACGGCGGAAATTTGACATTTTGTATTTTGTTCGGTCAATGTGTGAATATATGCCAAAATCACATTAATGAGAATAGTTGTCTGACTTAATTGATGATGTCAAAAACTAATATATAAAAACTAAAAAAATCCCAACAACCATATGGCACTTGAAGTGAAAAATTAATATAATTTCTAACAAAAATCCAGACCTATCTCAATATTAATTAGCAAGATTAAACTTTACAATTGGTTTCGCCGTGTGTTTGTAATAAATTTATCTCTTATAAAGATATCAGCGTGATATCAACAAAGCTATCCGTCGAGAATATTAATATTTAGAAGACTTACAAGCCCGTTAAAATATTTTTTGTAGATTAAAACGGTTAGCGTCAGATATATCTGTGTATGTTATTTCCCGATTGAAATGACAAACGTCTTATAATATTCATCTGACGTAACGAAAATTGAACAATGTAAACATACGACGATGGAAGATTCAAATAATGCATTTTCGCCGCGATGTTGAGATGTAACGTTTCGACACCGACCGAGCGTCTTACCTTCGCGCAACGACGTAACTACATCACTCGTATCGGAAGCCTCTTTCACACTGTGCGTCGCAGTTACGCACCAGACTGGATTCCATTGCAGGTGCACGCCCTACCTGAGGGCACTAGCGCTCCGCAACAATGCACGCGGGAGGATTCAATTTTGCACGCCGAAAATTTGCAATTGCTCACCAATAAAAATCAGTTAAAATGATTTTTAAATCAATATCTCAGTAATATAAAGATGTTTACAAATTGTATCTCCACAATTATTGACGACATACTAGCTTGCAATATTTGGCCTGATCGAAAAATGAAAAGCAAAAAATACCTTATTTCATTATTGCTTGGCGGAGTGGCTCATCGTGTTGAATGATAGGAATCCCCTGAGAATAGTTATGGGCGAAAAGATTGTCAGACTCCTCGCAGATGTTGGTCAGTTACGTCTCTGATTCAGCGTATTTTTCAAATTTTACACGGATGTACTAAACAGTAGTGGTATCTAAAGTCGCACGAACATTCTCGAAATTAATGACAAAGTATACAAATAATGTTTGGGGGTCAAAGGTCAAACGCCCATTTTTTGCTCTGATTCAACGTATTTTTTTATTCAATAATTTTACACGGATGTATTGAACAGTATCTAAAGTCAAAGTCAGTTGCACGTGGGCGCAGTCGTTTTGCAGGCCGTGAGCTACAATTGGAATTCTAATTTGCACGTGAGAATTTCTGATTGCATGCCCGATTTCTCGTTCAAAAAGACCATGAAATCCAGAGCGGGTTACGCAATGAGTAAAATGACTGTCCGAAGTTAGGGCAAGGAGGGATAATGGTCAGGTGACCAAAATAGATTATTTTAATAGTAAAAATGTTCCGTTATGTCCTAAATTTGCAGAGAATGTACAGTACCGCATGAAGGTTTTAACTAGGCTTGTACGTAATTTACGGATTTACGGAATTATTTCGAGTTACGGAAGCGAAGTTACGAATTACGTAAAGTCGTAATTATTGGTCGAGCGCTTTCGCGATTGAAACGAGCTTACTTCAAAGCAGTCAATTCCGTCGATTGTAAAAAATTAAAAGTTTAAGTAGAAGAAATTAGAGTTCCGGTATTTGCAGCCGTTTTACTCACTCTTGTTACGCCGATGGGGAAGGCATACCGCGTCATTTACTAACCTATTATCAACTTATCTAGCATGGCCAATGTACATATTAACCGTAGATAAGAGATAGAATTGTGTTGAGACCGATGGAGGCCAACACACCTGGTTTCAACTTCTTCCGGTGAAATGACTAAAGAATGTAAGAGATCAACTTATAAAACATGGTCTATTTGTAAATGCCGTGATAATTAATGTCGCGCTTATCAAACAGCAATATAAGGACGGAAGAGAAATTGCGTAATGAACCAACGCAACTTAGTCTTTGCGGCATCGGTAAAGCGATTGAGACCGCAGAGAAACAACAATACGACGCGATTTCCCGTGTTTATTCTGCGCCAGATCCATTTTTTTATTACAAAATCTTGATGTTCTGTTACCGATTTTATCGTTATATATCTGTCCGGACTTGGCATTGCTCAATATGTTTTTCACAAGGCCTCGCAATATGTCGGCAAAATATGATTACCTGTCTTTACCAAATGCGGCAACTTATTTTGATTTATCGTCGACTCGAATACCACCGGCACTCGACCAAACTTGTGTCAATCTTGGCAAATAGGATTGTCGACTTGAGTTAGAAAAATAAATTAATATTTTCATGAGTGTAAAATAAATGTCACAAAATGCATTGTTTTGCGATATAACTTTGTATTTTCGGAGAAGGCATGTCATATAAGTACGGTATTTTAAATTATGCGCAAATAATTAATATTTGATCTAAATTTATCGCAAATAATGTTATAACATATAGGCCGCGAAATGATTTAATGTAAAATGAAGCATGGAAATCGGAATATCGTCAATGAGTCGGCATCAATAATTATTATAAAATGCTAACTAAGTAGTAAAGTCGGATATTGTAAAAAACGGTGAAATAACAAGCCTTCGTCGCGAGGCAAGCGAAAGTATAATCAAACGAGAGAATACGCTTGTAGTTGATTAATAAATTAGCAACCCGGAATTTTTATTTAATACGAAAGTCGTATACGTTAATACGATTTTTAAAAAGTCAACTATCGTTTCATAAATATATTACCAGTGTTGGTAAGGATAAAATTGATCGCATAAAATTTGGTGATAAAGTTGATAAAGGAAAATCAAAGCTAATACAAAAGATAAAAATTAGAATAAAATTATTTTGAATTCACTCCTTGATATTTGTCTTTAACATCTGTCGCCGGCGTGTAGTACTGCCGGGAATATGAAAACCAAACTTCGATGTCCAATTCGGAATAGAAGTGGATTAAATTTGTTGTTATGATAGGTTTAAATGTGTGAAAAAAATATCGCAATTACGGGGTCATTACGTAATCGATTTGGCCGTAATTACGGAATTGATTTTTGTCAATTACGTGCAAGCCTAGTTTTACCTAGCAATTTTGGCGCCGGTTGGACAATAAATGGTCGAGTTATTGATGAAAATCTTGTAATTTTGTCGGAAGTTAGGCACTTTTACGGTACTTTGATAATATTCGGAAATATACCTTTATATTATTTATCTCTCTTGAATACAGTATCATCAAATATCATCGAAAACATGATTCGGCTCATATTCACTGGAAATGGGCAAAATACAGGAATGGAGTAATTCTATCGAGTGTTCTTACAATGAAGGAAACCTTGAATCCAACCACCACTTGAAGTTCTGCTGTTCTTTTACAGGGAAGTGCAAATTTTGTGCAGTTATTGTGATTTAGTATTATTTGAAAATCCGGATTTAAAAATATTTTTTTAGAATGTATTTGAAATTCATGCATTGGGTTATTGCCCTGACTATGATATTGTGATATACTTTTACTCTACTAGGATTTGTATTTAGGCAATTTGTTATTTGTAAGTAAATTTCCGCTAAATGAGATAAGATGTTGTGACGTGACTGAACCTTATAACTTTTTTATTGTTTTATTTTTAAACATCGAAGAATTGAATTTATTAACATAACCAAAACTCTTTCTTTGACAATAGGCCTAATGGATTAAGCTACTATGACTCTGAAGCAAAAAGTATTTCATATTTTATGGAAAATAATGAACACTCCAAATTTTTATTTTTTTCAAAAATAGTTCGTTTATCGCCTCACTACTCAAATATACTTATACTCAATGGCCTAACCCAGTGTTTCCCAACCCGAGTACGCGGTCTCAAATGATTCCGCGAAGCGTTTGAATGAGTCCGCAACAAGCCAGAAATTCACTGCGGGCAGCAAACGTTTCTGCGAAACTTTAACTATCAGCTAATTTACGATTACGTAAGAATTTACATAAAACATGAAAAGTAAGTTTAGTCGCATAACATTAATCAGGTCGATATTTACTGGTTACTGAGTAGGGCTGAGAATATAGTCGAATATTCAACTATTAGAATAGCAAATTTACTATTCGAAAATTCTCGTCGTTGTCATGGATTGAATATTGTGGACAGAAAAGGCCATTGCACACTAAATCAGGAAAACCGGCTCTTTTAACCAATGGGCAATTGCGGCAAATTTAATTTTTAATTAATTTTTAAATTCCTTGAAGTTCTGTTGTGTTTGGTTTTATCGCTTCTTCACACTGAGTACGGTTGCAATAAACGGTTCTTGAATCAGCAAAAGTTTTCGCCGCTGAGAAAATAGTCCGCGATCTAAAAAGGTTGGGAAACGCTGGCCTAACCCTAACCTGGTACACATACTACGGGAGTAACCAGTAAAATCCAATCTTATATCATTTCAAAAGTACTAGGATGCTGTAGGACTGCCATTCTTTCCTAAATGTGATTCATATGTTTGTGGCCTTAGCCACAAGGGTACTTCAGCTAGTATCATAGTGGTAAGTTAGAATAACATAATCTCATTCCATTAAATAGCAAGTTTATTTGTTAGCTAACCAAAAATTAAAGGAGGGAATATGTTAGTGTTAACGATCTAACAGGGAGGGAATACGTTAGTGACAACGATCTAACGTGAAGGGAATATTGTTAGACAAAGATCTAACAGGGAGGGAATACGTTAGTGACAACGATCTAACGTGAAGGGAATATTGTTAGACAAAGATCTAACATGGAGGGAATACGTTAGTGACAACGATCTAACGTGAGGGGAACATTGTTAGACAAAGATCTAACAGGGAGGGAATACGTTAGTGACAACGATCTAACGTGAGGGGAACATTGTTAGACAAAGATCTAATAGGGAGGGAATACGTTAGTGACAACGATCTAACGTGAAGGGAATATTGTTGGACTAAGATCTAACAGGGAGGGAATACGTTAGTGATAACGATCTAACGTGAAGGGAACATTGTTAGACAAAGATCTAACAGGGAGGGAATACGTTAGTGACAACGATCTAACGTGAGGGGAACATTGTTGGACTAAGATCTAACAGGGTGGGAATACGATGTGACAACGATCTAACGTGAGGGGAACATTGTTAGACAAAGATCTAACAGGGAGGGAATACGTTAGTGACAACGATCTAACGTGAGGGGAACATTGTTAGACAAAGATCTAACAGGGAGGGAATACGTTAGTGACAACGATCTAACGGGAGGGGAACATTGTTAGACGAAGATCTAACAGGGAGGGAATACGTTAGTGACAACGATCTAACGTGAGGGGAACATTGTTAGACAAAGATCTAACAGGGAGGGAATACGTTAGTGACAACGATCTAACGTGAGGGGAACATTGTTAGACAAAGATCTAACAGGGAGGGAATACGTTAGTGACAACGATCTAACGGGAGGGGAACATTGTTAGACAAAGATCTAACAGGGTGGGAATACGTTAGTGACAACGATCTAACGGGAGGGGAACATTGTTAGACAAAGATCTAATAGGGAGGGAATACGTTAGTGACAACGATCTAACGTGAAGGGAATATTGTTGGACTAAGATCTAACAGGGAGGGAATACGTTAGTGATAACGATCTAACGTGAAGGGAACATTGTTAGACAAAGATCTAACAGGGAGGGAATACGTTAGTGACAACGATCTAACGTGAGGGGAACATTGTTGGACTAAGATCTAACAGGGTGGGAATACGATGTGACAACGATCTAACGTGAGGGGAACATTGTTAGACAAAGATCTAACAGGGAGGGAATACGTTAGTGACAACGATCTAACGTGAGGGGAACATTGTTAGACAAAGATCTAACAGGGAGGGAATACGTTAGTGACAACGATCTAACGGGAGGGGAACATTGTTAGACGAAGATCTAACAGGGAGGGAATACGTTAGTGACAACGATCTAACGTGAGGGGAACATTGTTAGACAAAGATCTAACAGGGAGGGAATACGTTAGTGACAACGATCTAACGTGAGGGGAACATTGTTAGACAAAGATCTAACAGGGAGGGAATACGTTAGTGACAACGATCTAACGGGAGGGGAACATTGTTAGACAAAGATCTAACAGGGTGGGAATACGTTAGTGACAACGATCTAACGTGAGGGGAACATTGTTAGACAAAGATCTAACAGGGAGGGAATACGTTAGTGACAACGATCTAACGTGAGGGGAACATTGTTGGGCTAAGATCTAACAGGGTGGGAATACGTTAGTGACAACGATCTAACGTGAGGTGAATATTGTTGGACAAAGATCTAACAGGGAGGGAATACGTTAGTGATAACGATCTAACGTGAAGGGAACATTGTTAGACAAAGATCTAGCAGGGAGGGAATACGTTAGTGACAACGATCTAACGTGAGGGGAACATTGTTAGACAAAGATCTGACAGGGAGGGAATACGTTAGTGACAACGATCTAACGTGAAGGGAATGTTGTTAGACTAAGACTAACAGGGAGGGAATAACTAGAGATACGATCCAACAAATGCTAACAAATAAAGCTTGCTATTTTGTGGAGTGAGATTTTTATTCTTATTTATCACTTTGATATTATCGTGTTCAAGTATCCTTGTGGCTATGGCCACATATAGATCTGAATTTGAAGTGGAGAGTAGACAATGGAAAAGGAAAGGCAGTACAATATACAATATCCTAGTACTTCCAGAATTGACATATCTGAATAGTTTGTGTATCGCTAGTGACAACTATGGATCCTGCTCTGCCCAGAATCCATGACTAAGATCAATGAAAACCCAACCAACTATTCATCAAATTGCAACAAAATTTCTGTGACAATGCATAGTACACATCTTTTCATTTTGAAGGCTTAATTTAACCATGAAAGTACCTAAGTATTTTACACAGATTAATACTGTGGTTAGACTGTGATCTAATGAAAGATACTCAATTGAACTTGTGGGGAAACATGTTTTGCAGAATGATTTAACGTCATTTTTATTAGCATTATTTTGATTTTGCAATTTTATTTTATCTTAGTGGCCTTTTCTTGAATGTTTAATTTGTTCACAAGTGGCGCAGTCAGTGAGGGCATTTGGGGGGTGTATTTGGTATAGTTTTTGAAATCGTCAGGTTAAGCTGGGAAAAGTTCGTGAAACGCAATGCAGAATACTACGGTATATTATGATATTAATTGGTGTCTTTCAATCTTTACATTTCTATCTGAAACGATGGAGTAAATGTCCTTCAATTTAGTTAATAAGATGTGGAGGCGTTTAACCAGTATCCATACTGAGGCTTAGTGCAGAAGTGCTGTTTAACTAATTTGGTTAAGCCGCTTCATCAGCTTTTCCTTATTCCAGGATAAATGTTCAGCTATAGAGAAGTTTCAATTCTCTTGGCTTCGTTGATGAGTTCATGAAGCCGTTTGATACCTTTCCACCATTTAAATTCATGTATCTGGACTGTTAACAGGTAATCATCACATCTCTGTCCCTTAATAATGAATAAGAACAATCCGTTATTGAGATAAAGTATTACTTGATGCTACAATAGAGAAAATGTTTTTGGACATTGAGAGAATAGCTAAATTCTGGATTTCTTTTGCTCCCGACGTTAAATATAGTTTCACAACAAAATTTTATATATTATGTCATTGTATATTGTATCATTTGTATGCATGGAAAATACCCAAACAATCCTAACGTTGAGTGATGAACAAGCAAGTAAAAGTTGTAATTGTGCATTTCCACATGTGCCAAATATTGAAAGTTATAGTTTATGCCACTTTTTATTTTTTGTGTTATTATTAATTCATCCCATTATTATTATCTTTTCAGCTGCAGTGTACACTGTTCCAGAACATCAACCTGTTACTTTGACACATGCTGAAACAATGATTTTTTATCAGGTTTCTAGTAATTGATTTGATGTCAACTCATTAGATTTGAAATATACTTGCATTTTTATCTGTCCCGTTTTCTTAAAATGCTATCATTTACTGCATAGATAAATTGGTTAATGCACGAACACAACTAAGGTGACCTCATATGTTAAAAGACTATTCAACTCTCATTACGCGGTCCGAATCCACCCTTTCGTACACGATTTGGATTGCATCTGATTCTTCGTTTTGAAGCATTGATCCAATTTAGCTTTGGATATGTTAAGGTTTCTTTTGTTCATAGTTTAGAGAACTATTTTATCATTTGCTCACATTTGAACTCGTATATAAAAAACAACTGTGGCGTCGCATGGACAATATGAATAGCGCTATGTTATTTTGCAAATAATCTTTAAGCGGGGAACTACCATATGCACGTTGATGATGTCAAACATTTGTCACTCAGTTTTCCACCAATTATTTTCTATTAGCATTTCAACTCAAAATGAAATATATATTTTCTGCAAGGATCAGACCCCAGGAATTTTAAGTTTTTTTTCCTGTAGTAAAATTGTTTAATGACCATGGTTTAAGCTATGGTCAGTCTACCTTTCAACTTATTTTCAAAGTCAATTTATTTGTGGACTTGTTGATGGTTATATTTTCATTATTTACTTCGCTGGGTATTTCTTATTGGTTCGGTCAAATTTACCATTGTTTGTTTTGTATTCAGACAACCATTTGATAAATTTATGATTGGCAGTTTATCAGAGAACTGCAGCTTTTCACATTTGGAATTATTTGCATCTTTACTTTGATGTAAGTACACTGTTCCAAAATCTACCTAAATATTTCTAGATGTGAAAAATTATAAATATAACTCAGGTCAGCAATAATAGTGATTATATGCTGCTGAAGTAGTTTAGTATTCATGGTTTGAATGTGATTTTCATAGTATTTGTGATGAGTTACATAAACATTGCGGAATGACTACTGACTGGAGGAAACTCCCCCGTTTTTATTGTTGTACTCATCTCAAGTCAAGATAATGATTTCAAATACAGGTTCTGTGAGTGGGTTTGATTGCTGTTGGGTATATTTATCTGAGAGAGGAATGCCGGACTCCTCGCCGCTGCAGGGTGGTTCACATAGTCGCTGGTCGGTTACAGCTTCCTCCACCAAGTCCATGTATCTGAAAACAAATAACTGGCTAACTAATTCCTTACCTGACATGGACTGGTAACAGGACGAGAGGCAGTGGTTTACCATATGATTAGGTCGGCTCCCCTAACCCTCGGTATTAATATGTGAATTCTAAATTGTATCAAAAGTTAATGTGGCCAATGCTCCAAAATCAATAAACCGATGGGGTTAAAATCGAATACCTAAAAGGTACGGATTCGGACTGCAGTCCACCCGTAGAGTGGCCCTGATGTACTGAACAACATATTTAGAGTTAGTATTATATGAACTATTTCTAAAAAATAAAAAAAAAGCTAGTCTTTGGTCGGAAATATTCCATTTCCAGTTGCTAAGACATTGTGACGTTATCAATGCCATATTTTGTCTGGTGTATCCTTCACCTTTCTTTTCTCATGCTAACTGTGGTGTTAGTATTTCTTTACAGTGTAATTATCAGATAAACAATGTACTCTTTATTACCCTAGTTCTGTTGTACTACATACTTTACTGTTCGCGTGCTATTCAATTGTTTACAGCAGGCCGGCCCAACCTTTTTCGTCTCGCGGGCCACTTTCAAGTGACGAAAATCGTTGCGGGCCGCAAACGTTTGTACCAAACATTAATACCAGCTACGTCCTGATTTCGGTGTAGGTAATTTACATAATAAATAAAAGGTACCGGTTACTGAGTAGGGCTGGCAAATTATTCGAAAATCTAGTCGAATATCAAAATAGCACTTTACAATTCGAATATCTGGTAACACGGGGCGTGGACAATGTTTAAATGAGCATAATGTGCGCCACTGTTGCGTGAATATCAAGTTTAAAGTAGGCCGTTTCGTAAAATTTGAAACACCAATACAAATATTTAATGAAGTAACATTACAAAGATTTCTGGGCGAATAGCCTATATACAGGAGTTCCATCGATCTGGAACCCAAAATAAGGACGACTGAAAAATTTCTGCATTGTGAGCAGAAATAGCTGGCTTTCCTATGAGCTCCAGGTTAATGTCACAATTACAGACGTCACAGTGTGCGAGGCACTCACACTTCAAGCTTCGTTTAACTTTGAATTCTTTCCCGTACTCACGAAAAAAGGATCGCCACACTAACAATGCTTCATGCCTATCTGTGCCTTGCTTCTTTGTGTTCCAATTAAGATTGTGTTACTTTTATGATGCCACAATATGAGTCCAAATAAGACAAAATAAGGACACGCAAGACAAAAATAAGGACGCAAGCTAAAAATAAGCCAAAAATAAGGACAAACCTTAGAAATAAGGGCGGTATGGAATCCCTGCCTATATATACTGATTCGTGACCAATATGCAGCAATGCCATTAAGTCAATTTTATTAGAATATTTGACGGATACGAAGTGACGATATTTCCGAAATCTTATTTAACTCAAAAATTTGATAAAAAAAAAATACAAACATAAAATGTCAATGAGTCCCAGGACCAGTACCAAAGATATTGTTTATATTGCGCAAAAAACAGTTCGGCGAGCCGCATGCTGGCCAGGGATTAGGCAGCCTTGGTTTACAGTGTCAAGTTGTGGTAGTGGTCTTCTTATGTTTAATAAAGCCTAGAATCGGTATCCTGTTATCTTTCATAACACTACCAAAATGCAGTACCACCCAAATCGAAGCAACAACTTTTTTATTATTTCAGTGCAGTGTTTTTGGTGTTATACCTCATTTTTTGTGGAGTTTGCTCGTTAAAAGAAGCCTAGCTTGATTATGCATGGAGTATTTGAGGGTATTTTTTTGATATTTCTCATTCATGACTTGGGGGAATTTTTTCTCAGTTTTACAAAACATATGCTTTTTTATCATGACTGTAACCTTTGCAGCATATTAATGATTGCTCTTGGATTATTCGTAAGTTACATGTTATCTAAGTTAATAAAGCTGTATAAATAACTTTTTGTCAAGTCACTCTGATCATCATAGGCCTAAAAAAAACGCAACTCAAATTTTGATTTTAGCACAAAGTCATATTTTTATTAATCATACTAAAAGCGTACTCAACAGTGATGTTTTTCAATGAGGTTTTTATATTACTCTTGAAACTTGTGTGGTATAGGCCCTATTATATATTTTTTAATTGGATTGACTTTTTTCATTAATGTATGTGTCACTATACTCACTATATGTTAAATATGGCAAATTAACACATAGATATTCAGACATGAAATATTGTTTATGCTGTTCATGGCTATGGGCTTGCAATTTAGTGAAAAATCCACATAGTGGTGCAATTTTTTCAAACCAGAGCTCATGTTGGAAATCATGAAAAGAAATGTCCATCTTCATCCACTAAATATTTTAAAAAGTAGAGCCCAGCAAAAATATTTTAGTAAAACAATCCAGACATAGTTTATGTCCAAAAAATTGATGCAATATCATGCTCAACCAATTTGAAGAACTTATGACACAATACTTTTTTATTTATTTGATTCCATAACTGTAAGAAACCCTAAATTTATTTAAGCTTTTGGTATAAATAATTCGATTTTTGCTGTGCTTGAATTACAGTTTTGCTGATTGTATGCTAAAATACTAGTAGTTTTTAATCCCCCAGGTCAGGATCCAATTTTTTCTATATACTTCAATTTAGCGTTTTCTTGATACTATCAATCTAAACTGCAATACCATGTATTCCATGGGTTCCGAAGGGCTCCATACGCGAGAGAAACCTAGAGGAGACAAACTGTCCAAAGAAGTAATAACGGTATATTGAAAATTTGACAACGGTAGCATCATCGTAATGTGGCAACAACGCGGCAATTCAAAGGTGACACGAGTTCCAATAAATAAATATATTTTTTCTATAAGTTCATTGTGGAGCTACGTGAATAATAGTCAACTTCTCCACGCGCTCCATAGCACCAAAAGTTTGACACCCCCTGATCTATTCTGTTTTGCAAAATATGGCAGACAAAAACAGGACAAATATGCTCAATTCATTCCCACTATTGTATTTAGAGCAGTTTTAGGTATATTTTCAGGATTATCCCATCTGACATAAATGTTTTTGTAACCTTAGTTCAGTTCATCCAACATTATGGTGCTTAGCATATCACTTCTCTGTGTAACCAAAGTCTTTTTATTCAGTCAGTAGTGCAAACTGGGAAAGGAAAACAAGAGACATCATCAGACCCAAAGAAGCAGAGACACATGTGCTATAATGTGGCGAACAGTTCACCATTCATATATGCATGGAAATGGGTCAATAGTCTTGTAAGATGATATTTATGACGTCATTATTAATTCTATACTTGGGTCGCAAGTAACAGTGAGGGAAAGAATTAGGGTAGTGGTGATACATTACAAGTTAGCGATAAAGTTTAATTGGTATGCAAAGTGACTCCGATGAAGATTTGGTGGATAATGAATGCATCTTGGTATTGATGTTAGGCCAGGTTCAGGTCTCGCTAGTCCTGAGATGTTGTATCAATATGGTGGAGATGGTCACAAAACTTAATATGGCTTTTATTGTTGCATATGTGATACTTGCCTTAATATTTTATTCCATGTATTTGAGTCCTGGTTCTTAACCGATGAATATCTAATTACAAAAATTGAATTATTCTTTTTGATATGCGAGCTTTTGATAATTGTCAAATCTCTGGACCAGCCCAGACCGGTCATGCAAACTGACACTCACAAATGTTGATTAACCAATTAATATATATAGATATTTTTTTGTTAAATTAAAAGTGTCATAGAGTTGAATCTGTTTGTGATAATAAAATCTCTCTCTTATTCCCTTTGACTACGCTTCTATATCATAATCGTCGTTAATTTCAAACTACAAAAATTAAATCGTTGCTGTAGCTGTGTCTTTATGTTCTGTGTATGTGCTTGGTTAAAGCCTTCTTTTTGTATTTTTATCGGATTCCCTTTCTCGTCACATGTTTTTTGTTTGTCGGTACTAAGCAGCGTACATTTCCAATTACCGCTCTTCCAACTGTTTTGCAAATTGGGGTCTTGCCAAGTTCAATTAAATTTAAGTTCTAACTCGCTGTTTCTTAACTTGAATTCGAACGAACCCCATGGGTATTATTCCGCGCGTTCGATGAACGTGCTCTGGAACAGTTGTATATCATGGAACCGTTATATTTCCCCGCCTACTCATGCAAAAATACCTATAGTTCATCGCAAATATACAAACTTATACGTTTAAACAATTCGATGAGCAGAGAGGTTCGGCAGACCCGCAAAAAAATAAAAAGCACTGCCCTAGGTTAAATGCTTACTTGTTATGCATAGTCGTTTATCACGAAAAATCAGGTTATTCTGCAATTATTTTTACGTCATTTCATTTGTATTTAGCAATTCAGTGAAGTTTCGATTTTGGCAGAAAGTTACGTCAGTAGACCCAGTAAACCTTTTTTACCCAGAAACTAAAGCAGAAGTATCCATGCTTCAGAAAAGATCGAACTAATAACGAAGCGGAGTGCATTACTTGCTGATACGATACTTTCGTTTCTGAAGCGAATAAAGGCAAGATTAGCATAGTTGCACGTTGGCAAGACAAAATTCCATTGTCGTTACATCGTTCATTGTCACTTCTATATTTAAGTCTAGAGATTTAGTAGATATATTAATATGAGGTATATATATCAGGCGCGGGTGAAATATGGTTCTATCGAATGTGTCCTTCATTCATGGTTTGGAAATATGGTCACCCTACCCAACAATGGCGATTTCCACAAAGATATGGATATCTAATAATATACCCCAAAGATCTTCTTCCATAACCTTGCACAAAATTACCTTCCCCTTTAGAAATTTTTGATTGCTCTCCTGGTTTCAATCGTTGAGTTATGCGAGAGAGGAAAGTCGATTATACGGCATAATCATATGGCGCACCACCATATGCTGGACCCTTCGCCGTAGTAGGGTGGTCAACGTAACCGCTGATCGGTTAATGCTTCCTCTATCATTATACTAAGGTTAGTTCGGATATTTATAATTTTCACTATCCGGATAACAGATATATCCGTGTATTTCGTATATATTTTTACTTCACGGTCAACCGGATTACGGATAGTTACTGCTAATTGTTAGAGAATTTCACGAGATTTACATGGTGAATTGATCAAAAATCACGACACAGTTTTATCATGAATATTTACACAAACCCTGTATGAGCATATATAAATGAAATTTTGAACATGAAGAAAAACACGCATTTTTCGGTGAGGAGTAACCAGAAATAGCTAGTAAACAGCGCAGGCAAAGTCCACTGAATGTCGATAGCAATGTTCTAGAATCTATTCTAGATACTTAAAAAGGTGGGTATGGCAAATAATGAGGAAGGAAGAAAAGAAAGAAATTAGCATCTACTCTCCAGTGCTGGAAACAAACAAACTGTGGAAGCCAGGGTTTCAGAAGAGCGGGATATATTAATGTTTCTGCAATGCATTGACTATGAAGCACCCCATCAATCGTGGCGTCAAGTAAACGAGACCGTGGATCGCATATCCCACAGTGTAGGTCAAAATTATATATATATATGTCTGCGAAAACACAGTGCACTAGCACCAGATAAAAAGCAATATCAAAATGTACCACCCTGCCGCGCCAGGCAAAAACAAATTCCAAATGTAGGATAGAACCGAGGCCATCCACCACCGACAAGGCCAGATGATACATAGGCATAGCCTCCGTGGCGTCGATCGTGCAGTATTGGCGATGTGTCCAGTCCCGAACAAAATCACGACCCCCATCTGCGTCATTTACTGGCAATATACCCGGATCCCGATGGCAAAAATAGCGACAGAAAACAATAGTTATATATCACCAAAACCGCCATCTTCAAGACCACACGCACACCTTCAAAGCTTCTCAACTGAATTCGTTTACAGCAGCGATTCCCAAAGTCGGCAAAAACACTTTGTGACAATATAAATGATGCTTTACATGCAATAAGAAAATTCAAGAAGCCTACTATTGGCGACGAATTAACCCACCATCAGTAAAGGAATTGGACCTTCTGGAGTATGTGCACCATAGTATGTGTGCCAGGTTAGGGTTCAGGTTAGAGATGTACCGATACCACTTTTGTCGCCGATACCGATCCGATACCAGCTAAAAAAGCTGATACCGATACGCCGATATTCGAAAACGACAGATATTGCCGATATTCCGATACTATGTAATTATTACCTCAATTGTGCGGGGCAGACGGTTTGAAACAATAGTCTTTGAGCATTATTAATAGTGCGCATTATTTCGGATCAAAAAAGAGAAATATCACATATTAATAAGAAGTAGATGTTTGGGATCCAAATGCGTAAATTGATTCAGATGCATTGAGCACTGACGCTAGTAATCTCGGTGCTTTATTAGAAAACTAGTAGGGTTTGGCTACTGTCGGTGGTAAAATAAATAAATGTTTAGCCTACTTATCGCATGAAACTGATACATTGAGTAACGTGCGTAGGATTTTGTGCCAATATAACGTCGTATTTTAAATTATACACATCGGAACATCCACTAATATTCGATTGATATAGTTCTTCGTAATTACCATGTAATATTAAAAATTTTATTATAAAAATTCGGCAGCGAAAATACTCAAATTGATTGACCCAGTTTGACTGATAAATTGCTTAAAATACGTCAGCGGGTGTGGGGACGTGCAATGGCTCATAGATCACGATCTATCCAAACAAAAAATAATTTCAGTTTAGTATTCTAACCTATTTTTTAAAACATTCTGAATCATATTGAGAAGCTAAATATATCGGAAATATTGGTCTAAACTTAGCCGATACCGATACACTACCGATACCGAGAAATTGGCCGGATTTTGCCGATACCGATACATCGGCACATCTCTAGTTCAGGTTAGCGACATTTTGGTGCACATACTTCAGGAGCACCAAGAAATTTTCTGATACTGTTTTGCATTAAAAGGCGCCGTCTGTAGTTATTGGACACGTTTAGTGGACATAACGATCGTTTTGTTTTTATGTTGTTCTTGTTCTTGTTGTTCTTCGACACTTTTTGGACACCTAGTGGAAATATTAAAAAGCCGCTTTTCTCTTTGATCACTGGACCAATTGCTTTGAAATTTTTAGTGGTTAAAGATGAAGATTTTCTCCAGAAGGCTATTACTTTTATTTATTTCAAATATTTCTGATAGCTCTGTAAGATTTGTTTTTGTTTGCTATGACGTCACCGAACGTTCTGCTGACATCGGACGCCATTTTGTGTCCTACTGTACTGCTTCGCTTGGTGCAAAGTGACTATAAACCAAGTGGAGACACCGAGTGCAATGGTGCATATCGGACGTTATTTTGAGTCCAGTGAATCGTGGGAAAGAGGCAGCGTCGGTTTGTTTAAGCTTCGTCGGAAGGTCTCATTCGTCAATTTGTTTGAAGATTTTTTACTGTTTTGCATTTTATTCGGCTAATTCATTATTTTTTATTTGCTATTTGCCTCGTGGAATCATACTGGTATCGTGCGGTTTCGTAAAAGTTGCGATAGTTATCTTATCATCCCGTGTGAGTTATACAACTTTGAAACCTCATATCTCACGAACCTTATATTATATGCAAAAAAGTTTTATATTGTTTGAAAGACAATCTAGGAGAATGAATATAATTATGAGATGGAAATAAAATGTCGCGATTATCATACAAAAATCGGCAAAATTGAAAAGCGTGTAATTTTTTTGAAACGCTTTCGAGTTAAATAACAAAAACTTCGATTTGCTCGTTTTAACCTAATATGACATCGACACATTTGCATAGGTTAAGAATAGCTTTCGATATTAGATATAATTTGTCGTGCACCAGTAAAATTGTATAAGTTATTTCATTCAATGTTCTCCAATTCTTGAAATGTCCATTGCGCCAACTTGAGTTAAACAACAACGTTCCCTAATTACTTAGTTACGCAATTACGTCGCAACGTTCCGTATGAAAATCACATATTGCTTTCCTTCGCAAGTGTGAAACGTCATTAATCTAATGCATACGTTTAAATCAGGTACTATTTGAACTGGTATTATGATACCTGTTCACACCATGCCGAAAGTTTAAAGCCTGCGTTTTACATTAATCATTCCAGAAGCTGATGAAATGAATTTTCTCCGAAAAATGTTTCTTAATTTAACGTTGCAACAGTTGCTCCGAAAATTATAGAATGTAAACGATCTCATGGCTAGCACATTGTGCGGCCTAATGAATTTCATCGAAGCATGTACATTATAAGGTACAAAATTTAAAAACCAGCCGCCGCGACTGGTGTTGCATCTCTTATCAACTTATTATTGGCAGGATATTTTGATTCTTTTGCGTCGAAAAATGTAAAATATTTACTAGGTGATCTAGCGACGCCATCATGTCTTCTACGTTCTCGTTGATAAAACGTAATTGCAATTTTATCGATATCCAACAGTGAAAAATTAGCCTTGATGTTTCCGGGGGAACCCTATAAAGACACGGGGTTTAAATTGTTTGTTTGTTTCTATGGAAAGTGTCCATCCCGATGAATGCCTACAATCGGTACTAACTCTTTTCAGATCTTACACACCTGATAAATATTTGAAAATTGATAGTTTTACCCAATATTTATGCCACCCATCCAAAAAAGCAATCGTATTTTTGCGCGAGGTATAAACTATATTTCGCGCAAATATTAATGCCTTTCATAATATATGTTCGCCTGTTACTTTTCTGACAGATAAAGTTGCTTGAAATATAATTTCCCATCTTGCCACAATATCGCTTTTAAAATTTTGAAACGTTTTCTCAATTTAAGGTTAAATATTCACGCAAAAGAGGAGACAAATAAAATTATTGAAAACGGTATGCTAGTAGACCTGCGGCAAGAGCTCAAGTCAAATAGATAATATATACTTTATACACTACAGATTAGTATATGTTCTTGTAAACTTGATATACGCCGTTATCCTTCATTCCCTGCATGTAGTATATTTTTTGGATATTATTTTGGCAATGTACACCTTGTTGAAAATTTGCGATACGCATATTTTAATATCATGACATGTACCGCAAAAATAGTGCAAGTTTCTATAGTATAATTTGTATTGTAGTTCCGTCAGTTTGTTAAAATAGGTTCTGTGCAAGTAGCGATAATTACACCAGGAATTTTATAATAATTTAATAATAAAATGTGTATCTTTTTGTTTAATATTTTGGTGTTATCGGGTTGTTGATTTATCGAGTGAAGTTGGATGACTTTAACCTTATCTTCGTATATGCTGACCATACCGCCGAGCCGAGTTATCTGAGAAACATCTGCGGATAATTAAATTTTTAGAAGAATGCTCATTCGTTTTGCCGCTGCGAAAGTTTGGTCCGAATTATTGAGCATCGTTTTTTTTAATCAGCTGTTTAACGATCGCAGGTTTAAATCAATTAGTTAGGATCATACCCTGATAGAACCCTGGACACAAAATGGCTGGTGTGACGTCACACGAGCGCTTATAACGTTACCAGTGGTTGTCCTCACTTGGTTTATAGTCACTTTGGCTTGGTGTGAATATATTTGTAGACTGTGATCTGACGGTACGGTAAACCGTACTGTACTGCGAACAGACGTGTCCATATATTTGGGCGTAGCTCTCTTGTTTCATTGGGCAATGATAAAGTACAGAAACGAGTTGATTTTTCAGTCATAGTCATGAAGGCAGTAAATAAAATAAATGCGTGCTAAACACTCGCTTACTTAAATAATTATGCAATGAAAGTGATGAATGCATTTGAGCGCTTACTAGCCTTACTTCAAACTGAAGTAAGATGGCTTTCCAGGGATATCTATCTGCCTTACACGGGTATCGCTGCTCGATGACCAGCATTTGATTTTCGCGGAACTTGGAATGCCATTACTACGTTTACTCCTATTCAATGTTTGAACCAAGTGTATATTAAGCTTGGTGAAAAAATAAACTACTGACTGACTGATTTCACACCCTTTTGATACTGTTGTTGAATTCCAGCAGACTCGCGATCAAAGTCAAGGGAAAGGTCTCATAGTAGTGAAAAATGACATTTATTCTATAAATTTGAAACACTGAACTTTTACTTTCGTGGAGAATAAATCAATCTGATAAAGATGGATTGGACACTGTCTGGTTCCAATAAAAGGCTCGTCGTGTATCAGTGAAATATGCCTGGACGAGCATTTTTCCAATTCTAGTTTAGTATTATTCACGGACGTGGGATTCTTGAAAAGGAACATCAAATTGCAAAAAGATTTTGAACTCAAACAAATGTTCAGTGTTTCATAATAATTGTTTAGAATTAAACCAAATTAAAATACGCTCACGTGCGGGATCATGTAAAAAATTTCCTTTAACAGCTCATACCTGTGCCATGACCGCGCTTCTAGATTACAAGAGTAACCGCATTTGACATCGTTGAAGAAACACAAGAGAGCTATGCTCAAATATATGGACACGTAGAGTCACATAATTTTGATGACGTCATAGCGAAAAAAAAAGTAATAGCCTTCTGGAGAAAATTTTTATCTTTAACCACTGAAAATTTCAAAGCAATTGGTGCAGTATTCGAAGAGAAAAGCGACTTTTTAAAAACGTGTCAAAGAACAAGAACAACAACAACAACATAATATTGAAACGATCGTTATGTCCACTACGTGTCCAATAAGACCGTTTCTGACTAAAATGAACCCGGATATTGATAAGCTAGCTGGTGACGTTTCATTTTGCTCACCCATCTCATTAGGCTAATGATGAATGGAGAATAAATTCATTTATGCTTATCAGTCAAAGGTGAAGCGAATGCGCTCTACTTTTACATAAAAATCACATTTATTTTGTGATGTGATAGTGGAAGTACACTCCAGCATTTACGGATGGCAAAGGTATAAGCAAAGAAGTGTGAATAAAATTTGTTAATAAATGCTTTGGGGAATGGCAGCTGCTACGTAACAAAAATATAAAAAATCATTAATGAGCATATGCATCATTTATGCTACTTTAATATCCGGTTATTATATTTGTTTAATTTTGTCTGTACATTGTTTCATGCACGACGAAATAAATACAGTATCTGAATCTGTCAAGCGTCACTATACTATCCGGATATCAGATAGCAAAATACCTTTGGGTTAACCGGTTTCGGTATCCGGACAATTCAACCCCACATCAAACATGGAAAACAAACGACTGGTTAACTAATCAGACTAATGGGCGGTATTGCTGTATTGTTACGATATTTTATAGGCTACTCTACGTGCTGACCTGTGTCTTTGTCATCAACGTACCGGGTACCGGTACTGACGTAACGAATATTATACGGCACCGGTACGGTACGGTACCGGTATTGAAGTTCACAAATACCGATACCTACGGTATGTCATTACTGCATTAAGGGGTCTGGTATAGTTTAGTACCACATCCACTTCTAGTTGGCCTGGCTCAACAATTTTTGCATATGTCAATCCTAACCCCCACCTGATTACGTCACCGAAAAATTACGTAATTCCGACGTCACAGTGGCGTAATAAGGCCCACCGAAGTATGCGGATGGTCGTCAAAAACGCGCAGACGATAACCCGAAATCGAGCAAGCTATTTCTCTCGTTTTCTCGTCGCAACGATCACGATAGGAGAGAGATCGCCGGCTTTAGCAAGTTCTTATCGGCGGCGCAGATGCCATTTCGGGCGATCGTAATTATACTTTGGCAATCCCTATGACGTGATGGTGACGTCGTAGTGACGTAATTTTTGGATGGCATAGTCAGGTGAGGGTTAGGAGTAACATATGCAAAAATCGTTATGCTACGCCCACTGGAAGTACTTGTGGTACTAAACTATACTAGACCCTCATTAAGTTATATGAACGATTCTTTAAAGTACTAATATCATGTCATTACAATAAAAATTACAAAATCAGGGTCTCGTGTAGTTTTGTACCTAACGTACTTCTAGTAGGCGTAGCATAACAATTTTTTGACATGCCAATCCTAACCCTCACCTGACTACGCCATCCAAAAATTACGTCACTACGACGTCACAAACACGTCATAGAGCTTGTCAAATACTCGTACGATCGCCCGAAATAGCATCGGCGCCGACGATAAAGAACTGGCTGACGTCAGCGACCTCTCTCCTATCGGGATCGTTGCGACAAGAAAACGAGAGAAATGGCTGTTCGATTTCGGGTTCTCGTCTGTGCGTCTTGGATGACAGTTCGCATAGTTTGAAGCGCTCTATTACGTCACTGTGACGTCGTAGTGCTGTAGTGACGTAATTTTTGGATGGTGTGGTCAGGTGGGGGTTAGGATTGATATGTAAAAAAATTGTCATGTTACGCCCACTAGAAGTATGTTAGGTAAGAAACTACATGAGACCCCAAAATCATTTGATACCGGTATTCCTTATTAAAACATAGGCTCGCTTCCTTAAGAATCATGTTGCAAACAGTATTCAGGTATTTTTTTTATTTAAGTCAGTAAGTAGCCTACATTTAAATAACTAGGGTCTCTGGGTTTACAAATATGAATTATTTTTTAGGTCAATTTTAGAAGAAATGAGCGCTAGACTACAGTATAGGTTCGCTATTGTTTTTTAATGAAAATGTAAGTAAGTGTAGCTCCTCTGCATTTTGTTTGTCCGTTTCTTGATGTTTTGTTTCGTTCAGAGTGGCCAAAATAAAATTGATTGATTGATAGCTCTATGCAGCTATGAAACAGAAAATAGAAGTTCTCCGCCTAAATAAATTGAGTCCATTGAATGTATTTTTTCCAACAATATTATGCATTATTATTTTATCACAATTTATCCTTCAGTTATTTTAAATTTGTAGAAAGTCAACGATGCTACGATATATTATACTAATGTAAATAGAATCAGATTCCAATCAAAATTAAATTTTTTAAAAACTTACATCTGTAATCCTTCACTTAATTAAGATAAACATAATTTGTTCCTAAATTGTCAAACTTAAATTGTCAGGAATATAAGATCATATATTGGGTTGCGGTTATTTGCGATAAAGTTCCGTCTTTGTTGTAAACTATTATTATTAACAATAAGAAACTTCTTCATTGCAGGCATAATTTTAATTCGGGGTATTTCAATATCATAATATTGATATTCAAATTTATTTTTCAAAAATTATTATCGAAAAAAGATTGGAAATGGAATTACAACGAGGAAGCATCAGCACTAAACAACAATTGATGGCTCTTGTTGAAGACATTGATCTTATTACTCGGCAATTGTTTGAAACTCTTTCCCAACAGTCATCAAGGCAATCTTCGACCAGTCAAACTTTCAATTCTCAAAATGATGAAGCTCTCCCACAAAAAATGAACGTGAATCAGCTTACTGATCTCTTGCTTCAAAAAAACAAAGATCTAGAAGAGAAAATGGCAATGGCACGCGATCAACAACAACTTCATCGCGATATCAAATTATACAAAGCTGAAATCGCACAAAAAAATAAAGAAATTGAGGTTTTACAAAAACACCTAAAAGATGCGGAACATCTTTTATCCACTGCTCTATACCAAGCCAAAGAAAAACTCAAATCGATCAGAAGAGCAAGAAAAGGTGCTGTTCCTTCTGAAGATATCATTAAATATGCTCACAAAATAAGCGCTGCATGTGCCACTGCAGCTCCATTAAATTGGGCGCCAGGTGACCCAAGACGACCCTATCCACAGGACATCGAAATGAGATGTGGTTGGCTGGGACAGATTAACAATATGACAGATGCAAATTCAACGATTAAGCCACCGCCGCAGTTAGGAACGGAAGGACTTTCTGTACCAAATTTAGTTGGTATGTCACGATCTAATGATATACAACAACCACAATGGGGCAACCAATCAGCATCTGGTATGGACGGAAAATTTGGATATGGTCAAAAAGGAGATGAAGAGGTTGAAATAATGTCCTCTGATTCATCATCAAGTTCATCTTCAGATTCTAGTTTTGGGAATGATTAAATTATAGCATTGTCAGAATATTAGTTTTTAATATTTAAGGAATACTCACTGCCTGTTTTCTTTTTTAATTTATGTTATTTCTTGAACTCTTTAACGCTGAAAATTGTTCCAAATTATATTATGCTGGTTGGAAAATGGAAAAGTTTTCAAAATACCAACAAATGTGTTCATTTGATGCAAAATTGTCATAATAATCCAAAGTGTAAAGGTGTTATGCAAACTGGTGTTTGAGATTTGTATTTTCATTCACTTATTGGTATTGATATGAAAACCAGAGTCTAAAACATTTATAATAAGATGCAGAGAACGTTGTAACGATGTTGTTTACCGCATATAATAGCTTTGATGGTTTATCTAATCATGTTTGAGTAAATTTGTTTTCTTTGTTACAGTCATCATTATGACTAATTGGAGAAGAATTTCAGAATAGATAACTTTCAATATGTGGGAGGGGTGGCCTAGTGTTTAAAGCGTTAGGCCTAACTATGATGGCATCACAGAATAAAATTTCAGGTTTAAACCCAAGACCACCCCCTCGGCAGGATTTAATAAATTGGGTAGACAATACCAAACCGGAAGGATCCAGATTTTTCTAGAATAAGTTACAGTAGCTCCTTTCATATCAGTAGAAATGAATTTTTACTTTTAAAAGCTGTTATCTGTTTAATTTCTATTTGAAAAAATGCTATCTGGGGAACAACTAGATTAAGTATGTTGTTATACATAAATACCAATATTTGAAGTTTATTATTTTGATCCTAATACATGAAAGTTCGAATATAGAATATCCCTAATTTTTTAAAAGATTATTCAAATTAATTGAATGCTTCGGGTATATTAATATATGCAGTTGTTCCTAACCCCTTCCATCAGTGCATTTTTTCTGTTTTTTGTTCCGATTGTGACCAAAATGTAGCATGATGACACAATTTTACTGCCAAATCTGTTTGTCTGTTTAAAAATCAAACTTCATGGACTGAATTAGTTCTAAGATTTTGAAACAGCAAAATATCCTAAAATTGATTTAAAGGATTGTAAACTTATTTTTTTTTTTACCTTTACATACACCTTTGAGCAATTTACTCTCTCACAGAGTGTCATTATTATTTTATTTCTTAGGTTTCTGTAATAGGACTTGTTTGTAATTGAGGGTTTCATTTATCTGGGGATAAAAAAGTAAAGTAACATAAATAAAAAATGGCTTCCAAGAGCAAACGTCCTCCTCCATTAAAGCTTGGGATATCTGCTCCGCCTCCAGCTGAGCCAGTGAAAAAAGGAGATATCACACAGTAAGTGAATTTCAAATTTTACACTAACAGTGAAAATAACAAAATATCCATAATGAAACCATTAAGTTGTCTAATGCAGGTTTTCCCAAATTAGGGTCAGCGAACCCCTGGAGTTCTGTGATGACTGCACAGGGGTTTGTAACGATATGGGAAAAGACTGTTCGATCTTCAATGATTGATTTGAATCGAAAAGTCATTGTATCTTTTTGGTTGGGTGTTGTAGACGGATATCCATTACTGTCGAAAAAGGCAATTAAAATTCTAGGCTATTTCCTTTTGCAATGAAATATATATATGTGAGTCAGTATTTTAGCTCCTAACAATTTGATGCCAAAATACAGGTCGAGGAGTCACCTCATTCATCACATTAATGTCGTTTTTGTTGTAGTGTTGTAAATGAAATAATGTTCTTCCTCGTTGGCTAGGCACAAAAAATGATACAGCATATGATATGGGTCTTTCAAAAGTAAGATTCGCAATAGAGGTACGAGGCCCTAAAAGTTTGAGAAATCCTGGTCTTATGCATGAGTTGTATTATATTCTATATAATATTTTTGGCAACACACTATCTTTAGCTTTTGTATATGATTATTTGATTCATAATCATTGATTTCTTTCAGGAACATTGTAAATAAAATTGGAAAAAGTATCGAAGAACTTGAAATTGACGATGTACAAAGAAAGAGATTAGATACTTTTCTGTCTCAGAAAAAGACGGTTTGTCACTTCCAGTTTCTCATTTAGTACTCTAGTTTAATTTTTTTTTAAATATTTGCTCAAAGTAAGGTTATGAGAACTCACTCAAAAATCCTAGAGAATGATGGGCAAAGCTTAGGGTGACCACAATAATGCTAAGAGCTATTGACACAATTTGTAAAATGGGTTTTTGGACGATGGGCCAAAAATTTTGCCCACCCGGACAGGCAGGCCATCATGTAAGTGTTATATTTTATGAACAATATTTTCAGTGTTACGAAAGCAAAAGTGGAAAACAATAAACCTCGTGCCCAAACTAAATTTAATTGCAATTTTAACAAATTACTTATTTTTCAGCTGATGTATTAAAGTTTGGTTGTGGCCTCATCATGTGGGCCAAATTGATTTACCCAATGGGTCGGATTTGGCACAGTTTGCCCATGTCAGATATAGAATTATAATAAGAAATTCAACAGAAGTGCAGGAGAAAATTCGTAACTTTTTACCCAAGATATGTATCATTTTGAATGATTGAATTATTTTCCATTCATAATTGTTACATTTTTTAGGTCGGAATGTTGGACAGTGCTCAAAAAGTTGATTTTTTAGAGAAGGCTGAAATCGGTGTTGGAAATGGCGGAGTTGTTCATTTAGTACAGCATAAAGAATCTGGTCTGGAGATGGCACGAAAAGTATGATAAAAATTCCTATTGCTATCCCATTTTTTGTCACCGTGTATTTTTGGGTACTCCCGTAGTGTGTGTACCAGGTTAGGGTTAGGCCACAATTTAATTCCGATTTTCCCTAGTTTAGTTCTATTACGAGTTCGGGGACTGTCTGTGTTAGCCAAGTGAATATACCTCTGCCCATAAGCTTCCCTCCCTTTATACAACTTGATGTAAGATAGGCGAACAAAATTACCTCCATATTGGTACACATAGGCTACTTCTGGAGCGCCAACTAAATCTGTATTATATTTTTGGTGGGAAAATTAATGTTTGTTAATTGTTACACGCTATGTTAATTTATGTCATGCAATGATCTATTCCTATATTTTGGATCCATATTTTTTTATCTCTATATTTATGATTTCCATTTTATTTGCTGGAAAATAATATAAATAAAGTATTGTTTCAACTGATTTATTTGAATTATTATGATTTATGAACCATCATTTTACTTCAAATTTCAGCTCATCCATTTAGAACTGAAACCAGCAGTACAAAATCAAATTATCAGAGAATTGCAAATTCTTCACGACTGCAAAAGCCCTTATATTGTTGGATTTTACGGAGCGTTTCATAATGACAGCGAAATCAGCATATGCATGGAAAATATGGTATGACGGAGTTGATTAAAATTGGAAGTAAACTTGGATATTGTCATTTGTCAATATTGTTATTTTTTGATTCGACATTTAATGGTATTATTTTATTCATTTTAGGATGCCGGTTCCCTTGATCAAGTTCTGAAAAAAGCTGGAAAAATCCCTGAACCTATTCTAGGAAAAGTCAGCATTGCGGTAGGATATTTTATTGTAATAAATTTTATGTCCAAATTTTTTCCCAGAAACAAACTCGGTTATGTGAAACTCACTCGGTATTTCCTCATTCGGCTGATCAGTCAGTTTTTACTCAAATACAATTCTACAACTTCAATAATGAAATATACTCTCAGTAGCAATTTAGTCGGTACCTTTGCTCAGGGATTAGTTTCCTGTGAGTGAGTACGCATGATCCTGCTTTGAATAAATATTTTCTAATGAGAAAACAATGCTACCATTTTCAATAAACCACGGAATATTGTGAGGCTAATCTTTTTTAAAAGATACGGATTAAATTTTCAGGTTTTCAAATAATATTGTATTGTTTCAAGTTGTAATTGTTGAGCTTTTAGATTGAAGAATCATCGACATATTTTGCTAATATTGAATCCAGGATTTATTTCTGTATGGCAAAAATAATCTGGATATTGAGACTCAAAATTTTTATATTAATTTAAAATATGATTATTACTTGTGTTAATTAAAATTGAAGTTTTCAATACCAGTGCTACAATTGTTTTCATTTAAGTAGAAAAAGCAGTTATTTATAGTTAGGCTACTGATATTGCAATGTTCTCGCTGATTTTTTCTTGTTAATATAACAATTTTTGATTGTTTCCAATCATATTTTATCAGGTACTTCACGGATTGAGATATTTAAGAGAAACACATAACATAATCCATAGAGGTTTGTGTCGTTTAATGTATGTTGTTTGCTAAGTTTCTGTTGAGTAATTGATTGAAAATATTACTTTCTTTTTCATAGTAATATAATATCACATTCACATATTTACATGGTTAGTCGTTTTATAAGACGTCTTCACATTTCATAGCCCTTCATGAAGTTACAAGTCCATATTGACTATGGAACAGAGGAGTACATGCAGGATTGGGGCTAATCAAGTATGCCCTCTTAAATCAAAATTTCTGATTTTAGTTGAATATTACAATTTGTCCAGTGAATAATATGTTCCGCCTAAATTCCAAAATGAAGTAAATATTCTTTTTATTGATAGAAGTTTAAATAGAAAAACATGGATGAATATGAATACAAACAATATAAGCATAGACCTTCTTAGTTTAAACAGTTTCATAAATGCAAGTTATGTCATCTAAAGTAAATCTCAGCCGGCATCGTTTGTCTCTGATGTTGCGGACTTGTGCTAGTTGTAAGAAACACGATGGCACCTATTGTACCACTGATTATTATCCATCCCCCTGATGCGGACTAATTAATTTTGTAGGGCTTAACCCTGACATGGGCAAACCATGATTGGGTGAATCATTCTGACCTGCCTGATGCTGCCATAAATTTCTGCTTTTATTAACCAATCTCACATGCACTACATAGTTATTGAAATCTGTATGGTGCACATGCAATAGGCTTGTTATACTATGATTGTAATACTTTCATGTTATGGGTACTTCAACGATACTTTTACGTTTTTTTTTTCTTTCGATTACTCGATTCGATGACATGCTTTTAACACCTTTTTGTGTCGCCTCGGGTGTGGCCACGTGTAGCCCTGAAGTTTCAATTTAGTGCCTAAAAAGTTTTGGTAACGTCCGCATAACGCTCTCTTCTCGTTCTTTTTTGTTCGTATCTTACGCATTCTTGCCATGTGAAGTCTATCGATTCTCGATGGATTCTGAAAAATCACTTACTGCATCCTTTTTATTTACCCTAATTCGTGAAGATTTATAGCTTATTTATTCCGTCACACTCACATGGCTCGTCAGTCTGGGTGGGCAAAATTTTTAACTATTGTCATCTCTCTTCCTCAGTACTCCAAATCTGGCAACTCCCTTCCACAGTCCTGAAATGATGCATAACAAAAGCAACAAAAGTGTTTTGTAGGCTCGGTTTCAAATCCTTTTTTCATCTCATTTCAGATGTAAAACCATCGAATATTTTAGTCAACTCAAGAGGAGAGATAAAACTATGTGATTTTGGTGTCAGCGGACAACTTATTGATTCCATGGCTAACACCTTTGTTGGTACAAGGTCCTATATGTCAGTAAGTGAAAAATCTTATTATCCTAAAGATAACTATTATCATATTTACAATTTGATTATTTCTTGGTCTTTCCCAGATTTGTTCATTTTCACATATGGTCAAAAACGTATGTTATCTGAGCAAATTTATGTCCATCAGATTGCATGCATTTTAATATGGATTGGTGATTATTCTTGAAGAATTATTCATACGGTATATATTATACAATAAGATGTTTTAGTATTTTTTAACTCGTTACAGCCTGAACGATTACAAGGAGCACCATATTCAGTATTGTCTGATATCTGGTCTCTTGGTTTATCATTGATCGAAATGGCGATGGGAAGATACCCTATACCTCCACCCACAAAGCGGGATATTGATGGCATGTTTGGACCCAACGCTGCAAGTAGGTGGACCCCAGTTCTGTTAATGCATTCAGTTTTTGTCACTAAATAGCTTTGTAATGGTTGTCGATTCGATGGACTGCTATTCTTCATATGTATTGGTGAATAATTTGATAACCAAAACTTATTTTTACAGGTTTTGTACCGGATGCACCTCGGCCGATGGCTATATTCGAATTGCTTGACTACATTGTAAATGAGGTGAAGACAAATTTTTCTTTGTTTGAAATTGTAATTATTATGTCTTTGTACTTCATTGAAGGCTCTCTGATGACTCAATCGAGTATTCTTTTTTTTACGATCATACACCACTGCGCCCACTCACTCCCATGTATTAAATTCATTTCTATTTGATGTGGGTCGTATCGTTAAGACTTGGATGATCTTTGAGCCAACCATATTTTGATTTGATTTTTTTATTAGCCCCCTCCACAACTACCAAGAGGAGTCATATTTTCTGACGAGTTTTGTGATTTTGTTGAGAAATCTTTGGAGAAAAATCCTCAGGATAGAGCAGATTTGAAGGGATTGATGGTAAGAGGATAATTACATTTTTGAGTTCAAGTAACAATTTTTGTGCGTCATACTGGTGTGGATATCTTTCACTGTCTATTTCATGCTTTTATGGTAGTGGATATTCGTGAAAATCTTTTGCATAGCAGATTAAGTGTTCAATTTAATTCACTCACACTAACACGAATGTATTTCTGTAAAGTTTCATCCAACTAGGTCAGACTCTTTCTGGCAAGCATTTTGCAACTGTGACAAGAAAAGCGATAGCATGCATATAGATAATGTTCATCAATTGTTGGGTCTGTTTTCAATAGAGCAAAATAAAATTGGGACATCACTAGAACAATAGAGAAGCTAAGTTTAAATTTCAATCAATAAATATCCCACAGTTTAGTGAGTGAATACTAAACAGCAATCAAACAATTTCACGCTGTTCTTCCTTAACTCCAACAACATAGTTCATGTAGGGATCAAGGCTACAAGGAGTAAAATGCTTGTTTGAAGAATTCCGACTTTTGTTCGACGAAACAATACAGAAATATATTTGTGTTAGTGTGCGGCGAGACTCTTGAATTAAATTGAATATTATACGCATACGGATCCCATTGTGCAAATGCGTGGAGCACGGAAAGGTAGTTAGTTTCTAGTAACCCCAACCGGTAGAGTAGGTGGTTGACACATTGTGCTGAGCGTTAGGAATATACTTGCCATTGCACGTTTGATTTCCCTGCCTGGGTTCCCAGGTTTGAATCCAGTGGGGGATTATTATGTTTGAGAGGATTGCTGGACTCAAATTATATTAGTAAGTAGCAGTATATATTTGAGCTAACTGAAAGTAATGTAAGACACCTGCCATTCAGATAGCAAAGGAAATATTTTTCAATGCTAGTGTTGGGTGTATAAGTAACAATCTCCCATGATCCTTTGTTATCCATTTATGAAGCATAATATTCCGTTTTTCTTTCTAGCTACATCTATGGATAAAAAGAGCTGAAAATAACAACGTTGATTTCGCTGGGTGGATATGTAAAATCATGGGGCTGAAACCCCCTTCACCCAGCACCCCAACAGAAAAGACATAAATGATATTTCTTCTGCTTGCACTTCCAAATTATACCTTATTTAAATATATTCTGATTATGGAATTTATATCGGGTCAACATGGCCAAGTATGATCTGGAGTTGAATTTTGATATGCCTCTGAACATTGATAAATTTAAGTTTCTATTATGTTACATTTTCTTCCACTCGATTGTTCAAGAATAACTTTTTTTAAATCATGATTTTATTTTTTTTTCAATTACATTATTTGCACCTTTAAAAGCTCAGATTATTATCGCCATTCTCTCATTTGAGTCACAAAAATAGAATATTGTATTCCATGTATAAATGTTGATACAAAAATTTTGAATGATTGTGAAAATGATATCGAATTATAAATCTTACGGAAAGTATAGTCTTCATAAAAGTTGATCAATTGCCTTCGAAACAATACTTTCTCACAATATGGGAATACCTTCAAACTTTTGTGTATGTATATGGTTAAAATGTCACCTTTATGCCGATGTTCAAAATCATCATTTATTATTTAAATATATCTCAATTTTGTTCTCTGTTTTTGCCGAACTGAGAAGATTTCGGTTTTTCCAAACCAAAGGTATAGTCACTCTTTACCTAGAGGCCGCTAGTACAGAGCGAAAATATGTATAAATATGTGGAGTAAAAAAGTAGCTAAATGGTCATTTTATGAAATTTGACTTAGTTTTCAAAATGAGATTATTCTGTTTCGATTATTGTATTATTATATTGAAAAAAAAATTTTCTTTTGATAAAATCATGCATTTATGGTGTTGAAATACAAGTTTAATTGCATTTGCTCTTATTAGTTATGAAATAATCAAAACTACTCACCGAATTACATACTAACTTTGTTTGAACACAATCAATAAAAACTTATATTAGGTAATATTGAAACAATTCACTATTTAAATAATTCTCTTCAATTTGTTTCAATGCATCTAGTTTTTGTGAAGCAAAGTGAACTTGATCAGTGTGTATTTTTTTAAGAATATATAAAAATAAATTTTTCTTTCAATCAGTATCGGCTTCCATGAATATATACTTTGATACCACTGTTGTATATAATACATACATATGTTGCATACCATACCGCCCAGTTGTGCTTTTTGGCAGAACAGTGGAAAGAAATTCTTATTATCTTGATAAAATAATTCTCGAAAATGAAGATTTTACAGTTAAATAAAGACAGAATATATTCTTACTCCACTCCTCTTTTTAGTTTATTGAAAACGTTGTGTATTCAGTGGAATTGGTAAATTAATTCTCATTTCTATGTATGAATACCAACCTCTTTCATGTTTAAAAAATAAAATAGGAATTGTTTACTATATCTCATTTTTTTTCTGTGTGTTTGTTGGACTTGTCACCAAAACTGAGTGACCACATGATAGAAAACTTGAAAGGTTCGTGGAGAACTGGTGAATTCTTAAGTGAAAGTACAGGGTGTTTTGTGTCTAGCTAGGGTTTTCAATTGAACAGTTTTTAATTTACCATGCCCCTGGTCGCCATGAAGTTAGTAAGAAGAATATGATCCACACAGCTGATATCTGGTACTTATGAATAAAGGTGTTAGCATGAATTTTATACAGGAAACTCATTAAAACGAGCATATAAATTAATAATCAACTTTCGTTCGTCGCACACCGAATGAGAAGAGCAACATGTTTGATGAACAATCTAACTTATGTCAATTTCTTAGTAGTCAGTTTATCCAATCGTTTTTATACTCCGTTTCTATCTCTTCTCATACTTCCGCGCGTCCACGAGCTTCTGCTTGGTCAAATGGTGAGCCATATTTTTCAAACAATGTCTCATTATTGTTTATTCAAGTGAGACAATGATACCGAATTCTTTGGATTTGATTGGAAGTAATATTATAATATATATGCAAAGTTTTTGTTCTTCCACAGTTAAAACGGATGTGTTGGGAACATTACGAAAACCAAACTAAAATGAACCATTACTAAGCACGTAATATCGGGTTTGCGAGCAAATTACACATTCAGCAGTTGAGCGACGCACACAATAGTCCCTATACTGGACGGCTACCATCCGTGTAAAAGTAACTGTTTATTTCGATTTCCCTTACAACAAAATCATACATTGCAAAACAAAACAAATATACGGAAAATCAGGAAAGTGGGCAAAATCTGAAAAATATTCAAGACGTGATGACGCACGTGCCCACTTACCCGAAACAGCGAATAACACATTGAAGTAAATTTGAAAAAAATCACGAAAGATAATTCGGGCGTAAATATTTGAGTGTGGATGTGGGGTTTGAACAATTTTTGACTGCAACTTCTACTATATCTATACAAAAAAAAAAACGAGGTCGAGACGTGTAGAATACAACAAACAAACAAGCGGTGCGAATTGCCCAATTAGTATTTTCGGGTTTGAGAGCATCGCTAAAACGTATCAGTGTAAAAAGTACATATGGTACAAGAAGATGCACCTGATATTACGTCGTCGTGCCGAGTACAATAATTCGGGTTCTAAATATTTATTTAGTGAATAACGAAATATATATGTTTATTTCGTACCAACTAGGCTATTTTGTTGTAGTGAGACTGACCAGCAGTGTGAGGGATGCTCGAGTTATCCAACTCAGAATACCTTTTTGTGGAGAGCTCTTTGCCGTTTGTAATTGAAAATAGGCAGTGTCACCTGTCCAGGGCTTTTATTCAAAGTTTGTATGAAACAATATGGTTAATTTACTACACCCATGATGGCCATAAACAGTAATGGGGGTATGTACCACAGAGCTGATAACAATGGTAATTATGAGCAAGGGTGTTAAGTCGGGAATTGACATTAATTTTTTCAGGAAAATCTTTAAAACGAGCATATAAATTATTAGTCGCCCGTCACACCGATATCAGTATATTAATGAACAATTTGGGTTCGTAGTAGTCAATTCCCTCAATCGTTTTTATACTTCACGAACACCAGTAATTTGTTTGGGTCATGGAACCTCGAATGGTAATATCCTGCCTTTTCATCTGAGAGTTTAAACTTTAACCGGTTGGCAACTGATATACTGGAATGGTTATCCTCATGTGCCACTATTCTTAATTTTTCCAAATTTAATTCGGTATAAGCCACATCCGTGAGTTTTGTGCAACAATCAGTGACAATGCCTTGTCCACAATGGTCATAATCTAGCCAATAACCGAGATCTCCATATGATTCCTGAGGGTCGTCTCGGTTTATTCGGACGATTCCGCACATCCCAATTAGGCTCCAACAGTCTTCATCAAATCTAAATATATAGGCTAATAATAATGTTGCTTATGACGTCAATATTTGATTCCTAACAATAAACGGAGGCATAGGTAACTAGCAAAACTTAATTTGCCCATCAGGCAGTTTAATGTGAGAAAATAGCAATATATTTTTCCAATGCAGCGTCAACAGAGATATTTTTATGGCGGTTTTGGTACACAATTTTCAGAAGAGAGGATAGCCGGGAAGACTTTTCAAGAAAGAAACTGGCAGGTGGCTCCGTGGAGAGTCAGAGAGTGCAGTTAGTTTGATCTTATTATTCCCATAAGTTCGATGCGATAATCAGCTGCCGTGACATGCGACAGACTGTTGCTGTTGAAGTCATCAAGGAAACTACCAAAAAGTGCGGGGATGTGAAACACATCAAGCCAGCAGAAAAGGCCAATGGGAAAACCGGAAAGAAGTGACTGGAAGCATCTAATGTCCATCAACAGCCTGAATCTAAAATAATACATTAACTAACAAATCGTTGGTACAATTTGTGACCATAACCACGAAGAATAATAACTAGTAGTGGGATTTAAAACGTCGTATTTACTAATGTATGTCACTTTTCGTAAGCTACGTTAACATCACACTCTTTATATAAATCCAGTACATAACTAAATAAGGTAATTAGTTGTAAATTTTTCCACCACGCACAATTTTACATTTTAGCAAATTTGGAACGAAAGCTTTTAATTCGATTTAAAACAATAACTAGCATAATATGCAAAACGGCTTGGTTTCAATAAAAACATACCGTGGGCTAAATATAAGAAGTATGGTAGGAACACAAATACATGTTGTCATGAATCAATATCGGCTGCCATGTTTTTATTGGCCATTTATCAAAATACACTATACGGATTTCCATATTTATCCCGTATGTGAGAAAAGTCGATAAGACGACTTAATCACGCGATGAACCACAGCATTTCGTTTGGTTACCAGTTCACCCTACGGCGGCGAGGTGTCCAGCAAACTTCTCGCATATAATCATCCCCCACAGGAGTCAAACCTCTGAACCCAAGCAGATATTCAGATGTGAGGTGGCAAGCTTATTTCTAACGCTTAGCACGATGCGCCACATACGGTAGGTAGGATATGATTTTCTAGTGCAGGGGTTCTCAAACTTTTGGTGTTGCGGAGCCCTTGAAAGGTTGAATATTATTCGCGGAGCCCCAAAATAAATGTTAAAATTTTACTTTCAGATTAATATTCCTGAGCAAGTTAAAAGTACTTTACTTATTTTGAATGCTGAACCCTTTTTAATAGGGTTAACACAAGTCATAGATAAATCTAAATTTCAAACATAATATACTAAAGCTGTAAATTTGACACTTGACCAACATATTGATAAATTAGGGGGCGAATCTTTTCCCTTTTGACATTGAAAGACTTAAAAGGCCGCTAATAACGTGCGCGATATCATTTTGTTACAATCGCCGATTTTTTTTCGTCAGCATGGCGTGTTTTTGAATCTTTAAACATCTTTACGCCGGTGTTTATTCTCCCTAAATCAAAAATTTTTCCTTCGGCATATACATGTATTGTTACACAATGACGACGTTAATTGCTTTTTGTTCTCGTGGGGAAGTATGAGTTTAATGTGAAAAACATGTTACCATATTATAGTCATCGGCGATGAAAGGCTAAAAATAATAATTAATAAAGAGGTAAATCCGCAACTCAAATTTCTTAATCGAAAAACGCCTTCTAAAATATTAAAACTGAAACTTAAAATGGAAGATCACACCTTTCGTTTTCAGCAGACTCACCTCAGATTGAAAACGCTTTTATAGACATTGTAAATCATAAAATTTGGTGTTATGTTAGGTTTTCATCGTAGTAACTGCGAAATCGAAACACAGTCAATTGTGAGCGCGATCCGCGATGTACCTTTTTTCATTCTGAAACTACCGGCAGAGCCGAATGCAATAAAATAAATTTCAATTGTTCGTATTTTGCCCAAATATTGTGATTTTTTAAACGGCGATATCTTGCTTAAAAATAATCTCAAGTGCAAAAGAACAAATCAAGTTTGACAAATCCCAAGATCGCAAACATACGACTCCAATTTATTTATAGGTGGCAGTTTATCACATATTTTATGTTATTTTAGAATAGTATTCTCATTTTAGTAATCCTAATAGTAATCTCGAACCAAACGTGAGTAACGATGAGACACGTTAAATGCTCGCATCGGTCATGGATTGAATATTTTACGCAACAGAAATCTCGTTATCCGTTTTTTTAATCGCGAAGAATGTTGCGCGGAAATTTCCGATTCCAATTTTGAACCACCTGCCTCTTAAGAATCCTGGCTGCGCTCCTGCTTATAAATAATGTCATTTTTTAATTCCGCCTCTTTACCATATTTCAGGGCTATATTGTTGTCAGATTTTATCAATGCTGTTATTGCTTCTTTGAACAGTTACAAAATTTTGAGTCAGTATTTTGAAGAGTTCGCGGAGCCCCTGGGTTTCTCTCGCGGAGCCCTGGGGCTCCGTACGGAGCACTTTGAGAACCTATGTTCTAATGGTCTTTATCAAATAACTTGCCAGGCCAGTATTGGAATAATGGTTGTTCTACCGTAGTACTGTAGTATATTACTTGACCCTGAAATGCCATTCTTGCGTGTGTGTTTTTACTTTATATTTTTCATACGTAATGTATTTAAAGTACGGTGAAAAAATAAATACTGATTACTGCTTTGTTTAGCATATAAGCTCGACCTACCTATTTGTGCTGAATTCATAAATTCCCATCTCCATTCCAAGACCACTCTGAAATCGTTCCAGCGCTCCTTTCACATAACTCCTCTCATGTTCAACAGAGGTGGTCGTTTCTACCCAAGGTAACCAAGCTTCCAAGTGTTGGCGATTTTTATCCAAGAGTGAGAATGCTTTTGCTGTATCTTCTGCAGGACATAAAACTTTTAGTTTCATGCGATCACTGACAAAAATGGAGTCCATTTTGCTCGGCAAGTCGCTGTCGGAACGAATTTCCCAAAATGTAATTAATTTATACGCGTTATATGTAGTCTACTCAAGTACGGTACTTTGTATAATGATTATGTTATGGCGCAACAAGCTAAAACTGAAAAATAAAAAATCTGATGCAATAAGGTGAATTATACTTCCGTAAATATTTAACATTCGTCCTGTGATAAATAAAAAATGCAATGTTAAATGAAACCCAAAGTTATACCGATACCTTATAGACGATATATGAAATTTCACATGCCTAATGTTTGAGTGTAACGTTAAATGGTAGAAAGCTCATGACCGCTGTCTTAGAGGACACCATTATTTTCCGACGCAAATTATACAAACAGACATATAACTGTATAATAATGTATTGGTATCTACATGGCCTAGCACTGCTGTAATGTCAGAAAGTAACTGTACGATTAAGCTATTTTTGATTCCGTATTTGTAAATCGATTATTCGCTTCGCTTTTATACCTGTATACCGTCTTGGTGTTAATTACCGTTGGGCTTGATCACGGGCATCGTTGTTGAATAATCAGAAAACTATTGGCTTTCCTCCACCCTGAAATGTGGTTTGCATTGTTAGACATTCTCTATTGTACAAAGTGGATTTTCATTACTGCATACCGGTAATGGGGGAAATACTATGAATTAGTGACAGATTTGGGCATGTCAGCGTGATTGAATTCAAATACAGATATACGGTAAATTACGATATCTTATCTCTCTATGTCGCTATGCACTGCTCATTCCACGTTTCAGCAAGAAATTACCGTATACTATCTAGGAATGCTCGCCACCATGATTCCTTTGACAGTTTGACCAGGTACACCGTTACTTTTCAGCAGTTTGCAGGTTTGAGGTCCTAGGGTTGAAACAGTTTCTTTACTCAAATTTGATTTTGTTTAACTTAATTTCTCATCAACATATTCTAATATATTGCTTTCTTACCAAGGGGTCAATGTGTTATGTCAGTATGTGAATAACTAAGTAATATTGTTAATAAAAAGTATGTCGCACTACTGTGGATACAGGGATACCCATTCTGTCATTGCTGATGCTTGAAATGCTCAATTTGGCGGAATGTCCTGTCAACTCCCAGGCCCAGGAACAGTGCAAAGTTTCATACATCTGTACAGGCAAGAAAACTGACTTCTATCACATTACATGTGTGGTTGTGTCTGATTATCGAGACATTGCACTAGCTTGGTATCTCAGTTTAATGCTCATTGATTGTTTATATAAAGTGTGCTGAACGGAGGTTGCTACATGGACATATTGAGGGAGGTTTAAGTGTATTAATAGTTTTTGCTAATTCTCTATTTATCGAAATGGATTTGAAGGAAAATATATCAGCTCATGAAATTGCATTGGCTCGAAAGCTTAAATCATACTGCACACCTTTTGGAGATGAAATAAAGTCAAAACTACGTGAATCAACTGAAATTTTATATGAAATGGGAAAAATTTACCTTGAAAAAGCTAAAATCACTCAAGGTATGCTTCAAAAGCTGAATTTTATAAAATGTTCTGCCTTGTTAAATGGTGTGATTGTTCGATTCAAAATACTTAACAACGTTCTTGGAACATTGAACGCAATTGAAACCTTGAGGGAGATGAACATAATGCTGATTGAGGCATCAAATGCTAAAGACGCTTCCTTCGACTTGTACAAGATTTCAAAAGATGTTTCTGATTGGTTGCAATGTTTACGTAAAACAGAAAAAACTGATTTGGCCAAATTATCAACCTCTAATGAAGAAGCTTTAACAGATGATGGTTGGCAAGACTTGCAGATACATCACACTAAAATTTATGAAATTAGGTCAATGATGGAGAGAAATACTCGGAATTACAAAGAAATTATGCATTTCGTGTCTGAGAAATGTGTACAAATCCTTGGAGAAGCCCCATGTAAATTCACTGTTGTTGGCTTGGGATCTCTTGCAAGAAATGAAATCACTTTATACTCAGATTTTGAACATGTTATTATACTTCAAGAGGGGATTCCATATTCTTCCGATTATCACAACGTTCAAGAATACTTTCGTTGGTTTGCTGTTATATTTCAGGTTATTATAATTGGAATCGGTGAAACTTTCATACGAAGTGTTGGAGTAAAAAGCATTAATGACTTATACTCAGAAGACAAGTCGAAAAATTGGTATTATGATGTATTTACTCCAAGTGGTGTTTCGTTCGATGGTAGAGTACCTCATTCATGTAACACTCCTTTAGGAAGACAAGAGCCAACTGAAAAATATACCCATGTCGTAGAGCTTATACAACCTGTAATGGTAATGGTTACATTTTTACTATCTGAATCACATTTGAAAAATGGGTATTATTTGAAAGATTTATTAGCGCGTACATGCTTCGTATATGGAGATGAAAATGTTTACAAACTTTTTAACAATGTTTCTAAATGGATCTTGGATGCACAACGATTATCTAAAGAGGAATTCTCTAAAAGTCTTCAAGAAAATATTAATATTAAACTTCAAGGGAAGTTTTTTGTGATATCTGGAACGTATAATTATTTACAGGATGTAAAACAAATGTTTTATCGGCCTTTAACTGCATTGTTGTCTTGTGTTGACAGACTACAAAATTTTCATTCTACTACGACATGGGACACCATTAGTGCGTTGATGAAGTCTGAAATAATCTCAAATGGGGGCTTCAATAAACTCCGTTTTGCTCTTGCAATTGCTTGTGAACTCAGGCTTAAACTATACTCTACTTTTGGAAACCAGCGACAGAAATTGAGCCAGTCCGAGGTTGTTCATTTAGTTGGGAAGCAAAACGCACTTCATTGTGCGCTGAATTATGCTAAATTCCATAGTTTTGTCAGACCGTTAATATATCCTGATGAAATTGGGACAAAAGTACCCGAACGTTTAGTTCCTTTTTTTGACCAATCAGTATTGGTATCTTTTTATGCGCTGGGTTATTGGGAAGACGCTGCAAAAGTTTTGTTGAAAATGTTGGAAATTCTCGAACAAGATGATCATGGAGTTAAAAATGTGAATTCTTCGGAAGTGCGTTACAATTTAGCATCCCTTTATTCAAGTCTTTATGAGCACAGGAAATCATCACACAAAGAAAGAGTAGAACTGTTGAATAAAGTTGAACATCAGTTATCTTACTTGGAAAATGATTCCTCTATACAATATGACGTTACTCTGTTGCTTAGCAGTGTCTATTTTCGTCGTCAAATGTATGAAAAAGTGGTGGAAATTGTGGAAAAAAATTCTATTGAGTTTAAAAGAAACCTCAACCATCAACTTCTTTATTTGATTTCTATGTTGGAATGTCGCACTCCAGAAATTGTACTCGAGTTTTGTTGTAAAGGCTTGTCCGAAACAAATGATAATATTTCTCAAATGTGTTTCGAATTTGGCCGATCATTAGCTAAAGTTAAAATGAAAAAAGAGTTGGAAAAGGGTGAATTTTTTCATTTGGTTTCAAAAGCTGAGGAGAATATTGCCAAAATTCAAGAACAACATATTCCTTTACTTTTTGGAATGCTGTATTATATTCCAAGCCATAGTAGAAAATGGGATGATACACTTTCAATTTTGAATCTTGCAGATAGAGTTCTTGAATCTCTGCTTATTTCGGTGGATCCTTTATCGATAAATGATGAAGTTTATCTCATGTGTGTTTTGGAATGTTATACGCAAAAGTTCAACAAAGAGAAAAATAATTTTAGAAAACTCGATTACGTTTTAAAGATACTAACAGCTTATCAAGAATTTGTCTCTCGTTCTGCATTTATTACTTTGCCCGAGAAATATATTACAACATACTATATAACTTCATGGGCTGCGGTTGCAGTTATGCCTGAAGATGTCCTCGAGTCATACTTTCCTGAAATTTCAAAAGTTATATCACAGACTCCTGAGGACTTACGTAATATGCATACAGTTTCCATTGATCAAGCAAGGATTATTTTCAAAATTTTATTCAGCTATGAGGAACGAGTAAGAAATGGGAAACTTTTTGAATTATGTCGTGAAATGGTTTTGGTGTTATCACATTTACAAAAGGACCTATGTCATCAGTTGTATAACGAATGGGTGACATTACTTCGAGATCGTGTCTGTTCGAAATTAGTTGAATCATGGTATGAAAGACATCTTTGTGGAAAATTAAAGGAAGGTCCTTCATATTTATGGAAATTAATTGTAAAAAACAATTCGAGAAAATTGTTTTTAAATACTAAAAAACTTTCTATCAATATGATTTTCGAAATGGTTTCAATCACTCGATTAATTAAATGCCTTTGGCAAAGTTGGAACAATTTTATAAAAACAAATTCAGAGATGATGTATATGTATCAAATTACCCAAGAATTCAACAAAGCAGCAAAGTTATTTTCTTCTGGTAATCTTGAAATATCAGCAGCTTTGTTATGGAGACTAATCCATGTTGGAAAAATTACAACTACGCTAAAATTTAAGTCATTGATAATGTTTATCGATAGCATTGTATTAATCAATAGCTCCCATCTTTTGATCAAATTTTAATAACAAGATTGTGTATAATAATTTTTCATATGTTTTATGTATAAATATGTTTTGATGTATAAAGATTTTCAGACTATGTCGAAATTTTCAAATACATAGTGCTTTTCATTTTTCTCAAACATTTTGTTTATCTGTGATCGTCTTCTAAAGAGGTTCCACACTGTCCACCACTTTTCTGTAAAAGTATTTAGTTTTGCTCAACATCTTATTTCATATGTCAAGTTTAATAATATAAACATAGCAAACATAAGAATTACAGTCAAGATTTAACAAATAACAGTCAATTTACCTAAATTAATATAGTCATTTGGAATGGTACGTAGCCAATGCCTTTGCTTGTGGCCTTCTAAAAACACTTCATAGCCCCCCTATTTGGGCACTGAAACCTCGTTTTAAACAATTAATATTGTATGTCTTCTTACTTTAAAACTAAGTACTACATTATGCATGTATTAATAAATTTGTATGTTTTTAATTCTCATTCCAAGTCTTCATTATAAACTTAAATTATTTTTGTAATACTTCTAATGAG